CCCTCCCCTGTTGTTTTCTAGAATTTCCATGATGACCTAGTTCATTGTATAATGCTTTACTTGCAGATGGTTTACCTAGTAAGATGCATGTGCTTGCTTGGATTGAGGTCATTTCAGGTCCTACATATTGATGAGCTGTTTGAAATTAACTAGGAGGTATGCGCGTATTGGGGAATGTGGCTTCCTGCTCTACTTTAAAAAAACAACTTCCCATGACATGTAATGAGTGTTTAGTGTAAATTATATGGGACGTACAGTGATAGATGGAAAGTTATTTCAGTATATTCGAAATGACTTTTAGGTATAACTCCTTTTTCCTCCCACATCATCAACATTCATTCATTTCATTTCATCTACATTATTTCATGAAATGCATTCAGAAAATGAAGAAGAAAAAAAAAAAAAATAACCCGTAAAAAAAAAAAATTGGCGACGAAGCATTTGTCGTAGTACTAGTAGCCTCTGTATTTTATGGGACACTTTTTGGGCGGAGCGAATGTTGTCGGAGCAAATGTCGTCGGAGCAAATGTCACCGGAGCAAATGTGGAGGAGCAATTGTCGGCGGAGCAAATGTCGGAGGAGCAATTGTCGGCGGAGCAAATGTCGGCGGAGCAACTGTCGTTCGAGGAGCATTTGTCACCGGAGCATTTGACGTCGGAGCAAATGTCGCGGAGCAATTGTCGCGTTTTGCGGAGTAAATGTCGGCGGAGCTATCGTCGGCGGAGCATGTGTCATGGAACCTCTTAATCATATGACTATATCCCAGGTCGAAATCCAGTTGATACCAGTTGAAACCAGTAAGGATTTCCAACTGTATCTACTGGTATCTACTGGTTGGAACTGGTCTCAACTGGTCTCAACTGGTACCAGTTGATACCAGTTGATACAATTTGGAAACCAGTAGAAATACCAGTTGACATCTGAGACCAGTTGATATTACCAGTTGATTTACCAGTTGAAACCAGTAGATGATTACCAGTTGATTTACCAGTTGAAAACCGGTATGATTACCAGTTGATTTACCAGTTGAAAACCAGTAGATGATCACCAGTTGATTTACCAGTTGAAAACCAGTAGATGATTACCAGTTGATTCCAGTTGAAAACCAGTAGATGATTACCAGTTGAAAACCAGTAGATGAGTACCAGTTGATTTACCAGTTGAAAACCAGTAGATGATTACCAGTTGATTTACCAGTTGAAAACCAGTAAGATTACCAGTAGATTTACCAGTTGAAAACCAGTAGATAATACCAGTTGATTTACCAGTTGAAAACCAGTACGAATACCAGTTGATTTACCAGTTGAAAAACCAGTTCAATGTATCTCATGAATATTCATGATTTGCATGTTTTCACAGAAAATATAATTATCATGATCTTTCAAGCAAATGTGACAATGCACATACATTTTGTGATTTACATTTTCTTAGTTAATTATTGACAAATATATTACACATGTCTGATCATGTTTTTCATCTAATTTAAGACGTACAATTAGATATATTGATATATGTAATTACTAACCAGAAATAAAGTGTATAATTTTATATATATGTATGCACGAACAATATATGTCAATTCACCCAATACACATCTGTAATCTACTTCAAATGATCATTGTGATGGGGTAATTGCAAAAGTTAGTATATGTGGTAAATTGGTGGCCAGATTCGAATAATGATTATTGATTATCAGTTGATTGATTACTGGATAATCATCTGAAAAATCAACTGGTAAATCAACTGGTAATTCAACTGGAAATTCAACTGGTAAATCAACTGGTCTCAGTTAGCGTTGTTTCAATTTCCATATTAAAAACCAGTTGAATCTACTGGTTTCAACTGGTACCAGTTGACTTACTGGTTTTAACTCGTACCAGTTGCCTACTGGTTTCAACTGGAAATTGAACTGGTAAATCAACTGGTAATTGAACTGGAAATCAACTGGTAATTGAACTGGTAAATCAACTGGTCTCATTTAGCGTTGTTTCAATTTCCATATTAAAAACCAGTTGAATCTACTGGGTTTCAACTGGTACCAGTTGCCTACTGGTTTCAACTGGAATTCCGACCTGGGTATTCACACACTTGGTTATTGAGATTTTACAAGTTTGAATGTTTGCAAATTCTTTCCTAATCCGATTGCAGTGCGATGACTTTGAACATAAACAGAGCATAGATATGAAGGACAACGGATGTATGTATATAATATTTGGGTGGAAAATTTAGGGGTAAATAGAAAATTATATTCAGTTTATTCTTTATTTTTTTATTTTTTTTTTAAATTTACTTTAATATCACCGTATGACCTGTGTTAAAGGGTTCCAGGTTATCATTACTACATTTTGTATGATGAGTTACGTTTGGAGGTATGAAATCAAAACTTCGATATGTGTAACTTTTACAATTTACAGAAAGGTTGAGTTCTGGAAATGGTACTGGTACATCATTATAATACATGTATTAGTGAACTTTTTCATTCCTTTCTGTGTCATGGCTCAACTCAGGCGCGGATCCAGGGGGCAGCGGGCTCTGTTCCCCCCCCCCCGCAAAACAAAGAGAGAGGGAGAAAGAGAGAAGGGAAAGGGAAAGAGGAGACAAAGGGAAAGAAAGAAGAAGAAAAAAAAAGGGAAAGAGAAGGAGATCCGGGGGGGGGGGGGGAACCGAAAGGGCCTTGCCTCCAGCTGTTACCTACCCCCCCCCTCCCCTCCCGTCAAAAAATAGAGAGAAGGAATGAAAGGGAAAGAAAAAGGAAAAGAGGAGATAAAGGGAAGGAAAAAAGAGAAGAAGAAAAGAAAAGAAGAGGGATATCAGTTTTAATTTTCACGCCAACAATTTGCCCTTGTCTCCCCCCCCCCCCCCCCACCTCCGCCCCCCCAAAAAGGGGGTGTGAGGAAGGGAAAGGGAAAGAGGAGCGTTAAAAGGGAAACAAAAACAGGAAGAAGAAAAGAAAAGGGTGAAAAAAAGAAGGAACAGTTGCGATTAATCCCGCCTTAAAAATGTGGATCGGAGGGGGGGGGGGGAAGGCCCTTGCCTATCCCCATCAAACTCAAAACAGAGAGAAAGAAGGGAAGGAAAGGAAAAGAGGAGAGAAAGAGAAGAAAAAAGAGAAAGAAGAAAGGTAGGGGGATCAGTTGCGATTTTTCCACCAGCAAGGTGTAGATCGGGGGGGGGGGGGGGCACTGGCGTACTGATGGGGGAGGGGGCTTGGGGGAAGACAGATGCCCCAAATATAATTCAAAACATGGTTTATTTCTAATTCGATATCGGTGATTTACAAATGTTGCTGAAATGAAATAATTTCCCAAATGTTATCCTCAATCTTTAGTAAATTATACTTTTTTTATACGTTTGTTTGAAAATGGCAAATTCCTAAAGAAAGAAAAAGGGAATACTAACCAGCCTTTCTCACAAAATAATGAGGTGTCACATTTCCTCATCTGACCGTGAATAAATGAATTAAAATCCCTGACCTTCCGGGGCTATGCCCCCTGTATTTCACCGAAGGCCCTAAGGCAGGCACCTGCATGCTTGTCTGACCGTTATAAAATGCCTAAATCCATGAGCTTCTGGGGGCTCCGCCCCCTAAAACCCCACGCCAATTCGTGACCTGCTAGTGTTACAAATAAGGTATCACAATATGCTCATCTGGCTGTAATTTATTGTCCAAAACCCTTTAAGCTTACGAGGGCTCCGCCCCCTGAAACCCCAAGCCAATTCCTGACCTGCCAGTGTCACAAATAAAGTATCAAATATGCTCATCCGACGGTAATTTAATGTATAAAACCCCTGAGCTTCTGTGGGCTCCGCCCCCTGGACCCCACACCATTTTGTGTCCTGCCAATGTCAAAAATAAGGTATAAAAATATGCTCATCTGAGTGTAATTTATTGCCCATAACCCCCAAGTTTCCGGGGGCTCTGCTCCCTGGACCCCACGCCAATTCGTGACCTGCCAGTATCACAAATAAGGTATCAACATAAATGCCTATACCCCCTGAACTTCTAGGGGCTCCACCCCTTGATCCCCTGCGGGCCTTTGCCCCTAGACCCCACGCCAATTTACGCTACGCTCTACCTGATCGTAATACCCCCCCCCCCCCCATCCCCAACCCAACCTACTTAGAGAAACGTTTAGCGAGGCCTGCACGTAAGAATGGGGTGATGCAGTTTGTTTTTTAACCCCCCCCCCCCACCAAAAAAAAAAAATGTTTTTGCTCATTTCGCCACTGCCGGTGTCGCCATTACATACCAATATTTTGCTCGCATAATTTCAAATTTGGGCCCCCCGCACCCCTAAGAAATCCTGGATCCGCGCCTGCTCAACTAACCGAGTCTCCCCTAGGCGTTATTTCGATTGAAGTGAAGTCCACTCTAGGTTGGTCCATTTACCTGGCTGCTAAGAAAGTATGTGTTTGCTTGTATTTTTAAAGCGACGGCTTTAAGTCCCCTCCGACGGACTTGGTCACGAGGATAAATGCCTCATCTTGGTTTCAAACGGGGGACCTCCCAGTTACGAGACAACTGCTCTACCACTGAGCCATTGCATCTCTTGGTAGTTGAAAATAGTGGACAGGTGTCAAATTCCCCAAGGACAACCCAATAACCCCATTGTAACCCTAGTAAGCCTTACCCTACTATCTTTGAAAAAGTAGAGCCCGGACCAATTATGTTATCAAATGTATGAACACCTATTGAATTTTGAGCTTTACATCATCAAGAAACAACAATGGTGTGGTATGGAATCAGCACGCCAGACAGAAAAAATAAATATTGTCTCATCATTTAAATGATTCATCTTTCAACAACATATCGTTAGTCTTTTTTCAATTCATTTATCATTTTGGCGCTACTATCAACTTACCATTTGACATTTCACAAATTATCTTTAAAAAGATCTATGATAACATAATATTATACATTTTGGCTTGTCATATTGTGGTTCCAAGAAAACTGTAATTCTCAAAATGAAATCACGAATAAAAGTACAAGAACAAAGCTATACAATGTAGCACAGGTTTAATAAGTCATATTTAGTGACATGTTTGAAAATATTCAGATGCAGTTCGTTCTGCAGGCACATGACCATGAAGCAAGGCAGACATGCAAGGCAAAAAAGAAAAGGAGGGGGCCGGGGGATCTGTCATCTTTGCAAAAAACAATATCACCATATTATTATTCTTGGGGAGGGGGTATTAATTATTGTTCTTACAATTTTCAGGAACATTTTTCTTACATTCTAAGAGAATATTGTAAACAAATTCAACAACGTCCATTTTGGAATGTATTTAAAAAGTAAATTTCAGGCTAGATCCCATGTCTGGTTTGATTAGGACAAACTTGTCAATTAAAGTGTATCTTTTTCTACCAGAGAGATCATAACTGTAGCAAGTGATGAAAATAGAACCAAATCATATTAAAAGGATATAATGTACATGAAGAAATTCTCTGGTCATAATCATTCACAGAACTAAATTACAGATATATAAGAAATAAGAAAATATATAATATATAGAAATATATGCATTGGTCAAGGATGTCAACAAAAACAACATACTAAAAAGGGGAAAGAGGTAAAAAAAAAACCTATGGGATTCTGGTATCATGGTCATATTCAATGGTAACTATGGTAACTACAAACTTTGGTTATTAAGCACATGGATCACGGACAACTCTCCTTGATCATGTTAAAAACTAATTAAAAAAATCAATTATAAGTTTTGTTTGTTTCTCTTAGGGGAACGAATGCTTCCTGCTACGTTGTACATAAATGTGTCGCTTGGAAGTGTTCTGTTTAGTTCCATTGCTATGCTGTCCAATCCATACTGCATGCGTGTCTGTCCAGTCCCAATATGGAAATGGATGAGTAAAAAAAAAAGGGAAAAAAAAGGGAAAAAAAGGCCGGAATTGAAGCCTTTTCAGACAAACACTGTCCGGATGGGTACAGTAGAGACTGGTGCTCTGAAGCAAATCCATAGGTCTACAGGCACATGTCCTTATCAATTATAATCCATACTGTAACACACAGTCTGAAATGTGAGACTATAAACACCACAGTCCATAGGCCATGTGCTGTGGCTGCTCCTGATGACACATCCGCCGGAGGCCAATAAATTTAGCCTTGGCTCAAGACGTGATGAATATTTGCTCCCTTGACCATCTCAATTAGAGTCTGTGCTGTCTCAATTAGGGTCTGTGCTTTAAGACTACATCATACATGTTTAACAAGGCCTATCATGGTAGCTCCATCGTGTCTTTCTTCTCACGAGCTTGCGTCCACGCCTGAGCGATCGATCGTTTCATGTCGTCGTCGCCATCGTCGTACATCGTCTGCATGAGGTCCATGATCCCTGCGGATGGGTCGCCGGTGTTCGTCTTGGGTGAAGCGGGTTTTCTGAATAGAGGATTTATTTATTTATTGATGAATTATTTATTTATTTACATATTTATTTATTCATTTATTTATTTATTTATTTATTCATTATTTATTTATTTATTCACATGGATTTATTTATTTATTCATTAACATGGATATATTTATTTATTTATTCATTATTTATTTATTTATTCACATGGATTTATTTATTTATTCATTAACATGGATTTATTTATTTATTTATTTATTCATTCACATTATCACGTTTTCAATACTTTTGTAGAACTAGCTATCTGATCTACGAAGTTTTGGGTTACACAAACTAACATTTTGTAGATATACCATTGTATAACCCAAACAGTGATTTACGATGGTACTGACGATTAACAAGAGTACATACTGTATATATGTAAACTGATAAAAAATAGAGTAAATAGATAGGATATGTTGTTGTTGTTGGTGCTTATTAGCGCAAAGCTAGGATTTAATTTTAGGGGGGGGCGGTAGTGAGCACGCAAAGGTGTGTGAATGACTTACAGAGCGCGCAAAGCGAGCTCCCTAGGGGGATGGGTGCGCTTTGACGTTTCATCAAATTATTAGAGAAAGATGACGATTCGTGGTACCATTCTCGACTTTTAATCCTTGTCTGAATTCAGTTCTCCCCCCCCCCCCTCCCGCGTGAAAGCTTTGACGTTTCATAAATGTATCATTAGAGAAAGAAGACGATTCGTTAGACTGTTCTCGACTCTTAATCCTTGTCTGGATTCAGTTCCCTCCCCCGAAGCGCAGAAGCTTTGACGTTTCATTAAATTATTAGAGAAAGAAGACGATTTGTTGTACCGTTCTCGAGTTTTAATCCTTGTCTGAATTCAGTCCCCCCCCCCCCCCCCCCCCCCCCCCCCCCCCCCCCCCCCCCCCCCCCGCGTGAAAGCTTTGACGTTTCATTAAATGTATCATTAGAGAAAGAAGACGATTCGTTAGACTGTTCTCGACTCTTAATCCTTGTCTGGATTCAGTTCCCTCCCCCCGAAGCGCAGAAGCTTTGACGTTTCATTAAATTATTAGAGAAAGAAGACGATTTGTTGTACCGTTCTCGACTCTTGTCTTTGTCTGCTCCTTTTTCTTCCTACGTCCTCTCCCTTTTTTCTCTTCTCTCTCTCTTTTTTTTTTTGGCAGGCGACTGCCCCCACCGCCCCCCCCCCCCCTCCTTGGCTACGCGCCTGTTGGTGCTTTACTTTCATTGGCGTGTGTCATTCAATTATGAATATTTATGTTATAACTAGTCTTAAAGGTAATACAAAGTTTTGGGATGGGGTCATGAATTTGTTTAAAATGAACATATTGGAAGCATATACGATCCTACAATATTCAGTGATCGTTGTCGTGCTTGAAATCGAGTCTAAAGTGATTAAATTGTAAATAATTAACTCTTTATGTTGTATACCGGTAGCTCCCTCTCAAGGTCAAAATATTAATTTAACTATAAAACAAGGTTTCTTGACTATGATCGACCAATTGGCTATTTTCGTTTGGAAATTATATATCACAACTACATATTCTGAGATTTTAATGGTCGCAGCTACGATTGTATGGCCGTAGGCGCTATCTAAAATTTATCAAAATTTACCAAGAGCACCAGTATTTTTTTTTTATATTCAGTTTTTCTCCAAATCAGAATTGTTTTAGGGGCTAAGTTTTCTAGTGCTTATAATACATCCACATGGGCATCCAAATATATCAAAATTGTAATGAATCACTATCCAGCCAATTTTTAAAAAATTCCCCAAACCTTGTATTACCTTTAATAACAAGCAGTTGTAATTTTTTTTTCAAGGAGTAAATTGTGGGGTGAAGTACGAAAAGAGGCATGTCGTGTACTAAAAAAAGCATGAGTATTCATGATTTACCAGCCTGTAAAAGAAGAATAGGTGTCAACCCTACACTTCATAGATTATGTAATGCAAGTCATTGCTACAAACCCTTGAAATACCTCCATATTCAAGATTTGGACATGAAATTGTCAGAGCTGTGAACCAAATTTTGATGTAATAAGTATGTGTAATACCAAGGCATGTACCAATATCAGGTTGCTATGCACTTCATTTAAAGCGATTTACAGCAATATGGAGTCAATTTCTTACCATTTTGAGGATGTTTTTGAAGCCCAGAATGCATATGTATGCACCAACTAGTGTGTAAATACAAGTTGCTTTAACGCCTATTAAGAGTGTTAAATATCCCTTTGTGCAACTCTTTAGAAAGTACATTGTCATATGTATTCAAGTATTTTTATTGTTATTATTAATTTTTTTGGGGGGTGGGCGTGGTGGTGGTGGTTTTATGAAAGGTCCCAATTAGTTCAAGTGTGTGTACATACCCTTTCTGCTTAGCCTTCTTCTCAGTCTGTGTTAGATAGTCCCAATTCTTTTCCTCCCTCTTCTTCATTAAAATCACCAGGTTATCCGTCTTTACCTACATGATAAAAACAAACACAAACAAATGTACTATAATCAAATTACCTCAGGTGCTAGTATTCAATCATTTTGCTGCCTTGAGTAGGTTACACAACTCAAATCATAAGTAATTGAGCATTGTGTTTCAACGACGGACGGTTTGATAATATATTCAAGGCAGCCCATTGAATATTCAATTATGACCTGGTTTAGTCATTGACTTTTATCATAGTGACCTATTGGATATAGAAATGAATCTATTTATTAAGTGAACCAAATGGAAATCATGCAAATGTCAGTAATAAAATCCATGTCCTGAGATCAGAAAAGGGAGGGGTTACTCGCCCTTTCCATCTATATAGGTCTTAAAATAATTAATTCTAATATATTTCATCTACTAGGTTTTAAGGCTTAAGCTTCATTCAGATATGACACAGCGATCGGCGATGCTTTTTATAATGCCGAAAATGTTTGATTTGGTTTGATGGTTTGTTTTACCCGACAGCTAAGAAAGCATGTGTATACTTGTAAGTAAGCAACCAGGGGACCGACAGCTTTAAGTTCTCTTTGAGGGACTTGGTAATGAGGATTAATGCCTAACCAAAGGGCACTAGCCCATCGTCTTGGTTTCGAACCCAAGACCTCCCAGCTACGAGACCACTGCTCTACCACTGAGCCATCACATCTCTTTTTATACCCTTCATATTTCTGTATCATATAACACAGAGCTCAGTGAGTACGAGTATGATCTTTGTTGCATGCAGTAACACTTCATTAAACATGTTATATTTATTTAAAGCCCCTCTGCACTAGTTTGGCCACGAGGGATTATACCGCCCTGCATGGTCACTGAGAGGTGGTTATCTCATCAAATGAGCTCTCAGAAAACATTAAAAAAACAGGACCATGGGTGACCAATGGTCAGGATTATGCATTGTTTGCTATATAGAGGGCGCAAGTAGCTATAAGTAGTGCAGTGTTGCTTGAAAACAAAGCAAAAACATTTTTTACCATTTCATATCTGAACGAGCCTTTACAGCAATAAAACCTATTTGACCTTTAACCTTTAACCTTTGTAATGCTGACGTACCTTGTGATGGCTCTTGTCCGGTATGATCTGATGCAGGAGGCTGTTGATAATGAGTTGGTGTAGGACCTCTGATTTCCTTACTTTCAGGCTCATCGAACTGGAAAGATAGATTGAACAATATCAGGGGGGAGTTTCACAAAGACTAAGAACAACTTTGAGTTGGACTTAACTATGGCAGGCCGTTCATGCCACTAGTTCCTCTAACCATTCCTGGCATTGCTTTGTTAAGGGACGTATAAATCGTGGTAAAAAATCTACAGAATTTGCATTTATTGATAGTTCATTATATGAGGAATAAATAATATCTAAAGATCATAATTGAGAGACCAATAGTGAGAGCAACCAGTAGCATATAAACAGCCTGCCATAGTTAAGTTCCACCTAAAGTCGATATTAATCTTTGTGAAACACCCTCCTGGCATTATTTAATGGTGTAAAGAAATAATTAACCATTCCTAATTCAAATATTTTGTTAATGTATGGTTTACATGTACAGCTGTAATTAACATGAATAGAACTTCATCCATACAGGGTAACATAGGAGTGCACCCCCCCCCCCCCCCCCCAACCCCTGCTTCAGTAAAATGGGGAAATTAAAACACTTGTAAGATCAAATACAACTAAAATGAGAAAACCTAGGCCAGGAATGGTATTCATTCACAATCCCCTTCCACTCTTACAAACGATAACATGTACAGACATTCGTTCCTGATTTTCTTTGAAATGTAAACCAATTAAAAAACAACATTAATCCTTAGACTACTGAATTTTTGAATTCCCATAGGCTTAAATTCTCAAACAGCAATGCAAACTACTAGTATTCCAAAGATGTATATATTACGATTTGTAAATACCAAACACCAGGGGGTGTTTCACAAAGATCCTAAGTTGAACCTAACCTGAACCCGAGCCTGTTTTAAGAACTGAGGGGGGGGGGGGGGGGGGGGGGGAGGCGTGCCATCATTTCTGTCTGCTCAGAGTGGGACTCTAAGCCACACCCATGATGAGTCGGAAAACGATCCAAATGCGTCACACTACCTCAGCATAGAAAGCAATGAAGTTTAAAAGTGGACTTACAAATTTACTTCCTCCCAAAGGAAAAAAAGAAAGAAAAAAAACATTAACATTACAAATGTATTTACATTGTAAACATCTTTTGTTTCTGTGAACACAAGGAAAAAGATGTAATGATTGACTTTGCATTTGATGCGTTAGATATATATATACGTGAGCCATTCTAAAGTTGCTCATGTGTGGGTATATAGCGGGCAGCTCAGTGTTATGTAGTGATCGCCAAGTTGCCTTCTTCACGAACGACTATATACCCATGCATGAACATCTTTAACCCTATTTTAACTGGGCTATTTCAGACCAGGTTTTACTGGGGGGGGGTCAATTTGACCCCCCCTTAAGATCTCGGCCGTTTGACGGCCGATCGCCGCGAAAATTTGCATACATGTCAAATGAAGTGTATAGAATACTATGGTAATTTCAATTTTTTGAAAAATTCACTCATTTACATATTTATGGTAATTTATGCAAATAAGGTCATAAAATTCACATTTTTGCCCATAAATCATACATTATTGCTATTTGAGCATTCTTTTTCACTACATATATTTGTTAGACCGTTTGGAATAATAATACAACATAAAAAATAAGAAAAGCCAGGTTATTCTTTATGTTATCTCTTGTTTTGATAATTTCTTATGTATTTCATTGTTTTTTCAACTTATGTATTTTATTGTTTTTGTTGTTTTATTTCATTTATAACTACAATTCAACTATTTTGACCCCAAAACAAACACCCAAACTTTAAACAAGACTAAATAACCAATGTTTTATCCCTTTTTAGGAAAAATGACATTTCCATATGTTTTGTACACAAATCACAAAAATTAGCGATTTTCTGGCTGACATGCAACAACAAAATGTCACGTGACTCCGTAACTATACGTCCGATTTTCGAAAAAATTGTTTTAAAAGATGCGTAAGACTTGAAAGAAAAAAGTCATGAAAGGAAAATTTTATATCTGCCGCGGTTTCGGAGTAGTCGCGAAATTTCTACAGGGGGGGGTCAAATTGACCCCCCCCCCCAGTTAACGTAGGGTTAAAAGGTGGCAAAAAGGACCTATTCATACCTTGATGTATATTCAACTGTGATATCTTCTTTGGCAAGCGACTGAACACCATTCAGTGTCACATACACCTTCACAAACTTGGGGGACTGATCCCAGCCTAATGAAGAAAAAAAGGAAGAAGAGACTAGAAAAACAATATCAGGAATAAGTAGAAATATTAGGAACGATAATGAATTTAACCTATTGGCTACACATGCCTTACATTCCCATTGGCTTAACAGTGGCTTAACAGAGGCACGATAGCTCAGTCGGTAGAGCAGTGGTCTCGTAATCCGGTGACCCTGGTTGGAAACCAAGTCGATGCGCTAGTGCCCTTTGGTAAGGCATTAATCCTCATTACCAGGTCCCTCGGAGAGGACGTAAAGCCGTCTGCCCTTTGGTTGCTTACTTACAAGCATTTATGCTTCTTAGCAGTCAGGTAAAAAAATAACAACCAACCAACCACCTGGTTCCTGACTTCGTGTAGGCATAGGGTCAAATTTTGAGGTAAAAATACATGTTTTCCTAACATTTCAAAGGATAAAAAGACATGAAAAATGTCAAATGAGCCATGAAAAATACACACATTTATGAAAGTATTGGAGTTGGACAAAAAAGAAAAGAAGACAAACTTGTGGTTTTAAGCCAACAGATTACATACACTAGTTATTGCTCTGTGGACACTTCTGTAATTCTAATCACCATCTCATGACCAACAAACCTAACCCTAACACTTTAAGCTAAAACCTAATTAAAACCCTGACCATATAACTTGGATGGAATATAGCCGTAAGTAATTTTCGCAAGAAATATCAGACATCGGTCCTAGCACCATAAGACATCTGGGCCCCAAGTTGCGATTAATCACACCTTTTTCGGGATTTGTGATTGATATCGATCGCAACTACAGTATGCTTAAGAGATAGGGAACTGGGGCCCGTTCCTCAAAACCATCATAAGTCTAACTTCTTGACTATCACATTCAAACGTATGTTATAGAATTAACATGTGTTTCAATGGGATAATCAGGAAGTTAGACTTATGACGGCTTCAAGGGCCCCTGCTAGCTTGCGATTGATTTGGATCAATCAAAAACTCTTCATAAGAGCCCAGGGCCTAGATCTACAGACATCAGGCTACATTTGTAAATGCTGTATCCTCACCGTACGAAGTAATGGTCTTGGTAGGAAGTTTGGAGACCAAGATCTTCTGTGGTTTTGGTACGATGTCTGGAGCGACGGCCTTCGGTGCAGGACCAGGAGGTTCATCGCTGCTGGATACTGCCCCAGGCGTAACTTGGGTATCCCCCTTCTCGTCTGCCCCCGAAGTAGCCTGGGTATCTCCCTTCTGGTCTACCCCCGGCGTAGCCTGGGTATCCCCCTTCTCGTCTGGCCCTCTAAGTTCCTCTTGATCTCTTGACCGGTTCTTTTAAGGTCTGGATCTGTTGAGATAGTATGTTCCTGACAGAGTCCCTTGTCGTCAGTGTCAACAGTCTTTCAAGCTCTTGGCAGTCAAGGTCAAACTGTAGAGAGAGAGAGAGAGAGAATGTATGATACATGTTTTGTTTTTTTTTAGAGTATTTAATCCCAGTACTTTTAAAAGTTATTTATTTAGTTTTTTATTTAAACAAATTTGTTTCAATGTATTGCTTTGTTTTTTGTTGTTGAAGTGTTAAATGTGGAAGAATATTATTGAAGAAAAGCCCCTTAAAATGATTGTTCTTCCTGTAACTTCCTGCATATATATCTACAAAATTAAAAAAAAAAAATGACATGAAATATGTGAAATGTTTAAAGACCAAGCTTTCATGCCGCTTCTGTCTGTTGTCCCATATACACAACTGTGTGTGCAGTGCATGTCACTTTCTCATCAACTTATTATTCGCCAAACCTCAGTTTATACATCAATCCCTATTAAAGTCTAGAATGATTATCAATCTTTTTTCCTTATCCTTTTAAGTTTCTTTTTAAATGCAATGGCATGACCAGATCACCAACCCATTGAAAGAGTGTATTGTTAATGACATGTTTCAATCAATAGGATATCTGTGAACTTGCGTGATTTGTGATGGTTTCATGAGATGGTGCCTCAATACGCATTAGGCTAAAAAATAAAAAATCAAATACCTGCAAAACCAAGGAAATGTAGTGATTCAGCCCGACCCCTATGGGAGGCGTCACTCGCAGCCGCGGGCGAGTCATTGTGGCCTGGGTTAGAATATATTATAGTTAGATTTGAACCAATACTGAAAGTCGTTGGACGCATCAAGTTGAGCCTCTTGTCCCCGACTGGTAATGCCTTTAAGCCTTAGCCTTACATGTATGTACGCCGCCGCACAGAGCCCCTGCTGCATACACAGTCTGCAGCGTCCAGCTTCAGCTTCAAGTATTCAGTAGCGTCAGTTTATGGTAGGATTAAACCTTGATTCAGTCCATTATCCCCTTTAATTAGTGTTAGTAATTAATCCTTAAGTAGTAGGCCTAGATCTAAGTTAATATCCGCTCAGATCACTACAGAAATTTTCTAAAACGCAAACTGAACTTGTACTATTGTAGACAGAAATAACCATCTGATTTGGGTCATTTCTTTAATAAAACTGACATTTGTTGTCATTCCCCAATACAGATGGTAACCCAGAGATCTCGTACCCTGGGGGTGGCTTTGTACATATTTTCGTCCATGACATTTTCTCCCCGATTTTCTTTATTTAGATCTAATTTTCTGATTTTTAAATCAGATGTAAATTAGGTCGGTATGTCATTTGTCCTAATTACAGTTATCAAAATTTGATAACTTAATATTAAATGTATAATTTACGGACTTACTTATATGAATTATCCAATTTGTATCTCCGAACTGTGAAGCAGTACGTTCATGCATTCGAAATATTACCCGGGCGGCCGATATATTTCCGGGTCCACCTACCAAAACATAGCCAATGGCCAATCAGAGCACTCGTTTCGTGGGAGTTTGTTGGTCAAGCTGGGCCGACTCGTACGTAGCTACGGTAGCTATTGGACGTTCGAAAAGAAAAAATGAATATTCATCAACTAAAACCAAGACGGATAATGTTGACGACGAGACTTTCTTGATTAATCATTAATTTAGGATCTAAATGAGCAAGCTATCGTAAGTCAAATAAGCTATATATATGTTATTTTTAATTTGTATTATAATTGCAGCAGTTATGAGGATGTAAAGAGTGAAAATCTTGTTGCATATCTCATTCATCGCGGTCCGGTCGAACCGAACCATTTGTTCCGTACAGTCCCGTACAGTTCCGATAGGCCATACTTCAGTCTCTATAATCGGAGGTCTAGTGGAGCCAGACGTAGTCTCAGTGGAACAACCGACGATTAGAGAGACTGAAGTTTTCGGTCTAGTACTATTGTAGTTGTATGTAGACTAACTCCGGGAAGCTCCAACACCGGCGCCGCAGGCGTCGGAGCTTCGGGTGGTTTCCTTGGTTTCTCTTGGGGGCTAGTAAAACAGCCGATTTGGTGATATTATCGTTAAATCTGCAAAGGGAGTACTTACAGAACAAACAGAGCCCTTCTCAACCTCGTGCATATTCAGCGATTTCGAGCGATCGGCGCTCGATAGCCTGAATATTCATATTTTCTTCGCCACTGCCGCGCATGCGTACCTTCTCATCGCTATTTTGAATCAACGCTGCGACATGGAAGAATCGTTGTTGGAGTACCCCAAATTAACCTTTTTTTCCCATCGAAGACTTCTTCAAATTATACATTCAAGTGATTGGAGTTGAGCCCTGAGGAGTCGTGCACCCTAGCCTTAAGGGCTCTCTCGAAATGTTTTTTTAATGATATTATTCGAGAGAGCCTTAAACGGCTCCCATACCCCTGCACGGAGAGGCATGTAAACAAAACTCAAAAGTGGTCCAAAATCACACTTTCGCGCACCCGACCAATATTGGACAGTGGCTTTGATAAATTTTGTCGTAGTTTTGGTCTTAATTAGCGCTTTAATTTCAAAATCGGATCTAAAAATAACAAAATAAGAGCAATTTTCTTACCAGACCGATACAGCTCAGCTCCCTTTTCACGTGTACCGTGTGAATTCACGATGTCTACACAATGGTGATGACCTCTGACTGGCACTTCCGTAATTGTGGGTAAATTGTGCTGCTTCCATATAATGCGCTGTATGAGTGTTATTCAGCGCATTATACGGAAGCAGCACATTTACGAATTGCTAGTCAGATCGAGGTCATCACCATTGTGTAGACATCGTGAATTCACACGGTACACGTGAAAAGGGAGCTGAGCTGTATCGGTCTGGTAAGAAAATTGCTCTTATTTTGTTATTTTTAGATACTATTTTGAAATTAAAGCGCTAATTAAGACCAAAACTACGACAAAATTTATCAAAGCCACTGTCCAATATTGGGCGGGTGCGCGAAAGTGTGATCTTGGACCACTTTTGAGTTTTGTTTACATGCCTCTCCGTGCAGGGGTATGGGAGCCGTTTAAGGCTCTCTCGAATAATATCATTAAAAAACATTTCGAGAGAGCCCTTAAGGCTAGTGCACCCTATGATGTAGAAATTGTAAGTACTCCCTTTGCAGATTTAACGATAATATCACCCAATCGGCTGTTTTACTAGCCCCCAAGAGAAACCAAGGAAACCACCCGAAGCTCCGACGCCTGCGGCGCCGGTGTTGGAGCTTCCCGGAGTTATATGTAGACCTAAGTTCCATTCATTCCATTTGGCATTAGATCTATTCTTAGGGAGGCCAATGCCCGGGCGTAAGGCTTCTACAGTTACGATTTGTGCGCTCGTCGCCCACTTCAAAAAATTAGCAAAGGGAAAAAAATGATGTAAAATAAAAATTGAAGGAAATAAGAAAAGAAAATACAATTATACATTTCACAACATACCTATAATCACGGATCTGTAACAGTCTTTCACCATTTGTTGACAATCTTGCAGATTTTGACGTTTTTTAATCCAATAATTGTGGTTGCAGACGACCTTGACGCACTCGCACCACCGACTAAGAAAATCCTAGAGGGCGTAGAGGTTTGCTCACTAAAAACCTTCTCATTGGCAGAAGGTAGACCCTAAAAATATGGGATCCGTTTTGAGTAAAGAACTTTTGATAGAGATCAACATTTCAGATGTTCACAATTGCCGCTTCTAACAACTAGAAAATATAAAGAAAAAAGATTATATCTTTTTAAATACAGATTTTTACAAACTGAACATTCGAAAGTAGATAGAGTACGATGTTTCTGTCAATCGTGCGTTGGTTTGAGCCCTATAGCTACATCCATCTCAAAATGAGAAGGAAAACAGTGAACAGTGACGTCATTGTTCGCGCCAAAAATAAAGGGTATTGCGACATAATCTGAGCTCCGGTCAGATCGTGCGCAAAGCGTAGTCTTATTTATAGACCCTAGTACCTTATTCTCACAGCACTCGATACGAATGTCGTGCAGTAATGTATGAGAAGTGTTAAAAAAGATATTTCATTAAAAAAAAGAGTCTACGTGAGCAGTCTATACTCCAATTGAGAATTGAAATGAAAGCCATGATTTGAAGGTGTGTGTTGTATGATACATGGTTAGTGAGTGTGTATGTTACGTATAGCGAAAGGGAGAGAGAGAGAGAGAGAGAGTGAGAGAAATATTAGTACACGTACGTTGCATGCATGGATGTGCGCTATGATTGTGTTCGCTGCAAGATGGATGTTAATTGGACCTCGTAACTTCTCGATCGTTGATAATAAGGAATACTCATGAGGAAATCAAATTATTGGAATGCACATCTAAGGTAAATATCAATGAATTATATATATTTCTATTCTTCATTTTTGAACCATCCTCTTCGGCTCGTAGTAGTAGAAGATGTAATCGTTCGCACATTGATGGCTGGACTTCAGCCTGCATCGGGGCTTGCCTGTGTCGGTGGTGGGATCAACTAAGAAGAAGAAGGTGTGTACGTGTGCGACCGATTCAAGGCTAGCCGCTGTTGAGTGATTGCACTTTCGCGCGAAGTTTTAAACTTCATCATGAACTTTGTCCCTCGGGCCTGTCTAATTATGAACGTAACTTTGCGACATGAAATATAATTGTTTCAAGGCTCTTTACGTACGGAAAGGCGTAGAAGGAACCTCATAGGAACTAGCTGGATATCTCCTATTTGATGGAACTTCTGGAGTCGGCAGATGGGTGGATTTTCTTAGTGAAAGTAAATGCTTTCTTTTAATCTTAGTTTTAGTATAAACAAATTAGTAATTAAAGAGTTAGATTTGGGCATTGGCCTCCCTACTATTCTATTTCTAGGCCTAACACTCTGTTACTTTTTTGTCAGCTAGATCTAGACCTAATCTGTAATCAACATTGATTCATTGTTATTATTTATCTTCAGCAGGTTTTGCAAAATGCTGCGTGAATGTATTGCAGTACAGTATTTGCCCGTTTTAATACACAGCCAGGATAGTAATGCTACTATATTGTGTGGGAATTCCCCAGCACAACTCTTTTCGAAGATTCGCGAAGCGAAGCCGAGGCCGAGGGCAAGCGGTGAAGAAGCTGGAGGCGCAGCGCGCGGCGCACGGCTAGCGAGTACGAGTCCATCATTTATACTGGCCACACACACACTCACAGTTTAGTTTTAGGCCAGAAATATAAATAATGACAAATAATATAGATCTAGTATTGACACATCCATAAACAGAGTAATTACCTCTTCATTATTCGTCATCTTTTCGAGGTCTTTTGGAGACTTTCAATATCGTGGAAGTGGAATTCTGTGGGCTCACCCAATTTGCATTACTTTTGTCACGTTTTATGCACACAAAAGTATGGAAAGCTTTTAGTTAGTCGAGGGCTTATTAAGTGCCAATGTTCGACCGTCGTATTATTTTATTATTCCTTTCAATATCATCGCCCGGAAAATGTCCATAACTTTCTTCTTTGATATTGTCTCTTGTTATGGTTTCTTTACCAAAATATATAAACAAATACAGTCTGAATGAGCCCCTAACAGCGCATAATTTCGGTTCGCCAAACTAGATATATTTAAAATAAAATTAAATTGCAATCACTAATAGGTCTAAGAGGCTATAGGCACGGTCAGCCATATTGTAGGCCTATAGGCCCACTGGTCACTACCGTGGGCGCCTCCAGTTAAAACTATTTTTTAAATAGATATATCTTTTTGTTGGAGGGGGGGGGGGAGGGAGCGATATCAACTAGTGGGGAATCGTAATACATACACTATAATTCCAGATTTTTAACCTAAAAGGTATATACGTCGACCTCGATCACAAGCTCATCAGTACACATTTAATCAACTTCACTTTTTTTGCGGGTAGGCCTATATACAATTACTGATGTTTAATGATCGATATGCTGTTTGATTTCATTTTTCATGCATATTTGTTTATATTAATGGAATATACTAAAGAAAGAGAGAGAGAGGGATAGAGATAGAGAGAGAGAGAGAGAGAGAGAGAGAGAATGAGAGAGAGAGAGAGAGAGAGAGAGAGAGAGAGCCTGAGGTTATCATTACTATTATTATTAGGCATATTATTAATATTACTACTGTTGCTGTTGTTTTCTTCTTGTTGTTTTCTATTCAAAGATGCTCTGGTTTTAATTTTCTGATCTTTAACTGTAATTAGCCCTCAACTCTTTATTATGCATTTTGTCGACTGAATTCTACCCCAATAAAATTAAATAGTAATTACTTTTCACAGGCCTAAGAGTAACTCATGATCAGGAGATGGAGTACGCATAATATGTCAGAGCTTCCGCGCTTGTTGCGGGAGAGGGAAACTAAATTCAGACAAGGACTAAGAATCGAGAACGGTTCATTGAATCGCAATCTTTCTCTAATGATTTAATGAACGTCAAAGCTTCCGTGCTTCGCGTGGGAGAGGAAAACTAAATTCAGATAAGGACTACTTAAGGGTCGATAATGGTTCAACAAGTCGTCCTCTTTCTCTAATAATTTAATGAAACGTCAAAGCTTCCGCTCTTCAAGCGGGAGGAGTGGTGGGAACTGAATGCATACAAGGATTAAGAGTAAAAAATGGTACGAGGAATCGTCTTCTTTCTCTAAAAAACAATCAAAATGAAAAATCAAAGCTTCCGCGCTTCGCGCAGGAATGGGAAACTAAATTCAGACAAGAATTAAGAGTCGAGAACGATACAACTAATCGTCTTCTATCTTTAATAATTAAATGATACGTCAAAGCTTCGGGCGAGAGGGGGGGGGACTGAATTCAGACAAGGATTAATTAAGAGTCGAGAACGGTACACCGAGTCGTCTTCTTTCTCTAATAACTTCGCAAGGAAGCACCCACCCCCTATGGAGCACGCTTCGCACAAGAAGCGTGCTTACTATACCGCCCTATCTTAAATAAAATCCTAGCTTCGCGCCTGCCATGCTGACTAGTTTTGACGAAATAAACCGTATATTTATGTTGTCGGGGAAAATGACCATGTTCGCATACGGAAGTATAGATAGTTCTTTAGGAAAAAATAATTTAGCCCCCGGCCCGGGTTTATAGGGTTAAATTAGTTGACATCGGGACATCGGCATTAATATATTTGTCGGTAAATGGGGTAATTGGTGGCTGGTTTTGTCGGTAATCGTTGGCCTCTACACCCCCCCCCCCCCGCCCCCCCCCCCCCCCCCCCCCACTGAAAAAGGTCTAGCGACGCCGCTGTAAAGGGTTATAGGCCGGACTCCGTAATACTTTGGATATAGCAGGAGTAGAGATATTCCGGAAAGGATACATAATGGTGTGCAGACGTATGTGACTGTGTAAACAAATATGCATTCCCTGACTGTATCAATAATGTAAACAAAAGAGAGATGATAAATCATTATGTTTGGATCAGCTGCGGTCTGCTGTTTGTTGAAAGCCAGCTTATTGTCATTTTGTAGTACCCTCCTTGTTTACCCTTCGTTTGTTTGAAGCCAGAAGGGCGTTAAATCTGTGTTAAAGTACTGGGGCTAATGCCCTTGCCCTTTTGACTCCGACGAGAAAATACTTTTGTCTGATGCAACTGCAAGCAAACCCGTACCGAGGTCCTGTTTTGAGGTTAAAATAAGCGATGACTTGTTTCCTCAAATGAAGTCATAAAAATCCACCTTTCTAAAACCTTTTTTTTTTATTAAAAACATCCTATAATTATGCATTGCCTCATATATAATCTTAACAGGGAGGAGGGGTGGGCGTTCTGTCATTATTTGAATGACAACAAAAATAAGGGAACAAACATTTTACTTCAGTCACACCTCACTTTCTCGAACGACGAGCATCTATTAAGTGAGATAGGAAAACTGAGATCATTCAGAGGACATAGCCTGAATCACCAAACACGATGGCGAATTTCATCAAGTTATCTATATTATTTATTGTACTAGTTTCATCAGCCTGGGGTGAGTTGAATAAAATCAAACCTGGCTTAGTGGCCACCTCTCTATTAAGGTCACCTGTGTATAGTGGCCATGCATGTTGTCTTCCTCGAGAAATAAGTGTGTTGTAGAACCTGTCTATATAGAGGCCACTAGCCTAAATGATTAAATCATTTTGTATGGAAAAGACATATTTGTAAGAAAGTATGAATTTAAAAGGGGCATTTCAGTTTCCGTGATAATGTTCGTAGTTTACTAAAAACTATTACAGTTATTATGGTATGATTAGTATGAACTCAAATTGACAACTCAGTTTCATAGCAGGTTTATTTTTCATCAAAGACTTGTAATCTTTATCCTTGCTGATAATTGAAAGGCATAGGTATTTATACATGTAATTGCATATTGTAAGTAATCTCTGCAAATATTTTATAAAGGTTATAAAGGTAGCAAACAAAATCATGTTATGATTTTTCAAATCAACTAACCAAATTTGTATTCAAGGAGATTAATAATATTCTCCAGTTTCACTAATACCATAAACATGGCTACTGGGTGTCATGATATCCAATATTCAATAATAGTATTGATGATATGCAATACATAGCGCATATCACAAATATTTTCATATGCCCTGTAATAGAGAGAAGGAACGAAAAGAATATGGAAAAAAATGAGATATGCTCAGCCTACATTGTAAATTTCTTGAAAATAATCGTTTTAAGAAGTGTTTTGAAGACATGAGTCTTCTGTAAGGTACATATTGTGCGCCTTCTGTTTTCGAAGCAATTTGAAATTAAATTGTCTTACTATGCAAGTTGTCTTTGATCTTTTATAATTTAAAGTCTAAAACATGCCCCGGCCCACTCAACATTGATTGATAGTATTTTATCTCTCCCTCTCGAAAATGTACTCCGAGGCAGCAGCTTGTTATATAGATGTTTACTTTCAAAAGATCTGCAATATCTTCGTGTATTTCAACTGTTCTATCCTGCAATTCGGCAAGAGTTGCGTTTTCCAGCCTTCACAAATCTTGTTTGAGCGGGGACAATTCCATAAACTGGCACCCCGTTCAAGAGATTATTTTGATCTTGTCTTTAATGAAACGAAATCAATTACCAGGTTTTCAAAGTGTTTTTTTTTTTTTGGAAGAATGTCACTTGTGTCCGCCTTATTACAGTTATCTTTACGATATGTTTGTGTCCATTTTAGGAAGAAGTATTATGCATGGACTAGTGCGAGATAGGAGGAGTGACTCTAGTTCTTCTGAGGAGAGACCCCCACCACCAGCACCACCAACACCAGCAATAACCACCACAACTACACCAGCAACGATGTTGACCGTCACAACTGGCTCTTGTGCAGCAACCACTACCACCACAATACTTCCAACCGTTTCTTCAACCTCAGCCATGTCAACTACCAGAACAACGCCAGCAGCTTCCACACCTCAAACAACGGAAATGCCCACAACTGAAACAACCACTGCAACAACGGAAATGCCTACAACTGAAGCAACCAATGCAACATCGGAAATGACCACAACTGAATGTCTTCGCGACGAACCAGGATGTACACCTTAACCTATCATGTAACTGGACACAGTGTTTTACTTCAACATCAACACCTACAACATCAAACAAATCGCCAACAGTTTTTTCTTCTTTTCAAATTAGGTTTTATTCAAGACTAGTCAAAAAGTCCAAAGACTAAAAATGCAAGTTAACATCAAACATACAATCCTATAAACTAAAGCATTCAAAAACATATTTATATAATATATGATTGTGTGTAGTCGACTCGGAAACCATGTTCGAGAGTGGCAATTTCAACCCTCCCAAAGATATTGACATTGGAATTCTTGAGTAGGAAAAGTAAATGCCCGTATTTTGTTAATTAAGTCTTGTGAATTAAAGATAACATTGATTTATAATACAAGTGAATTAGATATTTCAACAGAATTTACAAAAGAAAAGAAAGTAGGTGTATTCTACTTTTCCTATTTTAAGTTCTACAATGCTACATTTTGCTGAGAGTGATATTCAATTACAACTCCGGAAACAGGAAACGGTATAACCCCTTCTTCTAGCAGTAAATATGTGTTAATATTTGGTGATGTCATGTTCCAATTTGATCATTAAGATAATTTGCAATACACAGGAAACCGCTTGTTGTCGAACCCCCCCCCCCCCCGCAAAGCTCAAGGGAAATATTTCCAGCATGTTTGCATAATTATTGTTTGCCAATTTTATTTGTTTTAGAATTATTATTTGATTGTTTAGTCGGAATCGTTTAGAAACCAAAGTATAGATCCGTCATGTTCCCTCATCTAAATATGTTAATCTTTCTCTTAAAATGGCGGTGGACGTGATAGGGGTGTTTTGATAATTGAAAATATGATACTGATAAGTCTTCCTTCATTTGACTGATAAATGTGTTTACGGTCAACGGGTAAATTATTCATACCCCTAGTCAATTTGATATTTTTGTTTTTTTCGTAACTCAAGAACGAAAGGTTAACTGGTTAAATTAGGGTCTTTGTTGAATATTATTAGACGTAAACTGTAGTATATCACATTCTCAAGATACATAAATCGGGAAATATTTATTTGTTTATATCCTTTAAAAATTGCAAAACTTGTAAAGGTATGAATCATTTAGTAGTTAATTGTAACATTGTGACGTGTTAGAGTTACCGGCTTGGAATAAAGCTTCACCAAATATCATTATGCATGCACTGATTTGATGACCTTTCATATTTTGTGGTTGATTCACTGTCTATTTTAAAGTTGATTTTTTTTTCTACCATTTCTGCTGCCACACATAAAGAATTTCATTCCAGAAAAGATTAAATCCACTTTGGGCGTTTTAGAATTATTTAAAGATCCAGGGATCTTATACAATGTAGAAACATTGATTGAGGACCAGACAGTAATGAAAGTTGGCTCATTGTTTGTATTGTGTTCCAAGAAATAAAACTAGAAACGATCGACACTGCAACACTTTTAAGCAGGTCCGTCGAAGCCACTACGGTTGGTACGGGATTGACCGTACCACTTTTCAGCCTAAAAAAAAGAGGGGAAAAAATTAAAGAGAAAGAGAGAAAGAGAGAGAGATAGAAATAGAGAAGAAAAGAGAAGAGAAAAGAAGAGAGAAGGTGGAAGGATGATAAATGTCATGTAAGCAAAAGATACTAGTCGAGCATGTTAGTCCGGCACACTGATCTCGTTTGGAACATGTTAGTCCAGCCTGACTGACCATCGATTATGTTCAGGCGCGGATCCACGGGCAGACTCTACCAGCCTGCCCCACCCCCCCCCCCAAACCCCAAGACGGTTAAAAAAAAACAGGATAGTAACGTAAATTTTACCATTTTCTAAACAAAAACAAAAGTGCCCCCCCCCACACACATACACACACACCCCGACCCCACCTTGACCACCCCGTTTCCCCACTTTTTCAACGGCCGGCTGAGTCGGCGCAAACAAATTTCCTCAAAAACTGGACCATGTTTTAAAATATATATCTGCTCTTATTTCAAACTTTCGCCATTCCGTTTTTCTTATTTTACTGCTTTCATACAAATGAACTGGTCACAAGTGTTTAGATTGCCTCTAACTTCCTAAAATGCTTACAAGGTTTTGATTTAATTAAATGAACGCTCGCAAAATATGCTCATCTAACCTTAATTAAATACCTAAAAAAAACCTGAGCTTCCGGGGGCTCTGCCCCCTCGACCGACCAGGGGGCCTAAAACGGGCCCCTGAATGCTTATCTGACCGTTATAAAATACCTCAAATCCCTGAGTTTCAGGGGGCTCAGCACCCTGGACCCCACGCCAATCAGTGACCTGCCAGTGTCATGAATAAGGTATCAAAATATGCTCATCTTACTGTATTTAAATGTCCATACCGCCTGAGCTTCCGGTGGCTGCGCCCCTTGATCACCCGGGGCTTTGCGCCCTAGACCCCACGCCAATTTATGCTACGCTCTATCTGATCGTAAATACTTAAGCCTCCCCAAACCACTTTTAAAAACTTTCAGCGGGGCCTGCATGTAAGAGTGGGGTGATGCGGATTTTGTTTCTGCCCCCCCCCCATTTTTGTGTTGATCATTACGCCACTGTTGGTCACCATTACGTACCAATATTTGGCTTGAATAAATTCAAATTTGACCCCCTCCCCCCCCCCCCACCCTAAGAAATCCTGGATCTACATAATTCTACTTTGTATCTTAATAATTTCTCATTCTCAAATGCTTTAGACCACTAAGGACCTACTCATCAGTGTGTTTGCTGTGTGTGTGCGCGCATGTGTGTGTGAATATTTGTTTGTGCTCTATATCCTGTAGCTTAGTTTTATTAGATTAATAGTCCTCTGGTTTATGAGGGTATTTTTTATTTCATCATTATCACGTTTCAAAAAAGGAGGAAACATAAAACTGCCACAATTTATTACTATTTTATTGATAAGATAAGCATAATTAATCACTATATCAAAATCAGCCGAAACACTAGACTGACGCCTTTTGGCTCTTATAATAATGTTTGATTCGATAGTAAATCCTTACCAACTACCATCAAAAGTTAGATCTGTATCCTGCTTTGTTTTGTTTCGGGTACGCTAGACATTATCTCGATGTATGTCGACTTATTGGTAACTTTATACAAGTAACGTATGTGAACGTACGTCTTGCCAAAGGACGTTTGTGTCGGGCTGGGATTTGAACCACGTACCTTGCGATCTACAGTCTGCCGACTTATAGACCACAACACCTCTATGTTGTGCAAATATACTATAGAGCCCTGCATCTTTTTCTCACCCTTGAATCAGGGTGATTGATAGTCCTTTGCTTTATCAGGGTACTTTTTATTCCATCAAAATAACGCTTCAAAAACTAGGAAACCTTAAAACTGCCTCATTTTATTTCTGTTTTGATTGATAAAAGAAGCATAATGAATCGCGTGCTCTCGTGAAGGCCACCGCAGCGCTTTACAGCGCAACCTGAAGTTGATGATGATGATGAATCACTTCATCAAATGTCCCCTCAAAAGCAGCCAAAACACTAGACTGGCGCCAAATGTTTATCATGATTGTTTGATTCTAGTAAATCCTTACCAACTACCGTCAAAAATTAGATCTGTATCCTGCTTCGAAGCACGCTATAATTACTTATTTACTTGCACTATTCATCTAGGCACTCGACACGCAGAAGTACGATAATACGCCAACGGCGGTCTGTACTTAACTGGAAGAAGAATTTCTCTTTAAATGGCCTGCCCACCAGCGCCACTGGCATATCGAGAGAGGTAGAGTAATCGACCAGAACCATCATCATCATCATCATGTTGCAGCTTCTGCTTCTCAGCCTGAGCTCCCTGGTGCTCGCGGCCAACGCCCAGTGCTCCACCCTAGGCAACACCTGGGAGGAAATCCCTAATGCTGAAGGCTTCTGCTACCAGTATTACGGTACTCCGGCAACCTGGGCCGAAGCGAATACAAAGTGCCAGAGTTTTGCTGGAGGCGACCTGACTTCCTTAGACAATGAAGCCGAAGCGAATGCGATCTATGAGTATTGGAAGACCGTGGGAACAAACAGCAATTCGGTAAATTATCATCCTCTCTTCCTTTTCAATTCCCCCCTTCATCCTCCCCATTAATTGTATGTGATTACCTCTAAATAGTCGCCGCATTTATTTTCTTTGACAAATCGAATTGGCTTTCTTCGGCTCTAGATCTCCCTCTCTCTTCACGATCGCCCTGTTATTGTCCAATTTCGCAAAGAACAATATGTACCGATCGATTGACAGAACGATTACTTTGTACAGCACAAAGGCTTGGCCCTTTTTTTAATTTTTTTTTACACCCGTATAGAAAAAAATATTGCACTGGAAACATTTGATTAATCTTAACGCATTTGGTATTGCTATCCCATGGTATCTTAAATACAACGTGGCGCAGTGAGACTGTTAGAGTGTCAAAAATGTTAATGGCATTTTATTCATAACGATTTCAAAGATCAAACACTTCATTTTTGTTAAATGAAGAGAGAAATAAGAAACCTGAACAAGAAGAGGAAAAAATATGAATGGGTTCGGTAGAGACGTATTACCTTTTAGATAATCAATAATCAATGTATTATGATTGTAGTTCTTGTTTTAACAAAAAAAAACAATATTACTTATGGGCAGCCGTCCTTCAACTAGAATATAAAAATATAATCTATGACTTATTTTACATTGCTATGCCCTTTGACTACGAATTAGTGTGCAATATACCCATATTGACTACTTTGAGGAGCACGGCAAAAGCTATTATGTCCAAAACGAAGGCGAGGGGGCAGTCTCGCGATCGCCGATGACTTATATTCTTTACCGTGACGCAATAAAAGCAACACATGCCGGATGCTTTTTTAATGAATTCCTTCCGCGTGTAAATTCTCAAAAAAGACATTTTAAGAAAACATGGATGTTAAAATGCATTTTTACTTATAGGAACATTACCCGTATAAAAGTATCGCGCGTTTATCAAATCACTGCACGCTTTCATTGATATCTTCACGCTCACGCATTCTATTGTACGTGCAAGTAGAAATTTGCCTTTGTCAACATTTTTCGCTTTACTGCCAATCAGCCAGGAAAGAATTCATGCCTGCTGTTTTGATTCTCACAAAGCGCATCAACAGCCAGCCAGCGAATCAAATTTTATTTTATCTTAGTAATAAATATATGGATTTTCTTTTTCTTTTGTTTGTACCAAGTGTTATGTAGTTTATTTGTTATTAATTCGCTTTGAAAAAGCACTTACTAAATGCATTGCATTATATAACTCTCGTTATTGCTATTATTATTATATCATTTCCAAACAAAAAAGTTGTAGTAGTATTTTTAGTATCAAGAGTAGTAGTAGTAGTAGTAGTAGTAGTATCATTATTGTATATTTCTTTTAATAATTATAATTGTAATATATATCATCATCATCATCATCATCATCAACATCGTCATTATCGTCATCATTATTATTATTATTATTATTATTATGATTACTATTACTATAATTGTTATTATTATTATTACTGCTATTTATACTATTACTCCTATTATTACTATAACTCCAATTATTATTATTACTCCTATCATTACTATTACTCCTATTATTACCATTACTCCTTTTATCGTCCATACTTATGTAGGGCTACTGGATTGGTCTAACTGATCTTCACAAACCAATGAGGAGACCGCTATGGACAGACTGGACGAGAATTCGGTATACAAACTGGCAAGCTGCTCAACCTTCCTCGGACACAAACGACAATTGCGCTTACGTTGCTAATGAGGGCGCTGAAGGCTCTGAGCGAAAGAAGTGGAAAGCGACCTCTTGCGATGACGCTCGCAAACCTTACTTTTGTGAGAGGAAGCTTCAAATCTAATAATTAGTTACATTCATCTCGGTACATAATTATAACCCACACGAGAATAGGAAATTGCCTAGTCACATTAAGAATTTTTGTTGGTCTTTATTAATCATTTTTTCATGCGTATGAAATGAATTGCACTCTTTTCTTAGAAACACACTGACTCTAAATGGTTGGATGATTTAAAGAATATATGCTGGTAAACTTGTTACAGAAAACGATTGGCTAGTACGCAGATTCCTTAGTAAAATAGATATTCCGTTAAGCTTCATAGACACTCCCAAAGTGTCAATATCTATCATTATATAGATACATGGATGTCCTGGGCCTTAACAAAAATCCCTACACAAGTCATGGTTTATAACAAAAAAATATTTGTTTTTATTTGTGACATTTATACAAGAGTAGCCGATTGTCACGAATAGTAGTGGTATTCAATGAGGCCCTGTTTGGTAACAAGAAAATGCAAAAACAATCATGAAATAAAAATCGGTTGTGAACGCTCAAAACATACATCTAAGTTAATTTTGGTAGAGCATTCATTTTCCACTTCATTTTCCACTTTCTTTCTTTGCTGAGTATAGATGCGGTTGGTCAGCATAATTTGTTTCCGCCCATATATTTAACTCGAAAGTTTAGATTTCTCAGAATCTCACTTAACCAATTACATATATATTTATTTATTTGTAGTTTGATATTAATAGGGTAGCATTGTCAGTTACAAAATTGATTTCTATATTTAACCTGTTGGCCAGGACAAAAATATGATCTGTTTCATTTGAAGCAAAATTGCTAAAAAGTACATGTACCAAGTTATGACTTAAGGCAAAATAAGAAGAATCTAACATCGTACTGATTAGTATTTAAAGGACTTGCATTTTCTTCTCAGTTGTTTTCTTTTTCATCAATGATTCTTCCATAAACGGCTTTATGATTTCATGTGGCAAAACTCTGCGTTAGTATCGTATTATAAATCAGTGTTTAAGCGAATTGAGCTTATTAAACTATCATAATTTTATCGAGACTGATTGCTCAGCAGATGTTTCTTTTTCGTATTCATTGATAACTTGTGTCTTCTTTTAATTCGATTGACGGAATTATGTATTGATTGTCTGTCGGAATTAGTTAACTGGTTCTTGGACTGATTGTGAATTTAACTAATTGTTTGATCAATTGATTGATTGATTGTTTGATTGATTGATATCTTGGTTGGTTGGTCTCATTGATAAACTAACCAATTTATAAATTGCTCACCTGACGGTTGGGTTAATAATTTCCAAAGCTCTTTGGAAACGCATAAAGACTTTTTATAATGTGAAATGCGCTATACAAGAACCGAATATTATAGTTAATTATTTGATGAGTGATTGTTTAGATGAATGATTGTTTAGATGAATGATTGTTTAGATGAATGATTGTTTAGATGAATGATTGTTTGGCTGATTGGTTAGCTAATTAATTGATTGGTTCGTTGGTTGATTGATCGGTTGGAAGGTTGATCAATTGGTTGGTACGTTGACAGGTTAGTAAGTTGGTTAGTCTGTTGATTGGTTAATTATTTGATTAGTTGATTGACCTATTGATTCACTGAGTAATTGATTTAAAATTCTTTGGTTGATTAATTGATTAGTTCTTTGGTTTTATTGATTTATGGATTGATAATTTGTTTCGTTGGTCTATCGGTGCGTCGATTAAATGGTAAATTAGTCGACTGATTGGTGTATAGTTTTGTTGATTGATTGATTAATTGATTGATTAACTGATCGAATGAATGATTGCTTAATTGATTGATTAACTGATCGAATGAATGATTGATTAATTGATTGATTGATTGATTGATTGATTGATTGATTGATGATTGTTTGTCCTGTTTCTTGTCCCTTTCCTTCTCTCTTCCAATATATATATCTCCCCTTTCTTTCTCCCTTTTCTCCCTCTTTTCCCCTTTGCCCATGTGTGCTTAATTTCCACACTCTGGGAAGCATTCCAGTCAGGCGTTAATACTTGACGCTCAAAAACTGTTTGTCCAACTATGATGGTCGCATCTTACCGGGTACCCATTTAACACATCGGTATAGAGTAGTAAATGCAGTTTAATATCTTGCCAAAGGATATTAGTGCCGTGTCGGGATTCGAACCATTGACCTTTACATCTCCAGTCAAGTGAATTAAACCACTCGACCACGACACTCCTAAACCACCACACCGTAAATGATCACCCTGCTTGTAATGAATCGGGAAGGACTCTCTCTATCTCTCCTTACTTTCCTTCCGAAACCTCTCAGAATACATGCGGGTACGCACTTGATCTTGTTATTAATCATATCAACCTGGAATTAATCTGACCTTCGTTCTGAAGTTCGGTTGAAGCAGAGACGTGATATAGACTTTCGGTGGTTGAAGGGATCCTATTGCATGATGTCCTTACCAATTTTGGTATCCTCGATAAAGTGTAAATGAGATGTATACACACCCGAGGCAATAACTGCTTATTGCCACACATAACTATTTCGAAATGCTTTCATGCCTTCTTGACAACACAGCCCAACTACGAAAATTTAAGCAAATATTAATTTCAATAATCCTATGATTGCAGGTCCCACAGGAAGAACGATATTAATACTGATGTGGCTACCCAGGGTAAACAAGACATATTATCATTATTAGTATTATTATTATAAGGAGACACGAGAGGTTTGTTTTCATTTTACGGCATACATATTTTTATAAAATATTTAACCAACGTCCATACAGAATTCTAAAGTAAGAAGAGAAACTGTGTTGGCGAAAAAATCCCAACAACTAGGTCATGTTTTATCAAAAAATTGTCTTATTTCTTAATAATCTTCAACAAATCATGTTTACCAAGACAAGCACAATCTTGCTTGCACGCCCCCGACTGTCATCGATAGGCCCAGCTACAAGTTTCATCCTGACCTTCCCGGGGCGCGGCGGGACTTTCAGGGTCATCTGTAGGGACAGACTCTTATCTGGCACTTAGTACACTTCCACAAAGCCTTGAAGTGTGCCTGCATCTGCCAGAGACACTGGGACTGTTAATCACAACGACCGACACGGGTTTGAAACTGCAAAACTACCTGGAAAGCTAGAGGGTTTTGATTGGTTCGACATTATCCTCCAATAAGATGATGCCATGTACCCGGCCCCCCCACTCAGAGGTCGGAATGACCGCATGCGTGTTGCCAAAATGTCCGGTAAAGGGTACTTTTCGTGCGACAAAGTCCGGCCCGAGAATTGTAAAAAAAGGGGTGTATTTGACTTTTCACCCGGAGATTTCTTTAAAAAGGGGGTGTTTTTCATTTTTTTCTCTCATCTCTTTGGACTCCAGAGAAATAATTCCGAATTTAGGGGGGTACATTGAGCATTTTTCCTGATTTAGGGGGGTCTCCAAGGCAGGAAAAGCCCGCAAAAAGCCCGCGAAAGGGGGGTTAGGAAATGTTAGCAGTCCTCAGATAGGGGGTGCTTTCAAAAAGAGGGTACGAGCATATGCGTACCCTAAATAACACTGAGTGGGGGGGGGGGGGGGCCGGGGCCATGTAAAAGTTAAGTGGCGGAAGGCGAGTCCAGCCATTGAGGGGGCTCTTTTTCTCAATTTCCCCCTCGTTATTCTATATGGGGCTGAGTGCCCTTGTCTCCCCCGTAACTAGGTCACTGTTTTGGGGCGGAGTTTCAATTTCGGTTTCGATTTCGTATGTAGGAAAGTCGATGCAAGTTTATCACTATCATGCGCAGCGAATTAAAGTTGTTATATACCACCGCACCTTCGAATCGCGTCACTCACTTCGCGCCGTTCACCAACCGAAGGAGATATCCGAAAGTGTACAAGATTCTTTGGACGAGGGGTTCCAAATCCAGACTTCGAAGGCGAAACTGATCATATCAGAAGGAGATGAAGACCCTCCTGCTGCTTTCCATCCTGACGGCTTACGTAGCCTCTGGTAAGTTTGAGATGCTCAGTTTACTTAGTTTGTTTGTTTTAATTTCCGTCATATAAAACAAATAATGATACAAAAGATAATACAAAAATAACACAATTCTTAAAAAAATAGATTATTATACATGATATACAGTTTACATATTGAGAAACCTTACGTGCCATTAAATTGAAGAAATTGTATTAAGAATGAAAGAATTTACAACGAAATAGTCAAAAACAGATAAACAGACGACAGGATAGCCAATTTTTGGTTGCACTTGCATAGTGCAGCTGGTCTTCCATTGGGACCAGAAATAAAACGAAGAACTAAAAGTATTAGAAGGGAAGATGAAGAAAAAAAGGACAAAACGAACATTAGTATTTAAAAAAAAATATATAAGCAAGTTTCACGGTAAAAATTAAATACATGCTTAATGATAGGCCTAATGGTAGACAAATACTTACAACTTTATCTTTCTCATCTTTACTTTACCATCCTAACAAGCCCACAGCTGTTCAGTACATTATAATGTTCTTTAAAATCATAACATCAACAATTTCACAGTAACATAATATACAGTGTTGAAATGTTTTGTTCTCAGATTTTTGAAACAATTCCATCTGAAGTGTGTGGATGATAATTGGTTGGATGGCTGGCTGGTTTAACCAGACTGCTACCAAAGCATGTGTATGACTATAAGTAAGTAACAAGGGGAACGACGGCTTAAGTCCTCTCCGAGGGACTTGGTAATGAGGATTAATGTCTAACCAAAGGGCACTAGCGCATCAACTTGCTTCATAACCCGGGACATCCCACCTAGGAGTCTATTGCTCTACCACTTTGCAATTTTGCCTCTGTCAGTGTACTAGTGTTATGAAATGGACTTCTTTGTGGGTACATATACATGAATGTTTGAAAATGGTAAATAAACAAATCTCGTAATCTTACATAATTATCAAAAATATGAATCAAAATTGGTTTTTAATAACGGAAAGCTTGTGTCATCGATGACAGTGTTTATCCATGTAGCAACACGTGATTTGAAATGTGTCTGAAGAAATGAAACCTTTATACGACATAGACTTACCAATAACATGAATGATTTACTGTATTGTAATGTATCGAAATGGTATTTCTTAAAAATAGTCTAAAGACTGAATTTGTAAATTCTCGAAAGAAAATATCTTACAAATCTATAATTATATCAAAGTTATTCAATAATATGAAGGATACAACGCGATACAGAGAGAGAGAGAGAAAGAGAGAGAGAGAAATAGAAGGGGGAGACGATGCAAAAAAAAAAAGTGAAAAGAAACAGCGATACGGAGGCAGAGGTGTAACAGTCTAGAAGTAGAAATTGCACAATAAGTGAGTTAATTTATTAACTAAATAATCATCTGTTATGTCACTTGATACATTATAAATTATAGAATGATATGAATAGCATATCTAAAAGTCACTAGTCACTGCAATTTTTTTTTAATTAAGGAAAGAAATATGATTTCTTAATGGAGCTAAATCATTATAACCTGTCCCCTGTGTCGCCCATTATTTTGTCTATTGTACTCTTTGTTTATACAAATTCAAGACAGATAATATATGCCCGTTTGAAATAATGATGTTGCTATTGGAGCAATATAATTCAAACAGTCAATGTATATTTGAGTCATAAGAAACTGCAGCGCAGTCGACATTTCATGTTCCTATCTATCACTCTATCGGCCTGAAAATATTAATATGTAACTACTTTCTTCTGAATATAGGTATTGTTCTTCGATAATAAATTACATTACGAGCTGAATTTCTACTGAACCAAAAACGCGTCTACAATACACCCTGACTTTATATCTATGCTCTGTATTATTCAACATTTTTAAAGAGTATTATTTTAGTTTTAATATGTGTATGTATACTTAACATTTCATTGTATGAACTAAACGACCACTTTATAAATATCGTACTTCGGTCAATTTGAGCCTTAAAAATATTTAGAATTTCTTTCAACCGTTAAGGAAAGTCATACAGATGAAGACGAGGAAGAAAAAGAAGACAAACAAGAATAGGAAAAAAGGAAAAAGAGAATAAAAAGGAGAATAAATAGTAAGAGTACTACTAGTTGTTGTTGTAGCAGTTATAGAAGTAGTAATGGTATAGAATAATAATGATAAGAAAAAAAGCAAAAATTAGAAGTAGAACAAAAAAGTAGGAGGAGAGGACAAAGAGGAAAAGAAAATGAAGAAGTAGAATAGGAAGAAGAAGAAGAAAACAAAACTAATCCTGTACTTTTCTATCCTCTTAGTGAGCTCATACTTGGTATGTTTCTCCCATATGCAGGATATGCCATTACCTGTACAAAATGCTTCGAGGTAACTTCTCTAGACCCAACCTTCCAACTGCCCGCGGACCCCAGTCTAATACCTTGTTCGCACCCTGGTGAGATGGTGTGTGATGGAAACGTCACTAGCTGTATGACCACGACAATAATAACGCACTTTACTCGTGACGCTGGTAAGAACATTTCTTGTTTGTCCCCCTAATGCTTGATCTTGAGTCCCGAAGGGGGTAGGAGAACATGGAACTAATTAAATTACCATTAATTCACACCTTTTTCTTCTCAATTGAACAATTGTTTGTTACCGACAATTCGGCCACATATTTATTAATGACTAACATTAATGAACATATTTTAAGACTTGATATTGAGTTATTTTATGAATTACCACTAACAAATCACTCTGATAATTCCTGTTTTTAACCTGAATTACAGAGTTAAACCTGTCTTACCGACCATTTACTTACACCGGATACTGGACTCCCCCCCCCCCCCGGAAAATAACTGGGTCGTTAACTTACTATGTAAAGGTCACAATGCATTATGTATCCCTTAGTCTTCATCTGGGCGCGAATAGCGGCCATCGAGATAGAGCTGAGCCGCAACTTATTCATTTTTGTCATTCATTCTTGGTTCAAATGTAACCATAGGTCCACTTACGGTGATGCAGGAGGCTCGCGAATGCGGACCTCCTTTCGCTGGTTTCCTTCCATCTGGAGACACCTGCGCGGATGAAGCCACCACCGCAGCCATCACAAGTCAAATTGACCCGACTACGATGGTTCCACCTGGACTTGGGCTGACGTTTGAGGACTTTGAGGCCAGTATCTGCAGTTGTGACAGCTCCGACAGATGTACCCCGCCCTCTGCGGCAACCATTGGTAACCCACAACCACAAGGTATTAAGAAGGAGTGAGAAGTGTAGTCCAGAATGTCGCCTTTTTTATTCTTAAAACTCTCCACCAAGATATTCCCTACTTGTCGCAAGCCAAGGATGACCTGATCCCCGATTTAATACGCCCAGTGCGACCAGGCTGGGTCACTTCATATTCGGTTTAGAGGAGGTTTTATTTTGTTCCCTTCTTTTTTCTTCACGGTCTTTTTCCAAAGTTACAAACTAATTACAAGGTAAATCGTGATGCTTAACAAACTGTAATTCATACACCATCATCGTTATATACTTACAATGAAATACTAACATATTTTATTTTTTAAATCATATCACCTCTGTAGTTCTTTTTACTGTAATAAAAGTCTCCTAACCTTGATCATCAGGTACTTTTGAAATATTTATAGTAGAATCTGGTTTATTGCTCTTTTCTGGCACAATGTAAATCCTGGTGCTCCATTAGTATAACCTGGGTTTAAGCATGGCTTTCGTTACAGCGCTAGAGGATTTAAAGTAACCAATTCCTGCCAGGTGCCCATTCGCTTCACAAATTGGTGGATTGTGGCGAATGAAGATTAATGTAGAATTAATAGTAGTCGAAATAGTATTAGTAGTGTCATTCGTAGTAGTAGAAGAAGAAGAGTAACAGAAGTAGAAGAAGAAAAAGAGGAGAAAACAGTGGATGAAAAAGGGAAGAAGAAAATAAAAAAGTAGAATGGAAAGAAGAAGGTACCATTGAAAGAAGCAGTGGTTAAGGAGAAGAAGAATATAAAGAAAAAGGAGAAGAAGTAGAAGAAGAAGAAGTAGAAGAAGAAGAAGAAGCAGAAGAAGAAGAAGAAGAAGAAGAAGAAAAAGAAGAAGAGGAAGAAGAAGAAAAAGAAAAAAAAAGAGATGAAGGAAAAACCCGATCCTGCACTTGTCTTTCTTCTCAGTATGCTCATACTTGGTATGTTTATCCCAAATGTAGGATCTGGTATTACCTGTACGATATGCTCCGAGCTAATTTCTCGAGACCCAACCTTCCCAATACCCGTGGACCCGAGTCAAATACCTTGTTCGAACCCTGGTGAGATGGTGTGTGATGAAGGCGTCACTAGCTGTATGACGACGACGATGACGATGCACTTTAGTCGTGACGCTGGTAAGAACATAATGCCCGTTGCACACAAGGCGTTTTTTCGATTGCGTCATTACCATATATAATATAATTATTCTGTTTTCCTTAGCTCGTACGTCAGTAAGTTTATAGTACATTGTCTGCACAGATCAGGTTTGAATCAATGTGGGTACTGTCTCTTTTACTTGGTGCGTCAAAAACTGCATCACTGCGTCACTGACGTAGTCCTACGTGTGCCCCCTCGTGTGTCAGGGTTGTTACATCGTTTAATGCAAATGGATGTATCCTCTCAATCAAGATTTTCTTGTTCGTGCCTCTTATGCTTGATCTGGAGTCCCGAAGAGGGTAAGAGAACATGGAAATAATTAAATTGCCATTAACATATACCCTTTTCTTCGTAATTCAACAAGTTCATTACCGACAATTTGGCCAAATGATTAATAGTGGCTCACATTAACGAACATATTTTGAGAGTTGATATTGAGTTATTTTATGAATAACCTCTAACAAATCACTCTGATAATTCCTGTTTTTAACCTGAATTAAAGAGTTAAACCTGTCTTACCGACCATATACTTACACCGGCTACTGGACCCCCCCCCCCGGAAAATAACTGTGTCGTAAACTTACTATGTAAAGGTCACAATGCATTATGTATCCCTTAGTCTTCATCTGGGCGCGAATAGCGGCCATCGATATAGAGCTGAGCCGCAAATAATTCATTTTTGTCATTCATTCTTGGTGTAACCATAGGTCCACTTACGGTGATGCAGCAGGCTCGCGAATGCGGATTTCCTTTCGCTGGTTTCCTTCCATCTGGAGACACCTGCGCGGACGAAGCCACTACCGCAGCCATCACAAGTCAAATTGACCCGACTACGTTGTTTCCACCTGGACTTGGGCTGACGTTCGAGGACTTTGAGGCCAGTATCTGCGTCTGTGACAGCTCCGACAGATGTACCCCGCCCTCTGCGGCAACCATTGGTAACCCACAACCACAAGGTAATAAGAAGGAGTGAGAAGTGTAGTCCAGAATGTCGCCTTTTTTATTCTTAAAACTCTCCACCAAGATATTCCCTACTTATCGCAAGCCAAGGATGACCTAATCCCCGATTTTATACGCTCAGTGCGACCAGGCTGGGTCACTTCATATTCGGTTTAGAGGAGGTTTTATTTTGTTTCCTTCTTTTTTCTTCACGGTCTTTTTCCAGAGTTACAAACTAATTACAAGGTAAATCGTGATGATTAACAAACTGTAATTCATACACCATCATCGTTATTTACTTACAATGAAATACTAACATATTTTATTTTTAAAATCATATCACCTCTGTAGTTCTTTTTACTGTAATAAAAGCCTCCTAAGCTTGGTCATCAGGTACTTTTGAAATATTTATAGTAGAATCTGGTTTATTGCTCATTTCTGGCACAATGTAAATCCTGGTGCTCCATTAGTATAACCTGGGTTTAAGCACGGCTTTCGTTACAGCGCTAGAGGATTTAAAGTAACCAATTCCTGCCAGGTGCCCATTCGCTTCACAAATTGGTGGATTGTGGTGAATGAAGATTAATGTAGAAGTAATAGTAGTGGAAATAGTATTAGTAGTGTCATTCGTAGTAGAAGAAGAAGAAGAAGAATAACAGAAGTAGAAGAAGAAAAAGAGGAGAAAACAGTGGATGAAAAAGGGAAGAAGAAAATAAAGAAGTAGAATGGAAAGAAGAAGGTACCATTGAAAGAAGCAGTGGTTAAGGAGAAGAAGAATATAAAGAAAAAGGAGAAGAAGTAGAAGAAGAAGAAGTAGAAGAAGAAGAAGAAGAAGCAGAAGAAGAAGAAGAAGAAGAAGAAGAAGAAGAAGAAGAAGAGGAAGAAGAAGAAAAAGAAAAAAAAAGAGATGAAGGAAAAACCCGATCCTGCACTTGTCTTTCTTCTCAGTATGCTCATACTTGGTATGTTTATCCCAAATGTAGGATCTGCTATTACCTGTACGATATGCTCCGAGCTAATTTCTCGAGACCCAACCTTCCCATTGCCCGTGGACCCGAGTCAAATACCTTGTTCGAACCCTGGTGAGATGGTATGTGATGAAGGCGTCACTAGTTGTATGACGACGACGATGATGATGCACTTTAGTCGTGACGCTGGTAAGAACATAATGCCCGTTGCACACAAGGCGTTTTTTCGATTGCGTCATTACCATATATAATATAATTATTCTGTTTTCCTTAGCTCGTACGTCAGTAAGTTTATAGTACATTGTCAGCACAGATCAGGTTTGAATCAATGAGTGTACGGTGTATCTTTTACTTGGTGCGTCAAAGACTGCGTCACTGCGTCACTGATGTAGTCCTACGTGTGCCTCCTCGTGCGTCAGGGTTGTTACACCGTTTAATGAAAACGGATTTATCCTCTCAATCAAAATTTCTTGTTCGTGCCCCTTATGCTTGATCTTGAGTCCCGAAGAGGGTAAGAGAACAAGGAAATAATTAAATTACCATTCACAAATATCCTTCTTCTCAATTCAACAAGTTTGTTACCGACAATTCGGTCAAATGATTAAAAGTGACTCACATTAACGAACATATTATAAGACTTGATATTAAGTTTGTTTATGAATTACTACTAACAAATCACTTTGATAATTCCTGTTTTAACCTGAATCAAAGAGTTAAACCTGTCGTACCGACCATTTACTTACAACGGCTACTGAGCCCCCCCCCCCCCTTCCGCAGGAAATTAATGTGTCTTAAAGCGTATCTGCCATAGTTTACAGGAGAGATTAGACTGCCCTGCAAGGTCACTGGACAGGTGGTTATCTCATCAACTCAGCTCTCAGTTAACATAAGAAAAAGAGGATCATGGGGGACCAATGGTCACCGATTAGGCATGGTTTGTTATATAGAGGGCGCAAGTAGCTACAAGTAGTGCAGTGGGCCTTTAAACCCACATGCCTTACAGAGCCAATGCATTATGTATCCCTTATCCCTTAGTCTTAGTCTTAGTCTTCGATATAGAGCTGAGCCGCAACTTATTCATTTATGTCCTTCATTCTTGGTTCAACTGTAACCATAGGTCCACTTACGGTGATGCAGATGGCTCGCGAATGCGCACCTCCTTTCGCTGGTTTCCTTCCATCCGGAGACACCTGCGCGGGAGAAGCCATCACCGCAGCCTTCACAAGTCAAATTGACCCGAATACGTTGGTTCCACCTGGATTAGGGCTATCGTTCGAGGACCTTGAGACCAGTATCTGCGTCTGTGACAGCTCCGACAGATGTACCCCGCCCTCTGCGACAACTAATGGTTACCCACAACCTGAAGCAACAACTAGTGCTGTTGGAGAAGGTAATAAGAAGGAGGGGAGAGTGTAGTCCACAATGTCGCCACACTTAATTCTCTCCACCAAGATATCCCCTACGTAATGCACGCCAAGAATGACTTTGAGGTTTTTTTCCTTTCTTTATGCTCGTTTTTAAAAATTGCAAACTAATTACAAGATGCATCATGATCATAAACAAATTTTATAATATAGACATCATAAACGTTAAAAACTAACATCGTAATACTAATAAAAGATTATCATAAAGAAGGATAGCCACATAAGCTGAGCTCGAAGGCGTGGTAATCCTTTATATAACCTAATGATTTCTACAGAAAGGCAAATGGTGTTGGGGATGGGAGTGAAACAGATGTATGAAAAGATCCACAGTGATAAAGGACAATATGTTTACATTATTATGCACCACGCCTCTGGAATCAGCTGCCCCTGAACATTTGTACAGCACCCACACTAGACAGCCTTAAAAATCATATAAAGACATTACTGATTTTCCCGACCTTTATAACAAGTAAAGTGCTGTGAAACCAGTTTTGTGAGAGGGCTATGCAAATCATTTGTTCTTCTTTTTTGTCTGTCTTTAAAAAAAATATATATGATGTAGGTCTACCAACACAAGCTCCGCCATCTGTTGAAGTTCGCCTATTCGGAAGCGATGGTACCGAGGGAACCGTTGAGGTTCTTTACAACGGAGAATGGGGAACTGTCTGTGATGATTCGTGGGACGTGGACGATGCCAGCGTGGTCTGCAGAATGTTGGGTTTTCCTGGAGCTTCTGGAGCCCCTGGCTCTGCCCTATTTGGAGCGGGTTCTGGTCGTATCTGGCTCGATGATGTGCTGTGCTCAGGGGACGAAGAAAACCTGGCGGACTGTCATCACCCGGAATTTGGAGACAACAACTGTGCTCATTACGAAGATGCCGGAGTCATTTGTCTTACCCAAGGTATAGTCATTTAGACATAATTCACTCCCCCTAAAATAAAATGCAAAGCCTTTCAAACAATTAAATTAAGCAGTTTTGATAGCATTGCCCATCACATTGGGAATCTTGTGAACATTAGGATGACTGATTACTGTCGCCTAATTTGAACATTATTTCTCATTTACAATATATGCCCTCGGAAAGAAAAATGACTATTAAAATGGCTTCTCATTTGAATTGGGGAAAGATTTTATGAGGTATTGTAATAAAGTCATGTAGTCAACATTCACTTACATGAAGAGGGTAATAGAGCACTGTCCCATGTTTTTAGTGTGTTCAGTCTTAGCAAGATAGCAGCAATGGCAATGAATTTGAAGGTTAAGAAGCCAGCGTTCTGATATATATTCAATAGTTCATTTGAGCATATGAACACCTACCTCCTGGGCATCCACCCCCGAATAACCACCTCCAGTCAACTCCCCCCTAGGACAACTACCCCCTAGGGCAACTACCCTCTAGGACGACTATCCCCCGAGACAACTACCCCCAGACCACTACCCCCAGACGACTAACCCCTAGGTCAACTATCCCGAGGACAACTACTCCAGAGGACAACCATCCCCCTAGAACCTCATTTGACATGGGGCTAATACAAATGTGCCCTTTGCTTGCTAATGTTTTGACCTATTTTATTGTATAAACTATGATATTTTTTTTCAGTGAAAAGCGTAGAATTAGAAGTTCACGAAATCGGAAGATAAGATCGGCTCCTTTTAGAAAGCACTCCCTCGTAATTCAATTTGATCATATCCTAAAGCCCGATGCTTTCAATTTGCACGTTGATTTTGAAGCAGTAGCCTTAACAAAAATAAGGAGAGGTAAAAAATGAAAATAAAAAAGGGGAAATTTACGAATATTGTTTATATACAGAAGATAATACAACCTTCTAACAATTTACTTTCCCGTCTCATAGAACAATTAGTGCGTTTGGTAGGTGGAGGCAGCGATTTGGAGGGAAGGGTAGAGATTGAACTCGATGGCGAGTGGGGAACCATCTGCGATGACTCATGGGATTTGGACGATGCCACTGTAGTTTGCAGAATGCTTGGATTCGATGGGGCGTCTGACGCTCCTGGCTTCGCCCAATTTGGAGAAGGTTCGGGTCCTATTCTTCTGGATGATGTCATGTGCACAGGGGAAGAAGCCACTCTGACTGATTGTTCACACCCACCTTTTAGACAACACAACTGTGGCCACACTGAAGATGCAGGAGTCATATGTTATACCATAGGTAATGATTATGATAATAGTAATAATGATAATAATAAAATAATAGGGATAATGACAATAATCTTGATTTATATCGCGCTTCCGGCTCAAAGCGATTTACAGATAATATTTCCCCATCCATCGGATTCAAGTCATCAGAGCTTGAGTGAAAAGCCTATCGAGCATGCCTGTTGTTAAAATATTCGCGGTTTAGAACCTTGAGTTTATGCTGCAGCAGATATCTCTAGAGCATTTACCTTTTCTTGAAACCATTGCGGTACAAAGCGAACCAAAGAAGAAGTATTTTGGCGACATTTTTACCGTACTGAACTTGCCATATCTTACAGTATTGCATGCGACCTTCTGTAATCAGATCGAACAACGCCGAAATCTTCGCCATTCTGTACCATCAATGATATACGGTTCTTCGAAGGCAGCACCAAGACCGGGGGCCGAGTAGAGGTCGATTGAAATGAGTCCGCAACAACTTCTTCTCTATAAGCAATATACGTTTATACGTGGAAGCATAAAATATAAAGGACGTATCCAAATCTTTTACGAAACCATATATCGCGCATTTTTTGGGGTGAGACCTGAGACCAATTTGGTTACTAGTTACACAATTCATTGTAATTCCATTGATCTAGACTAACCACCATGAACCACAACGCTATTTTCGTCCAAAGCCGGAAACATTAATTACCGTTTTATTATCTTTCTGGAGGAAACGGTGTTATCTTGCACTAAAGGTCCCCAAAATCGTAACAAATGTTTCTCTTGGTGAAATAATTTGCTACATTAACAGAAACGGCGATGCCCTCCGTTCGATTGGTTGGTGGAAGTTCTATCAACGAGGGGAGAGTTGAAGTCCTGTACAATGAACAATGGGGAACTGTCTGTGACGACTACTGGGGTCCAGAGGATGCCGGCGTTGCCTGCAGGATGATGGGGTATGATGGGGCATCCGAGGCACCAGGCTCAGCTCGGTTCGGCCAAGGTTCGGGTCCTATCTGGCTTGATGATGTGATGTGCTCGGGAATAGAGACCGACTTAGCTGACTGTCCGCATCGGCCGTTTGGAACTAACAACTGTGCTCATTCTGAAGATGCAGGGGCCGTCTGCTCTTTTTCAGGTAAATACTACAATCCATCAAGGCTTTGCTACTTAACGATATGTCTTGGCATCTGACGAAATTTGCTTACTTTGCTTACTAAGCATTACAAAAATATTATCTAAAACTGAACCAGGCAAATGTACATAATCCACTTCCTTAATTCTAGCACTATTTTCATCAGTGCCATTTTTGTAAATGCACCGGACTTGATCAAAATATACTTTTAATTAAAACTTCATCTTCGTTTCAAGAATAAGTCGGCTTCTTTGATGAAAATGCAATTCGTCTAGCCCGCCCCCCCCCCCCCAAACAAACACATCTCCAGAACCTGTTTTATTAATTAATGTTTCATCCTCTTTCTTGAAGGAACATTATTATTTTGCACTAAAACGTCAACAACGTCCTAAAAAATACCCCTCTTTGCCATTCCGGTGAAATAATTTGCTACATCAACAGGAACGTCGGCGCCCACTGTTCGTTTGGTTGATGGCAGCTCTGACAACGAAGGACGAGTTGAAATTCTGTACGGTGGACAATGGGGAACTGTTTGTGATGACTATTGGGGTCTGGATGATGCCGGCGTTGTCTGCAGAATGCTGGGCTTTGGTGGGGCGTCCGATGCACCAGGCTCAGCTCGGTTCGGGCAAGGTTCGGGTAGTATCTGGCTTGATGATGTGATGTGCTCAGGAGAAGAGACCGACTTAGCTGACTGTCCACATCCGGCGTTTGGAACTCACAACTGTGTCCATCATGAAGATGCAGGAGCCGTCTGCTCTTTAACAGGTTAATATAACAATCCATCAAGGCTTTGCAACTTTACAATTTGTCTCGTTCTCTAACGTAATCAGCTTACTGAGCTTACTGAGCATTAAAAGAAATCTAAGACTGAACCAGGCAAATTTAGATATTCCACTTCCTTAATTCTAGCACGGTTGTCTTCATTGCACCGTATTTAAGCAAACCATACTTTGAATTAAAACTAGATATTCGCCTTTACAAAAAGGGGGCTTCTTTTATAAATATGCAATTCGTCTAGTCTGATTTTTTTCTTCTCCAAAACGTGTTACATTATTTACTCGTCTTTATCATTCTTGTGTAATACTTTGCTACATCAACAGAAACACCGACTCCTGTTCGATTGGTTGGTGGCAGTTCTATCAACGAGGGGAGAGTCGAACTCCTGCACGGTGGACGATGGGGAACTGTCTGTGACGACTATTGGGGTCTGGAGGATGCCGGCGTTGTCTGCAGAATGCTGGGCTACGATGGGGCATCCGAGGCACCAGGCTCGGCTCGGTTCGGCCAAGGTTCGGGCAGTATCTGGCTTGATGATGTGAGGTGCTCAGGAGAAGAGACCGACTTAGCTGACTGTCCACATCTGGCGTTTGGAACTAACAACTGTGGTCATTCTGAAGATGCTGGGGCTGTTTGCCTTTTGGCAACTCCTTGGTAACTACTACAATCCATCAAGTCTCTGCTTCTTATCGCTATGTCTTGTTCTCTGACGAAAAAAAACCTTCTTACTAAGCATTAAACAAAATATTAATCTTAATATAACCAGGCAAAATCTACCTATTCCCTTCCCTTTACTTGTAACACTATTTTCTTCGTTGCCATACGTTGAAATTACAGTATTTTAACGAAATATGCCTTGAATTAAAATCAACGGTGACACCTGATACTCCCTTCTTAAACGGAATTCGTCTGTCAGGTGTAAACACAACATATTTGGATCCTTTACGAAAGCCAATATTGCGCCTTTTGGGGGAACATAACACCAATTATGTTATTGGTATACACTTCTTCCCTTTTATGTACATCAAGTATTATTTTATCCAAAACCCACTGAAAATTTTACTAGATACATGTTCACAAAAGCTATGTAATCAGTATTCATTCAGGCACGTTTGATACATTCTATTGAACACAGGTGTAGGTAATCCTTAGAAGAGGGTAAACAAAGAATCACCTTCATGACTTTAGCTGGATTATTCCAAACGGCACAAAGTGGGATTTACCTAAGTGTAAAAGATCTGGGGATTTTGGGGTTTTCTGAACCATGTGCTAACTATGAACTGGTCTATTCTTATTGTATTAGTTAAGTGTTTTTTTGAGCGTATTTGTACTAAGGTTGTAGAGTAATCATGTACTTTTAAGAATGCTATCAGTTGCCAGATGGTCGATTGTAAGGCACGAAACTTGGAGTACCATCCATGTTCCAATAGTCTGTCTTATTCAATATATATTTTACTCTGCCTAGGAATTCAGCACTGTACGAAAGGAAAGAGCAAACCTAAGTATATCTCTTTATTATGTATATATTTACGTACTGATTTTTTTTAAATCTGTAGTTATATAATTGCAAGGTAGCATTACCAGTTTAAAAACTGCTTTCACATTGAACCTATTGGCCTAGACAACAATATGATTACATATTTCAATTTGGTGTATGTGTACATATACCCAATAATGATTTAAGGTAAACTAAGTATAATCCTTCAGCATTAATTTCTTCCCCTGGTAAGGATTTAACGGGCTTGTATTTTCTTCTCAGTCGTTTTCTAATTCATTTATTATTCTTGCATTAACAGTTTTATGATTGTATGTGCTGGTAGAACTCTGTGTATCAATTCTATAATATATAAAGTCATTGTTAACAAAAATTGAGCTTATTAAACTATCATTGTATCGGGACTGATTTTATAGCAGGTTTTATTATGTATTAAAAGGGTAAATAGTGCTCTCTTTATAATGTGATTTAATTGTTTGTTTTTTTACGTGTAAAGATCAGTTGATTGGTTTTTCCATTGATTCTGAAATTAACAATTTTTTTGGCTTAGTGATTGTTTGGTTAAAAAGTTAAATGTTTGGCTGGTTGGTTGGTCTTATATAATTATAATCTGATCAATTGCTTAATTGTTTGCCTGATGATTGGATTGTTAATTATTGGTTGATTTACTGATTGATTGGTAGGCTTATTGGTTTGTTGATTAATGGATTGGTGAGCTTAAAGATTGAATGGTTGAACTGTTCATTGATTGGTTGGTTGGTCGGTTGGCATGTTTGGTCATTGGTTTGCTTGTGAGACGGTTGGTTGATTAATCGGTTGATTGGTTGAATGAATGATTGATCGATTGATTGAATAATGTATCAATTGCTGGATTAGTTAGTTGGTTGATTGTTTGACCTATTGATTGATTGGTTTGTTTGTTACTTGATTAGTTGATTGAGTGATAGATTGCTTGGCAAATGATTGCTTTAAAGAGCAATTCGTGTTCTAGGGAGAGGCAAAACAAGTTTGTGAGCGTTATCATTGTTGTTTTGCAAGTGTGGAAGAACATCAGAGAAAAATGTTTCCTGAAGACTATTGCTTTTAAAATGCCTTAATATTCTAAATATGATAAGTAAAAGCTTAACAGTGAGGCCCGATTCTTAAACACAGGTTTTTGTAATCCCATATACATATTTCTGTGTACCCTGCTTGTATCTTTACCAAGACTCGGCCGAATTTCTTATCATTCCTATGGCTCCAAGACCCAACTTTATTTCAAGATATGCATTGCGAGAAAAAAACTCATTTATTGGAATGAAAATAATTGCTTAGTGATAAAATTTATCAAATTAATGATAGTTTGAAGAGTGGCGTCGCACGACTCCAACCATGGTGGAAAAAGGAGAACAAAAACCATTGTGTGCGGGGGGGGGGGGGGGGGTGTCAATGGGAGGGTTTCCTTTGATTTTCTTTTCTGTTTTCCCAGTTTTCCTCTCCCTTTCATTCTCTCTCCCTGTGTCTCTCTCTCCCTCTGTTCCCCTCTTAGCCACTTAATAAATAAGGGGGCGCATTGTTTTATGTGACTACGTAGATGCGTCATTGGTTTCATTGCGAAGTAGTGATACAATGTTAGTGAAACCTGAAAGTAAACTTACTTACTTTTCTTTATTTGATAAATGACACCACTGTTTGTACCCCACCTATAGACCAATCACCAGCCGCTGATGGCCTGTTTTCGATCTCTTTATATATACTTTTATGAATAATAATATCGATAAAAATGATAATATCAATCATTTTTATTTACCCAGAGATACCTCATTAGCATTTTGTTTTTGTTTTTGGAAGGGCCTTGCAATTATTATTACCCTAGCAATTGCCAGTAACCAATTTACACCCGGGAGGAGAGCGGCAAATGTGTATTAATATATTGCCTATGGACGTTAGCGCAGGGCTGGTTCTCGAATCATCGAACCTTGAAATGAGAGTCAAGTGAATGAATGAACCACTTTATCACGACAACTCCGTAAATCGGCAACACGTCCTTATGTTAATTCATCGTCCAAAAATAGGCCAAGATCTATAACTTATCTGACGTCAACAAATTTAAACAAATTTAAAACGAAAGTAAACCGAATCTTTGAAGATGTTGAAATTAAGGAAAGAATTTTTACCCAACTTTGTTTTCATGATCATGCTTTTGGATATATGAACGTCTTGCGGATTGGATATCAATATTTCAATATATCATACGAACAGCAGCTATGAATCTTGATTTTTTGGTGACAAATATGCCAAATTTTGGATTAATATAGTAAAATTTTAGAATAGAACAGGGGCCTACCGAAACGACAACATGTAGAGGATATTGAGTGTAAACAGCTTTCTTCGTGTTGTTGAATAAGTTCATAACACTGAGTAAATATAAAATATGGTGACAATTTAGAGGTAGCTACCAAAGTCTCACAAAATACGAATCGCAAAGATTTACGAGAAAAAATAGCCTTGCCAAATAACAAAAGCATTGCCCGACACGAATAATGATGTATTAAACAAAAATGTGGGATCTGTAACAGGGCATTGACAGAGGAAAAAAAAGACAGAGGTAAAATTTACCAACATTCACAGGGGTATCACTTTTGAGATCAATATAATATGAAATAAAAGAGCACAAAGAAGATAAGGAAATCGAATGGGTTAGGTTAATTTTTAGAATCGGGCCTTATATATTTACAGTTAGAAATAGGGTCAAGGTCTAGCTGGTTAGAGAAAGGGTTAGAGATAACGGTTAGGGTTAGGTTATGGTTATGGTTAGAGATAGGATTGTGGTTAGGGTTAAGGTTATGTTTAAACATGGTAATGGTTAGGGTCTAGGTTAGAAAAAGGGTAAGGGCTAAGGGTTAGACTTAGGTTATGGTTATGGTCAGAGATATGGTTGTGGTTAGGGTTATGGTAAGAGATACGATTATGATTAGGGTTTGGGTTATGTTTAAACATGGTAATGGTTAGAGACTAGGTTAAAGAAAGGGTTACGGTAAGGGTTAGGCTATGGTTATGTTTAGGTATAGGGTTGTGTTTTATAGGGTTAGGGTTATGGTAAGATATACGATTATGATTAGGGTGAGGGCTATAGTAAGGGTTATTGATAGAGACAGTGTTATGGCGGGGTTAATAATCTTCGTATACGATAATTTTAAAACAATAAGTAGGCCAGTTTTTAATATGAAATCACTTGAAATTCAAAGATGCAAAAGAAAATTCGTTGCACCTTCTATTAGTTTCCTCTTAATATCCTACACAACGCCCTTTCTTGCTCAGTAAGACGGTGCTTCATTGAAATATGATCTATTCTTGAGTTTCGTCCAACGCCTTCCTTGTACTGGTAGCTAAATCTATATGTTGAAGTAGCCTCACCCTTTAACGACTTAAGTATTAGTACATTACGGAATCTTAAACGTGGGATGTCGACTTGTTTTACTCGCCAGGTCGCCTTGTTTAAAGATAAACTCAAAGTCGGGTAAATAAAGAAAAACAAATCCCATCGAACCCAACAAAGCTTACACTTAATTTTCCAGGTTACACATAAATTACATTTTCTAAACAAATTTTGTAGAAAATGTATAGTGGCTGCGTAATGAGCATAGCAAGATAAGCAAAACCGGGTAAATAGGCCCGACACCATGTGTTGTTAAACACAGGTCACTTTGTGCAAATAAGAGTTGTGGTTTTTATCAAAGATGATGCCCAGTAAGTTTTCGTGCGTTTTTGTTTAGTTAACTGGTTCAAACAACCAATCTTCTGCAGGATAAACAATCAATAATAACTCATGGCAATTTTCTCTCAAAATATGATTTTCATACCAGAGATCAATATTAGCTTCAAGTCGAGAAGATTGGAAGGCGCCTTGATGAAGTAAAACAAGTCGCCATCTCGCTACTTTGGTAGTATGCCCTCACAAACTAGACATGTAATAACTTAGACGGAAAGTGTGAATCGAAAAGGTCACGAAGCATAAGTAATTTTGTCTAAGCTATAACTCGTCCCAGGAGCACACTAATTCCACATTCAGATACCTTATATTTGGAGAAAAAATAAAAAACAACCGTACAGAAATACAAGCTTTCGACAAGAATATGCTATCCTCATACGTAAACACTAAAACAAAACACAAAAAGGATCGGGTCTTGGGCTTAGGAAATAAACTTATTTTGGAACATCTGTGGTGTAATGCAATGTTTTGTTTGGTATGTCTAGTCGATCTCCTCTACATGATTTGTACAATAAAATCGTGATGACTATTATTTGAGAATAGAACTTGCTTTCTTAGGAACAAGGGGAAAATAATAATATTCCTCTTTTACATAGTGCTTAATACAAATGTATTTCAGCGCTTAACAGATATACTATTACCCCGGTTATTGGATTCAATACTTGCCCGCACAAACTGTGTCCACAATTTCCACTCCCTATGAAGCATTCCAGCCGGGCGTTACTTGACGCTCAAAAACTGTTTGACCAACAATGACGGTCGCATCCTACCGGGTTCCCATTAAACACCTGGTTGGAGAGTAGCAAGTGCAGGTTAATATCTTGCCAAAGAATATCAGTGCCGTGTCAGGATTCGAACTCTTGACCTTTGCATATCCAGTCAAGTGCCTTAAACCACTCAACCACGACACTCCTAAACCACCACACCGTAAATGATCACCCTGCTTGTAATGAATCGGGAAGGACTCTCTCTCTATCTCTTTACTTTCCTTCCGAAACGTTTTAAGATACATGCGGGTACGCACTTGATCTTGTTATTAATCATGTCAACCTGCAATTAATCTGACCTTCATTCTGAAGTTCGGTTGAAGCAGAGACGTGATATAGACTTTCGGTGGTTGAAGGGATCCAATTGCATGATGTCCTTACCAATTTTGGTATCCTCGATAAAGTGTAAATGAGATGTATACACACCCGAAGGCAATAACTGCTTATTGCCACACATAACTATTTCGAAATGCTTTCATGCCTTCTTGACAACACAGCCCAACTACGAAAATATAAGCAAATATTAATTTCAATAATTCTATGATTGCAGGTCCCACAGGAAGAACGATATTAATACTGATGTGTAAACAAGACATATTATCATTATTAGTATTATTATTATAAGGAGACACGAGAGGTTTGTTTTCATTTTACGGCATATATATTTTTATAAAATATTTAACCAACGTCCATACAAAATTCTAAAGTAAGAAGAGAAACTGTGTTGGCGAAAAAATCCCAACAACTAGGTCATGTTTTATCAAAAAATTGTCTTATTTCTTAATAATCTTCAACAAATCATGTTTACCAAGACAAGCGCAATCTTGCTTGCACGCCCCCGACTGTCATCGATAGGCCCAGCTACAAGTTTCTTCCTGACCTTCGCGGGGCGCGGCGGGACTTTCAGGGTCATCTGTAGGGACAGACTCTTATCTGGCACTTAGTACACTTCCACAAAGTCTTGAACGGTGCCTAAATCTGCCAGAGACACTGGGACTGTTAATCACAACGACCGACACGGGTTTGTAACTGCAAAACTATCTGGAAAGCTAGAGGGTTTTAATTGGTTCGACATTATCGTCCAATAAGATGATGCCATGTAAAATTTAAGTGGCGTTACGCGAGTCCAGCCATTGAGGGGGCTCTACCTGGAAAGCTAGAGGGTTTTGATTGGTTCGACATTATCCTCCAATAAGATGATGCCATGTAAAAGTTAAGTGGCGAACGCGAGTCCAGCCATTGAGGGGGCTCTTTTTCTTCAATTTCCCCCCTCGTTTTTCTATATGGGGGGGGGGGGGGGGGCTGAGTGCCCTGGTGTCCCCCGTAACTACGTCACTGTTTTGGGGCGGGGTTTCGATTTGGGTTTCAATTTCGTATGTAGGAAAATCTATGCAAGTTATCACTATCATGCGCAGCGAATTAAAGTTGTTATATACCACCGCACCTTCGAATCGCGTCACTCACTTCGCGCCGTTCACCAACTGAAAGAGATATCCGAAAGTGTACAAGATTTTTTTGGACGAGGGGTTCCAAATCCAGACTTTGAAGGCGAAACTGATCATATCAGAAGGATATGAAGATCCTCCTGTTGCTTTCCATCCTGATGGCTTACGTAGCCTCTGGTAAGTTTGAGATGCTCAGTTTACTTAGTTTGTTTGTTTTAATTTCCGTCACATAAAACAAATAATACAAAAATAACACAAAATAACCACATTCTTAAACATAGATCATTATACATGATATACAGTTTACATATTAAGAAACCTTACGTGGCATTAAATTGAAGAAAATTGTATAGAGAATGAAAGAATTTACAACGAAATAGTCAAAAACAGATAAACAGACGACAGGATAGCCAATTTTTGGTTGCACTTGTATAGTGCAGCTGGTCTTCCATTGGGACCAGAAAGAAAACGAAGAACTAAAAGTATTAGAAGGGAAGATGAAGAAAAAAAAGGACAAAACGAACATTAGTATTTAAAATATATATATATATATAAGAAAATTTCACGGTAACAATTAAATACATGCTTAATGATAGGCCTAATGGTAGACAAATACTTACAACTGTATCTTTCTCATCTTTACTTTACCATTCTAACAAGCCCACAGCTGATCAGTACATTACAATGTTCCTTAAGATCATAACATCAACAATTTCACAGTAACATAATATACAGTGTTGAAATGTTTTTTTCTCAGATTTTTGAAACACGTTAATTCCATCTGAAGTGTGCGGATGATAATTGGTTGGATGGCTGGCTGGTTTAACCAGACTGCTACCAAAGCATGTGTATGATTATAAGTAAGTAACAAGGGGAACGACGGCTTAAGTCCTCTCCGAGGGACTTCGTAATGAGGATTAATGTCTATTAAACCAAAGGGCATTAGTGCATCAACTTGTTTCATAACCCGGGACATCCCACCTAGGAGTCCATTGCTCTACCACTTTGCTACTTTGCCTCTGTCAGTGTACTAGTGATATGAAATGGACTACTTTGTGGGTACATATACATGAATGTTTGAAAATGGTAAATAAACAAATCTCGTAATCTTACATAATTATCCAAAATATGAATCAAAATTGGTCTTTAATAACGGAAAGCTTGTGTTATCGATGACAGTGTTTATCAATGTAGCTACAAGTGATTTGAAATGTGTCTGAAGAAATGAAACCTTTATACGACATAGACTTACCAATAACATGAATGATTTACTGTATTGTAATGTATCGAAATGGTATTTCTTAAAAATAGTCCAAAGACTGAATTTGTAAATTCTCGAAAGGAAATATCTTACAAATCTATAATTATATCAAAGTTATTCAATAATATGAAGGATACAACGCGATACAGAGAGAGATAGAAAGAGAGAGAGAGAGAGAGAGAGAAATAGAAGGGGGAGACGATGCAAAACAAAAGTGAAAAGAAACAGCGATACGGAGGCAGAGGTGTAACAGTCTAGAAGTAGAAATTGCACAATAAGTGAGTTAATTTATTAACTAAATAATCATCTGTTATGGCACTTGATATATTATAAATTATAGAATGATATGAAAAGCATATGTAAAAGTCACTAGTAACTGCAATTTTTTTTTTAATTAAGGAAAGAAATATGATTTCTTAATGAAGCTAAATCATTATACCCTGTCCCCTGAGTCGCCCATTATTTTGTCTATTGTACCCTTTGTTTATAGAAATTCAAGACAGATAATATATGCCGGTTTGAACATAATGATGTTGCTCTTTGGAGCAATAAAATACAAACAGTCAATGTATATTTGAGTCATAAGAAACTGCAGCACAGTCGACATTTCATGTTCCTATCTATCACTCTATCGGCCTGAAAATATTAATATGTAACTACTTTCTTCTGAATATAGGTATTGTTCTTCGATAATAAATTACATTACGAGCTGAATTTCTACTGAACCAAAAAAGCGTCTACAATACCTATACACACTGACTTTATATCTATGCTCCATTGCTCTCTATGATCCAACATTTTTAATGAGTATTATTTTAGTTTTAATATGTGTATGTATACTTAACATTTCATTGTATGAACTAAACGACCACTTTATAAATATCGTACTTCGGTCAATTTGAGCCTTAAAGATATTTGGAATTTCTTTCAACCGTTAAGGAAAATCATACAGATGAAGACGAGGAAGAAAAAAAAGACAAACAAGACTAGGAAACAAGGAAAAAGAGAATAAAAAGGAGAATAAATAGTAGTAGTACTACTTGTTGTTGTAGCAGTTATAGAAGTAGTAATAGTATACAAATATACACTGCCTTGAGAGGTTCTGGTTAAACCTATGCGCAAGAGGTGACTCCAATAGTACTATTTGCTGAGGGGCGCAGCCAGAAGCAAATTGTACTTTTGGAGTCACCGAGGCCCATAGTTTAACCAGTACCTCGAATAGAAGGCATGGTAAATTTGTTTTATATCCTGCATCAAAAATTTATTTAAAAAAAAAAAAAAACATTTTTGGGAAAACTTTTACAAAAAATGTCAAGTTTTATCTAAAAAGATTTAAATTTTTTTATTTTCATTTAATTAAGATTTGAAGAAAAAAAATTGATTCAATTCAATTTTTTTTTTCAACTCCCAAATAGTAAACCAAAATAGTACTCTCATATAGTACTTTCTAAAAATAGGTCAAATATTTTTGGTCATGTGACGAGCTCTCAACCAATCAAAATCCAACAAATTTTTGATGCAGGGTATAATATAGAATAATAATAAGAAGAAAAATAGCAACAATTAGAAGCAGAACAAAAAGTAGGAGAGAACAAAGAGGAAAAGAAAATGAAAACTTAACATTTCATTGTATGAACTAAACGGCCACTTTATAAATATCGTACTTCGGTCAATTTGAGCCTTAAAAATATTTAGAATTTCTTTCAACCGTTAAGGAAAGTCATACAGATGAAGACGAGGAAGAAAAAGAAGACAAATAAGAATAGGAAAAAAGGAAAAAGAGAATAAAAGAAGAATAAATAGTAGTAGTACTACAAGTTGTTGTTGTAGCAGTTATAGAAGTAGTAATAGTATAGAATAATAATGATGAGAAAAATAGCAAAAATTAGAAGTAGAACAAAAAAGTAGGAGGAGAGGACAAAGAGGAAAAGAAAATGAAGAAGTAGAATAGGAAGAAGAAGAAGAAAACAAAAATAATCCTGTACTTTTCTATCTTCTTAGTATGCTCATACTTGGTATGTTTCTCCCATATGCAGGATATGCCATTACCTGTACAAAATGCTTCGAGTTAACTTCTCGCGACCCAACCTTCCCACTGCCCGCGGACCCCAGTCTAATACCTTGTTCGAACCCTGGTGAGATGGTGTGTGATGGAGGCGTCACTAGCTGTATGACCACGACAATAATAACGCACTATAGTCGTGACGCTGGTAAGAACATTTCTTGTCCCCCCCCCCCAATGCTTGATCTTGAGTCCCGAAGGGGGTAGGAGAACATGGAACTAATTAAATTACCATTAATAAATTCTTCTTAATTGAACAATTGTTTGTTACCGACAATTCGGCCACATATTTATTAATGACTAACATTAACGAACATATTTCAAGACTTGATATTGAGTTATTTTATGAATTACCACTAAAAAATCACTCTGACAATTCCTGTTTTTAACCTGAATTAAAGAGGTAAAACTGTCTTACCGGCCAATTAATTACTTACCAGCTACTGGACCCCCCCCCCCAGGAAAATAACTGTGTCGTAAACTCACTATGTAAAGGTCATAATGCATTATGTATCCCTAAGTCTAAATCTGGTCGCGAATAGGGGCCATCGATATAGAGCTGAGTCGCAACCTATTCATTTTTGCCATTCATTCTTGGTTCAAATGTAACCGTAGGTCCACTTACGGTGATGCAGAAGGCTCGCGAATGCGGACCTCCTTTCGCTGGTTTCCTTCCATCTGGAGACACCTGCGCGGGAGAAGCCATCACCGCAGCCATGACAAGTCATATTGACCCGAATACGACGGTTCCAGCTGGATCTGGACTGACGTTCGAGGACTTTGAGGCCAGTATCTGCAGCTGTGACAGCTCCGACAGATGTACCCCGCCCTCTGCGGCAACCATTGGTAACCCACAACCACAAGGTAATACAAAGGAAGGAGAAGTGTAGTCCAGAATGTCGCCTTTTTTATTCTTAAAACTCTCCACCAAGATATTCCCTACTTGTCGCTAGCCAAGGATGACATGATCCCTGAATTTATACGCCCAGTGCGATCAGGCTGGGTCACGTCATATTTGGTTCGGAGGAGGTATTATTTTATTCCCTTCTTTTTTCTTCACGGTCTTTTTTCAGAGTTACAAACTAATTACAAGGTAAATCGTGATGATAAACAAACTGTAATTCATACATCATTATCGTTATATACTTACAATGAAATACTAACATATTTTACTTTTTAGATCATATCACCTCGGTAGTTCTTTTTACTGTAATAAAGCCTTTTAACCTTGATCATCAGGTACTTTAAAAATATTTATAGTAGAATCTGGTTTATTGCTCATTTCTGGCACAATGTAAATCCTAGTGCTCCATTAGTATAACCTGGGTTTTTAGCACGTCTGTCTTTACAGCGCTAGAGGATTTAAAGTAACCAATTCCTGCCAGGTGCCCATTCGCTTCACAAATTGGTGGATTGCGGTGAATGAAGATTAATGTACTGCCAAATGAAAGTACTGCTACAGAGATTCGAGCCCCGGACCTTACAGTTCACAGTCTGAAGACCTAATCCGCTTGACCACAACACTAATACAACACTTATACTCCCCTATTTAATACCTTTGCCCTGTATTAACCAATATTTGTGATGAGTATAATTTTTAGTATTTGTATGTATACCTAACATTTTATTGTATATGCACTAAACGACCACTTTCGAAATATGGAACTTCGGTCTAGTTGAGACTTTGCAATATTTAGGAATTTCTTCCAATCGCTAAAAAAACCATAACGATGAAGAAATTTATAACAAAGAAGACGAACATTATTAGGGGCAAGGATGTGGAGGAGAAGGAAGAGGAGAAGAAATAGTACTACTACCAATAAATTTAGTAGTAGTAGTAATAGTAGTAGTAGTAGTCGAAATAGAATAGTAGTGTCATTCGTAGTAGAAGACAAAGAATAATAACAGAAGTAGAAGATGAAACAGAGGAGGAAAAAGGGGAGAAGAAAATTAAGAAGTAGAATGGGAAGAAGAAAGTAGCATTAAAAGAAGCAGTGGTAAAGGAGAAGAAGAGTATAAATATGAAGAAGAAGGAGTAGAAGAAGAAGAAGTAGAAGAAGAAGAAGAAGCAGAAGAAGAAGAAGAAGAAGAAGAAGAAGAAGAAGAAGAAGAAGAAGAAGAAGGAAAAAAAAAAGTATGCTTGTACTTGGTATGTTTATCCCAAATGCAGGATCTGCTATTACCTGTACGAAATGCTCCGAGGTAACTTCTCGAGACCCAACCTTCCCATTGCCCGTGGACCCCACTCAAATACCTTGTTCGAACCCTGGTGAGATGGCGTGTGATGTAGGCGTCACTAGTTGTATGACGATGACGATGACGATGCACTTTAGTCGTGACGCTGGTAAGAACATAATGCCCGTTGCACACAAGGCGTTTTTTCGATTGCGTCATTATCATATATAATATATTCTGTGAAAGTCCTTAGCTCGTACGTCAGTAATTTCCTAGCAAATTGTCTGCACAGATCAGGTTTGAATCAATGAATGTACGGTGTATCTTTTACTTGGTGCGTCAAAGACTGCGTCACTGCGTCACTGACGCAGTCCTACGTGTGCCTCCTCGTGTGTCAGGGTTGTTACACCGTTTAATGAAAATGGATGTATCCTCTCAATCAACATTTCTTGTTCGTGCCCCTTATGCTTGATCTTGAGTCCCGAAGAGGGTAAGAAAACAAGGAAATAATTAAATTACCATTCACAAATACCCTTCTTCTCAATTCAACAAGTTTGTTACCGACAATTCGGTCAAATGATTAATAGTGACTCACATTAACGAACATTTTATAAGACTTGATATTAAGTTTGTTAACGAATTACTACTAACAAATCACTTTGATCATTCCTGTTTTTAACCTGAATCAAAGAGTTTAACCTGTCGTACCTACCATTTACTTACAACGGCTACTGAGCCCCCCCCCCCCCCCCTTCCGCAGGAAATTAATGTGTCGTAAACCCACATGCCTTACAGAGCCAATGCATTATGTATCCCTTATCCCTTAGTCTTAGTCTTAGTCTTCGACATAGAGCTGAGCCGCAACTTATTCATTTATGTCCTTCATTCTTGGTTCAACTGTAACCATAGGTCCACTTACGGTGATGCAGATGGCTCGCGACTGCGCACCTCCGTTAGCTGGTTTCCTTCCATCTGGAGACACCTGCGCGGAAGAAGCCATCACCGATGTCATCGCCAGTCAATTTGATCCGAATACGTTGTTTCCACCTGGATTAGGGCTATCGTTCGAGGACCTTGAGACCAGTATCTGCGTCTGTGACAGCTCCGACAGATGTACCCCGCCCTCTGCGGCAACCATTGGTAACCCACAACCACAAGGTAATACAAAGGAAGAAGAAGTGTAGTCCAGAATGTCGCCTTTTTATTCTTAAAACTCTCCACCAAGATATTCCCTACTTGTCGCTGGCCAAGGATGACATGATCCCTGAATTTATACGCCCAGTGCGATCAGACTGGGTCACGTCATATTTGGTTCGGAGGAGGTATTATTTTGTTCCCTTCTTTTTTCTTCACGGTCTTTTTCCAGAGTTACAAACTAATTACAAGTTAAATGGTAATGATAAACAAACTGTAATTCATACATCATTATCGTTTTATACTTACAATGAAATACTAACATATTTTACTTTTCAGATCATATCACCTCGGTAGTTCTTTTTACTGTTATAAAAGCCTTTTAACCTTAATCATCAGGAACTTTTAATATATTTATCGTAGAAGCTGGTTTAATGCTCATTTCTGGTACAATGTAAATGCTGGTGCTCCATTAGACAGTATAACCTGGGTTTTAGCACGGCTTTCGTTACAGCGCTAGAGGATTTAAAGTAACCAATTCCTGCCAGGTGCCCATTCGCTTCACAAATTGGTGGATTGCGGCGAATGAAGATTAATGTACTGCCAAATGAAAGTACTGCTACAGAGATTCGAGCCCCGGACCTTACAGTTCACAGTCTGAAGACCTAATCCACTTGACCACAACACTTATACAACACTTATACTCCCCTATTTTAAACCTTTGCCCTGTATTAACCAATATTTGTAATGAGTATAATTGTTAGTATTTGTATGTATACGTAACATTTTATTGTATATGCACTAAACGACCACTTTCGAAATATGGAACTTCGGTCTAGTTGAGACTTTGCAATATTTAGGAATTTTTTCCAATCGCTAAAAAAACCCTAACGATGAAGAAATTTATAACAAAGAAGACGAACATTATTAGGGGCAAGGATGTGGAGGAGAAGGAAGAGGAGAAGAAATGGTACTACTACCAATAAATTTAGTAGTAGTGTCATTCGTAGTAAAAGACAAAGAATAATAACAGAAGTAGAAGATGAAACAGAGGAGGAAAAAGGGGAGAAGAAAATTAAGAAGTAGAATGGGAAGAAGAAAGTAGCATTAAAAGAAGCAGTGGTAAAGGAGATGAAGAGTATACAGATGAAGAAGAAGAAGTAGAAGAAGAAGAAGTAGTAGAAGAAGAAGACGCAGAAGAAGAAGAAGAAGAAGAAGAAGAAGAAAAAAGCATGCTAATACTTGGTATATTTATCCCAAATGCAGGATCTGCTATTACCTGTACGAAATGCTCCGAGGTAACTTCTCGAGACCCAACCTTCCCATTACCCGTGGACCCCAGTCAAATACCTTGTTCGAACCCTGTTGAGATAGTGTGTGATGAAGGCGTCACTAGCTGTATGACGATGACAATAATAACGCACTTTAGTCGTGACGCTGGTAAGAACATTTCTTGTTCGTCCCCCCCTCCCTAATGCTTGATCCTGATTCCCGAAGGGGGGGGGGGGTAGGTGAACATGGAAATAATTAAATTACCATTAATAAACAACCTTTTCTTCTCAATTGAACAATTCGTTCCTCTTTTCACGAAGTGATGGTAGTGAGGAAAATCTGCACGCAATTCGTATGCGATTTTCATTCACTATCGTCACTCCGTGAAAATAGGGACGAATTGTTGTTACCAACAATTCGGCCGCATATTTATTAATCACTAACATTAACGAACATATTTTAAGACTTGATATTGAGTTATTTTTTTATAAATTACGACTAAAAAATCACTCTGATAATTCCTGTTTTTAACCTGAATTGAAGAGTTAAAACTGTCTTACCGGCCAATTACTTACACCGGCTACTGGACCCCCTAGAAAATAACGGTGTTGTAAACTCACTATGTAAATGTCACAATGCATTATGTATCCCTTAGTTTTAATCTGGGCGCGAATAGCGGCCATCGATATAGAGCTGAGCCGCAACTTATACATTTTTGTCATTCATTCTTGGTTCAAATGTAATCATAGGTCCACTTACGGTGATGCAGAAGGCTCGCGAATGCGGACCTCCGTTCGCTGGTTTCCTTCCATCTGGAGACACCTGTGCGGATGAAGCCATCACCGCAACCATCACACGTCAAATTGACCCGAATACGTTGGTTCCACCTGGAGTTGGGCTGACGTTCGAGGACTTTGAGGCCAGTATCTGCAGCTGTGACAGCTCCGACAGATGTACCCCGCCCTCTGCGACAACTAATGGTTACCCACAACCTGAAGCAACAACTAGTGCTGTTGGAGAAGGTAATAAGAAGGAGGGGGAAGTGTAGTCCACAATGTCGCCACACTTAATTCTCTTCACCAAGATATCCCCTACGTAATGCACGCCAAGAATGACTTTGAGGTTTTTTCCGTTCTTCATGCTCGTTTTTAAAAATTGCAAACTAATTACAAAATGCATCATGATCATAAACAAATCTTATAATATATACATCATGAACGTTAAAAACTAACATCGTAATACTAATAAAAGATTATCATAAAGAAGGATAGCCACATAAGCTGAGCTTGAAGGCGTGATAATCCTTTATATAACCTAATGATTTCTACAGAAAAGCAAATGGTGTTGGGGATCGGAGTGAAACAGATGTATGAAAAGATCCACAGTGATAAAGGACAATATGTTTACATTATTATGCACCACGCCTCTGGAATCAGCTGCCCCTGAACATTTGTACAGCACCCACACTAGACAGCCTTAAAAATCATATGAAGACATTCCTGATTTTCCCGACCTTTATAACAAGTAAAGTGCTGTGAAACCAGTTTTGTGAGAGGGCTATGCAAAATCATTTGTTCTTCTTTTTTCTCTCCTTTTTTAAAATATATATGATGTAGGTCTACCAACACAAGCTCTACCAAGCTCTACCAACACAAGCCCCCGAAAAGAATAAAGACTATTAAAATGGCTCCTCATTTGAATTGGGGAAAGATTTAATGAAGTATTGCAATAAAGTCATGTAGTCAAAATTCACTTACACGAAGAGGGTAAAAGAGCACTGGGGTTTTTGTATTTAGTCTTAGCAAGATTGCAGCAATGGCAATGTATTGGAAGAAGCCAGCTTTGTGATATAGTCATTAGTTAATTTGAGCGTATCCGGACACCTACCCTCTGGGCATCCACCCCCGGAGAACCACCTCCAGTCAACTACCCCCTAGGACAACTACCCCCTAGGGTAACTACCCTCTAGGAAAACTATCCCCCGGGACAACTTCCCCCGGACCACTACCCCCCAGACGACTACCCCCTAGGACAACTACCTCAGAGGACAACTACCCCCTAGAACCTCATTTCATATGTGGATAATACTTATGTGCCCTTTGCTTGCTAAAGTTTTGACCTCTTTTATTGTATAAACTATGATATTTTTTTCTCGTTGAAAAGCGTAGAATTAGAAGTGCTCGAAATCTGCTCCTAAAAGAAAGCCCTCCCTCGAAATTTAATTTGATCATATCCTAAAGCCCCATGCTTTCAATTTGCACGTTGATTTCGAAGCAGTAGCCTTTACGAAAAATAAGGAGAGGGTAAAAAATGAAAATAATGACACATATTTTAAAAAAGGGAAAATTTACGAATATTGTTTATTTACAAAAGAAAACATAACCTTCAACAATTTACTTTCCTGTCTCATGTTTAGAACAATCCATCACTGACATACGCTTGGTTGGTGGAGATAGCGATTTTGAAGGAAGGGTAGAGATTGAACACGATGGCGAATGGGGAACCATCTGCGATGACTCATGGGATTTGGACGATGCCACGGTAGTCTGTATAATGCTTGGATTCGATGGGGCGTCTGGCGCTCCTCGCTACGCCCAATTTGGAGAAGGTTCGGGTCCTATTCTTCTGGATGATGTCCTGTGCACAGGGGACGAAGCCACTCTGACTGATTGTTCACACCAACCTTTTGGACAACACAACTGTGGCCACACTGAAGATGCAGGAGTCATTTGTTATACCATAGGTAATGATTATGATAATAGTAATAATGATAGTAATAAAATAATAGGGATAATGACAATAATCTTGATTTATATCGCGCTTCCGGCTCAAAGCGATTTACAGATAATATTTCCCCATCCATCGGATTCAAGTCATCAGAGTTTGAGTGAAAAGCCTATCGAGCATGCCTGTTGTTAAAATATTCGCGGTATAGAATCTTGAGTTTATGCTGCAGCAGATATCTCTGGAGCATTGACCTTTTCTTGAAACCATTGCGGTGCAATGCGTACCAAAGAAGACGTATTTTGGCGAAATTATTACCGTACTGAACTTGCCAAATCTAACAGTATTGCATGCGACCTTCTGTAATCAGATCGAACAACGCCGAAATCTTCGCCATTCTGTACCATCAATGATATACGGTTCTTCGAAGGCAGCACCAAGACCGACGGCCGAGTAGAGGTCGATTGAAATGAATCCGCAACAACTTCTTCTCTATAAGCAATATACGTTTTTACGTGGAAGCATAAAATATAAAGCACGTATCCAAATCTTTTACGAAACCATTTATCGCGCATTTTTTGGGGTGAGACCTGAGACCTATTCGGTTATTAGTACACAATTTATTGTAATTCCATTGATCTAGACCAACCACCATGAACCACAACGCTATTTTCGTCCAAAGCCTGAAACATTAATTACCGTTTTATTATCTTTCTGGAGGAAACGGTGTTATCTTGCACTAAATGTCCAAACAAATCCTAACAAATGTTTCTCTCTGTCAATCTGGTGAAATAATTTGCTACATCAACAGATACGGCGATGCCCTCTGTTCGATTGATTGGTGGAAGTTCTATCAACGAGGGAAGAGTTGAAGTCCTGTACGATGGACGATGGGGAACTGTCTGTGACGACTACTGGGGTCCAGAGGATGCCGGCGTTGCCTGCAGGATGATGGGCTACGATGGGGCATCCGAGGCACCAGGCTCAGCTCGGTTCGGCCAAGGTTCGGGTCCTATCTGGCTTGATGATGTGATGTGCTCGGGGGAAGAGACCGACTTAGCTGACTGTCCGCATCAGGCGTTTGGAACTAACAACTGTGGTCATTATGAAGATGCAGGGGCCGTCTGCTCTTTTACAGGTAAATACTACAATCCATCAAGGCTTTTACTACTTAACGATATGTCTTGGCATCTGACGAAATTAGCTTACTTTGCATACTAAGCATTACAAAAATATTATCTAAAACTGAACCACGCAAATGCACATAATCCACTTCCTTAATTCTAGCACTATTTTCATCATTGCCATTTTGTAAATGCACCGGATTTGATCAAAATATATTTTAATTAAAACTTCATGTTCGTTTCAAGAATAAGTCGGCTTCTTTAATGAAAATGCAATTCGTCGAGCCCGACCCCCCCCCCCCAAAAAAAAAAAAAAAAAAAAAAAAACAAAACAAAACAAAACAACAACAACAACACATCTCCAGAACCTGTTTTATTAATTAATGTTTCATCCTCTTTCTTGAAGGAACAATATTATCTTGCACTAAAAAGTCAACAACGTCCTAAAAAAATACCCCTCTTTGCCATTCTGGTGAAATAATTTGAAACATCAACAGGAACGTCGGCGCCCACCGTACGTTTGGTTGATGGCAGCTCTGACAACGAAGGACGAGTTGAAATTCTGTACGGTGGACAATGGGGTACTGTCTGTGATGACTATTGGGGTCTGGATGATGCCGGCGTTGTCTGCAGAATGCTGGGCTTTGGTGGGGCGTTCGAGGCACCGGGCTATGCTCGGTTCGGGCAAGGTTCGGGTACTATCTGGCTTGATGATGTGATGTGCTCAGGAGAAGAGACCGACTTAGCTGATTGTCCGCATCCAGCGTTTGGAACTCAAAACTGTGGTCATTATGAAGATGCAGGAGCCGTCTGCTCTTTAACAGGTTAATATAACAATCCATTAAGGCTTTGCAACTTTACAATTTGTCTCGTTCTCTACCGTAATCAGCTTTACTGAGCTTACTGAGCATTAAAAGAAATATAAGACTGAACCAGGCAAATTTAGATATTCCACTTCCTCAATTCTAGCATGGTTGTCTTCATTGCACCGTATTTAAGCAATTATGTTATTGGTATACACTTCTTCCCTTTTCCGTACATCTAGTATTATTTTATCCAAAACCCACTGAGACTTTTACTAGATACATGTTCACGAAAGCTATGTAATCAGTATTCATCCAGGCACGTTTGATACATTCTATTGAACACAGGTGTAGGTAATCCTTCGAAGAGGGTAAACAAAGACTCACCTTCATGACTTCAGCTGGATTATTCCAAAAATGGGATTTATCTAAGTTTAAAAGATCTGTGGATTTTTGAGTTTTCTGAACCATGTGCTAACTACGAACTGGTCTATTCTTATTGTATTAGTTAAGTGTTGTTTTTTTGAGCGAATTTGTACTAAGGTTGTAGAGTAATCATGTACTTTTAAGAATGCTATCAGTTGCCTGATGATCGCTTGCAAGGCATGAAACTTGGAGTAGCAACCATGTTCCATTAGTCTGTCTTATTCAATTTGTTTTACTCTGCCTAGGCATTCAGCACTGTACGAAAGGAAATAGCAAACCTAAGTATATCTCTCTATTATGTATATATTTACGTACTGATCTCTTTTATTTGTAGTTCTATAACTGAAGGGTAGCATTATCAGTTTAAAAACTGCTTTCACATCGACCCTATTGGCCTAGACAACAATATAATTACATATTTCAATTTGGTGTATGTGTACATGTACCCTATAATGATTTAAGGTAAACTAAGTATCATCCTTCAGCAATAATTTCTCCCCTTGACAAGGATTTAAAGGGCTTGTATTATCTTCTCAGTCGTTTTCTAATTCATGTATTATTCTTGAATTAACAGCTTGATGTTTGTAGTGCTGGTAGAACTCTGTGTATCAATTCTATAATATATAAAGTCATTGTTAAAAAAACATTGAGCTTATTAAACTATCATTGTATCGGGACTGATTTTATAGCAGGTTTTCTTATGTATTAATAGGATAAATAGTGCTCTCTTTAATTTATTGAATTATTTATTGTTTACGTGTAAAGATCAGTTGATCGGTTTTTCCATTTATTCTGAAATTAACTAATTTTTTGGCTTAGTGGTTGTTCGGTTAAAAAGTTAAATGTTTGGCTGGTCGGTTGGTCTTATTTATAATCTGATCAATTGCTTAATTGTTTGCCTGATGATTGGATTGTTAATTATTGGTTGATTTACTGATTGATTGGTAGGCTTATTGGTTTGTTGATTAATGGATTGGTGAGCTTGGTTGGTTCGTCGGTTGGCATGTTTGGTCATTGGTTTGCTTGTGAGACGGTTGGTTGATTAATCGGTTGATTAGTTGAATGAATGAATGATTGATCGATTAATTGAATAATGTATTAATTGCTGGATTAGTTAGTTGGTTGATTGTTTGACCTATTGGTTGATTGGTTGGTTGGTTACTTGATTAGTTGATTGAGTGATATATTGCTTGGCAAATGATTGCTTTAAAGAGCAATTCGTGTTCTAGGGAGAGGCAAAACAAGTTTGTGAGCGTTATCATTGTTGGTTTGCAAGTGTGGAAGAACATCAGAGAAGAATGTTTCCTGAAGAATATTGCTTTTAAAATGCCTTAATATTCTAAATATGATAAGTAAAAGCTTAATAATGAGGCCCGATTCTTAAACACAGGTTTTTGTAATCCCATATACATATTTATGTGTACCCTGCCAGTATCTTTACCAAGACTCGGCCGAATTTCTTATCATTCCTATGGCTCCAAGACCCAACTTTATTTATCAAATTAATGATAGTTTGAAGAGTGGCGTCGCACGACTCCAACCATGGAGAAAAAAAAGGAGAAAAAAATCATTGTGTGCGGGGGGGGGGGGGGGGGGGAGTTGTTAATGGGAGGGTTTCCTTTGATTTTCTATTCTGTTTTCCTCTCCCTTTCCTTCTCTCTCCCTGTGTCTCTCTCTCCCTCTGTTCCTCTCTTAGCCACTTAATAAATAAGGCGGCGCATGTTTTATGTGACTACGTAGATACGTCATTGGTTTCATTGCGACACCACTGTTTGTACCCCCACCTATTGACCAATCTCTAGCCGCTAGATGTCGTGTTTTCGATATCTTTATAGAATCTACTATTAATAATACTATTGATAATAATGATGGTGACAATAACTTTTCATCACCCAGAGATACCTCATCAGCATTAATGTTTTGTGTGTAGGGCCCTGCAATTATTATTTCACCAGTGACAGCAATTGTCACTTACCAAGTTACACCTGGTAGGAGAGTGGCCAATGTGGATTAATGTATTGCCTAAGGATGCTAGCGCCGGTTTGGTATTCGAGGCCTCGAACCTTGAATTAAGAGTGACGTGAATGAACCACTTTACCACGAAACCTTCGTTGATCGGCAACACATCCTGATGTTAATTCATTGTCTAAAAGTAGGCCAAGATATATGGATTTTCTAACGTCAACAAGTTAAACAATATTAAAACGAAAGTAAACCGAAAGGAATCTTTGATGATGTTGAAATCATCAGATAACTTTTACCCGACTTGTTTTCATCGTCATGCTCTTGGATATATGAATGTCTTGCGGATTGGATAACAATACATATCAATATATCATACGAACAGCAGCTTTGAACCTTGAATTTTTGGTGAAAAATATGGCCAGTTTTGGATTAATATAATAAAATCATAGAATAGAATGTGGGCCTACCGAAACGACAAAATATAGAGGATATTGAGTTCAAACAGCTTCCTTCGTGTTTTGGAATCAGTTCATAAAAGTGAGTAAAACAAATGTCCTGACAATTTATAGGCAGCTAATAGAGTCTCACAAAAGGCGATTCGCAAAAACGTTCAAGATAAATTAGGGGGTAGGTTATGTTTAAACATGGTAATGGTTAGGGACTAGGTTAGAGAAAGGGTTACGGTAAGGTTTAGGCTATGGTAATGTTTAGGTATAGGGTTGTGTTTTATAGGGTTAGGGTTATGGTAAGATATACGATTCTGATTAGGGTGAGGGCTATAGTAAGGGTTATGGATAGAGACAGTGTTATGGCTGGGTTAATAATCTTCGTATACGATAATTTTAAAACAATAAGTAGGTCAGTTTTGAATATGAAATCACTTGAAATTCAAAGATGAAAAAGAAAATTCGTTGCACCTTCTATTAGTTTCCTCTTAATATCCTACATAACGCCCTTTCTTGCTCAGTAAGACGGTGCTTCATTGGAATATGATCTATTCTTGAGTTTCGTCCAACGCCTTCCTTGAAATGTACTGGTAGCTAAATCTATATGTTGAAGTAGCCTCACCCTTTAAAAACTAAAGTATTAGTACATTACGGAATCTTAAACGTTGGATGTCGACTTGTTTTACTGGCCAGGTCGCCTTGTTTAAAGATAAACTTAAAGTCGGGTAAATATAGAAAATAAATTCCCATCGAACACAACAAAGCTCACACTTAATTTTCCAGGTTACACATAAATTACATTTTCTAAACAAATTTTGTAGAAAATGTATAGTGGCTGCGTAATGAGCATAGCAAGATAAGCAAAACCGGGTAAATAGGCCCGACATCATGTGTTGTTTAACATTGTGCAAATAAGAGTTGTGGTTTTTATCAAAGATTTGTGATGCCTAATAAGTTTGCCGTGTGCGTTTATTTTTATTTAACTGGTTCAAACAACCAATCTTCTGCAGGATAAACAATCCATAATAACTCATGGCAATTTTCTCTCAAAATATGATTTTCATACCAGAGATCAAGATTAGCTTCAAGTCGAGAAGGTTAGAAGGAGCATTGATGAAGTAAAACAAGTTGCCATTTCGCTACTTTTTCATAGTATACCCTAACTTACTAGACATCTAACAACTTAGAAGTAAAGATTCAAGTATGAATTAAAAAGGTCACGAAGCATTAGTGATTATGTGTAAACAATAATTCATCCCAGGAGTACATTAATTCCACATTCAAACATTTTGAAACCTACCGTAAAAAAGGAAACGTTTTAGACAATAACATATTATTCTCATCCGTAAACACTAACACAAAAATTATCGCGTTTCGGGCTGGAAAATGAATCTATTTTGGACCATGTGGGGGTTATGCAATGATTTGTTTTGGTTTGTTTCATCGGTCTCTTTCACATTCTTTGTAAAATTAAACCAAGATTTGTATTATTTGGTAATAGAACATGCTTTCTTAGGAGCACGGGGAAAACAAAATGATTATCATCACACTGTGAATGGTCTCCATGCTTTTAATGAATCGGGAATGACTCTCTCTCTCCCTCTCTCTCTCACTCTATTTACTTTCCTTCCGAAACCTTTCAGAGAATACATGCGGGTATGCAATTGATCTTGAAGTTAATCATATCAACCTGCAAGAAATCTGCCCTTCGTTCTGAAGTACGGTTGAAGCCGATATAGACTTTCTGTGATTGAAGGTATCCAATTGCATGATGTCCTTACCAATTTTGGACTCCTCGAAAAAGTGTAAATGAGATGAATATTTACCCGAAGGCAAACATGGCTTATTGCAACACATAACTATTCCGAAATGCTTTCATGCCTTCTTTACAACATAGCCCAAATACGACAAAAATAAGCAAATATTAATTTTCAATAATTTAATGATTGCAGGTCCCTGATCAGTATCAATACTGAAGAGGCTACCCAGGAGAAACAAGACATATTACCATTTTTGTTTAATTTATTATTATTATAAGGAGACACGGGAGGTTTCGATTGTACGTCATATACGTTCATGCCAAATTAAATAATAAGGAGAGCAAATGTTTTGGTGAAAAAATCCTAACAACTACGTCATGTTTTATCAAAGTATTGTCTTATTTAACGACCCTAAATGATCTAGCGTGCACACCCCCGTGTCATCGATATGCCCAGCTACACGTTTCTTATTGACCTTACTGGGGGCATCATTCGTTTTCCCACGAGAGTTTCGGAACTTGGCTGATATGTTTTACGCCATTAGCAGCTTGGAAATAGGTCACTAACAATTATGCTGTGATCTTTTATTGCTCTGCCTCACTTTTTATAAAGGCAACCAAATAGAACTGAATAAAAACAGAGAGTCAAACCCACAACATGGCAGTTGTACTACGCTGTCCTTACCGATTGAGCTAACGAAGGGTTGATGAAGCTGGGCTTATATGATTATTATAACCCTATCACTAACCCTAACGGTTACAATGTGGCCATGCGCAGGTTTAGCTACATAGCTAGACTCTTCTGATTGGCTGTATGCAAATGAGTTCATACTGGGGACCGAAACTCTCGTTCGACAAGTAATTGGGCTTCCCGGGGCGCGTCGGGACTTCGCGGTGATTCTACATGGACATACTCTTAACTGGCACTCTAGCACGATTCCACAAAGTCTTGAGCTGCATCTATCTTTGTCAGTCTCTCTCATGCGCAGCTATTAACATCACATAGCCTATGGTGTGTTATAGCGTGTATTTAACACTGGCTTACAGTTCGGACTCCCTGGGACAGTTAATCACAACGACTGACAAGGGTCTGTGACTGCAAAACTACCTCGAAAGCGGATGAGTTGTGATTGGTTTGATATCATTGTCCAATAAGATGACGCCATGTAGGGGTTAAGTGGCGTAACGCGAGTCCAGCCATTGAGGGGGATTTTTTTACATTTGTCTTTCCCTCGTCATTCTATAAGGGGGGTGCCCCGGTCCTCCAGTTAGCTGCGCAAGTGTTTTTGGGGTGGGGTTTCGATTTCGTATGTAGGAAATCCGTTGCATGCGCATCACTATCATGCACAGCGAATCAAAGTTGTTATATACCGCTGGATCTTCGAATCGCGTCACTCTCTTCGCGCTGCTCATCAACCGAAGAAGATTTCGGAAAGTGTACAATATTTTTTGGATGAGTGGTTCCAGATCTAAACATCGGAGAGGAAACCAAACATATCAGTAGGATATGAAGATCCTCCTGCTACTTTCCTTCCTGGCGGCTTACGTACCCACTGGTAAGTTGGAGACGCTCACATTATTTTGTGTGCTTGTTTTTATCATAGTCGTATGAAACGAATAAATAAAAGAAAGATAATACAAAAATATGTACAGTTCTCAAAGGTACTAGACCAGTTTTGGAGACGTCCCCCTCTCAAAAAATGAAACGGAAGCTTTTATTACCAATCATGTGAAAGAATATGTTTTGACTAATACGTGATGAAAATGTTTTGCCGTGAAACCGCCAACTAATTTATATACCTGGTAAATCATCATGCGGATCCGGCCTGGATAGATATCGCGAATGCACTTAGACATTGAACATGTGGGCATATATTTCTGTTTTTTGAGAATTTAGGTTGTAGTATTGCCATCTAAACCTCTGAAGGCAATATTTAGACAATAATGAATGGATATTTTGCACCCAAACCCCTTGAATCACAATTTTACCACTACCGGTCTATATCTTTACATATTTACATTAGTATTACATGGCATCAAATTGAAGAAGAAAAATAAGAACGAGAAACAGACAAAAACAGAGAAACAGATGGCTGGATAGCCCATTTCAGCTGCACTTGCATAGTGCAGCTGGTCTTTCATTTGGACCAAAAAAAAATTTAAAAAATTAAGAAGTAGTAAAAAGTAAAGAAGATGAACAATAGCATTACACATAAATATATTAAGGTCTCATGGTATCAATTAAACTAATGCCTTGTGATAAGCCCAATGGTAGAACTACTTAGATTATTTATTAACTGAATGACCATCAGTAATGTCACTTGAAACATTATGAGTTACGGAATGATAGAAATAGTTATAGGTAATAGTTACTGCCACAAAAGAAACAAAAAGTCAAGAAAAGAATACAATTTTTTATTTCCCTGAATGACAGGTTATTTTGTCTACTGTACCCTTTGTTTATCAACATTCAAGATATACATATCTTGTTTGAAAATATTGAGGTTCCTACTTTGGCAATATAATATAGACAGTCTATATATTTGAGTTGACATTTCATGCCCCTTTCGTTCACTATGTTGACTTGAATATATTACCATGTAACTGCTTTCTTTTGAATATTGGTTGTGTTCTTCGATAACAAATTTGATTAAGATCTAACTTGTTATACTTTATTTTTTAAATGCAGCAAATCTTACCATAACGTTGTTCTGTCTCTTCTTAGTAATGGAATATTTGAATATGTTTTATCTTACAAAATTATACTTTTTATAACATATAACCTCAGTGGTATATTTCATTGCAATAACATCTCCAAACCTTAATCCCCATATACTTTAATAACAAGTATGATGGAGTCTGGTATAGTGCTTTAATGTCTTGCAAATTGCTATACTGGTGCTCCATTGTTATTAGCCCGGTTTTAGCACGGCTGCCATTATAGCGTGAGTTGCAGTACTCAATTCCTGACGGGTACCCATTTTTGTCGCATGTAAGGAGTGTAGCGAACGTAGATTATTTTATTGCCAAATCACATAATTACTGCGACAGGGATTCGAACCATGTACCTTATAATTCAAGTCCGGAGACTTAATCCACTGGACCACACCAATTCTACAACACTTTTATTTTGTATCTATTTGCTCTACATTATCCAATAGTTTTAATGAGTTTATTTGTTGTTTTAAATATGTGTGTATGTATAATTAACAGTTTATTGTACATGTATGTTCTAAGCGGCCACTTTATAAATATGGTCCCTCAGTCCATTTGAGCGAATATTCAGGAACATCTTCCAATCGTAAATGAAAACCATTAAGATGAAGAATAGAAAGAAGGAGGATGAGATGAAGGAGGAACATAAGTAGAAGTAGTAGTAATAATAAATAATAATAATACATATGATTTATAAGGCGCCAAATCCACTTGACAGTCAAATGCTCAAGGCGCAGCTTGTGCAAAAGATGAAATACATACATGATACATTTATACAAAGTGCGATAGGAAAGGTACAGACATGAAAGGTAATGGTCATCAATTATAAGCTAAATTAAACAGATATTTCTTAAGATTGTTTTTTAACACTTCAGCAGAACTGCTATTCTTAACCCATTGAGGGAGAGTATTCCATAACGAAGGCCCAGCATGAGCGAAAGTTCGCTCCCCCCACTTTGTACTACTAGTTGTAGTAGTAGCAGATGTAGCACAAGAAGATGAAGAAGAAAAAGAGGATGATGAGGAAGAAGAGGAAGAAGTGAGAAGAAAAAAAGAAGAAGAATAATAAGAAGAAGAAGTAAAAGAGGAAGATCGATGAGGAGAACGAAAAGAAGAAAAATAAGTACAAATACAAGAAACATTAGAAGAACAGCAACAAGAAGAGCAGATAAACAAAACGAAGATGAAGGCGAAAAAAGATTTTAAAAAAGAGAAAGATTCTGTACTCTAATATCTTCTCAGTATTCTCATACTTGCATGTTTTTCCTAAATGCAGGATATGCTATTACCTGTACGAAATGCACCGAATCAACTTCTGACGACCCATGGTTCCCATTGCGCGTGGACTTCAATGAAATGACGTGTTCCAGGAACCCTGGTGAGATGGTGTGTGATGAAGCCGTCACTAGCTGTTGGACGACGATTATTACGATGCACTTTAGACGTGGCGCTGGTAAGAACGTAATGCACGTTGTACACGAGGTATCATTTCGAATGCGTCATTACCATATGTAATATATTCTGGGAAAGTCTTTAGTATTTTAGCACTGTACGGTGTATCTTTTACTTGGTGCGTCAAAGACTGTGTCACTGCGTCACTGACGCAGTCCCACGTGTGACTCCTTGTGTGTCAGGTTTCTTTTTCCGCTTTTGTAATGCACAGCGATTTATCCTTTCAATCAAATTCTTTTTCAGTGCCCTCAATGCTTTATCTTTGGTCTCGAAGAAGGTAGAAGAGCATGGAAATAATTTAATTGCCATTAATAAAATACCCATTTTTTCTCGATTGAACGAGTTTGTTACAGACAATTTGGCTACATGCTTAATAGGGACTTATATAAACAAAATATTTTAGGACTTGATTTTGAATTTGTTTATGAATTACACCCAATATTTTACTCTATTTTTTTTATTGTGACAGAAAATTCCTGTGTTGTAAACCTACTATACGGTACAGCCCATAAACAAATAAAAACCAGGAATTATCGATGTTTTATTATAACTGAATAACAATTACAATTAATAAATGACACATATGTGTAAAGCTTACCTTCTCTATCTTCATTTGATGCAACTCATTTACAGCTGTTACGTCCCCTTTGCACTTTCCTCAAAATGAAAGGGCTTGAAAAAGTTTTTTGGGTTGGAAAATAACGACCAATTGTTGTCGAATCAACTTTTACTTAGTCAATATCTGGGCGCGAAAAGCGGCCACCGATAAACAGCTGAGCCGTAACTTATTTAATTATTTTTCTTCATTCTTGGTTCAAATGCAACCATAGGTCCACTTGCGCTGACGGAGATGGATCGCGACTGCGGACCTCCTCTCGATATCGACTTACCATCTGGAGGCGCCTGTTCGGGAGAAGGCCTCGCAGAAGCTATCGCAAGTCGAATGGACCCGAGTGAGATGTTTCCAGAAGCACTTGGGCTGACCTACGAGAACCTTGATGCCAGTGTCTGCTTCTGTGACAGCTCCGACAGATGTACCCCGCCCTCTGCGGCAACCGATGGTAAGCCACAACCTGAACCCGAACCTCAAACAACAGCTAGTGCTAATGGAGAAGGTATTAAGAAGGAGGTGAAGTGTAGTCCACAAATTCGCCTTTTTTTCTTCGTAACAATCTCCATCTAGATATTCCCTACTTGCCGCAAACCAAGGATGACATGATCCCCGAGTTAATACGTTCGTCGCAATTGGGCTGGGTCAGTTCATCTGTGGTTCGGAGGAGGTTTGATTTATTTTTATTTGATTTATTCAATTTTCTTGTTCAATTCTATACATTATCAACGTTAAATGCTTAAATTGTAATACTAACATACGATAATGATGAAGAAGTTTTGCCATGTAGGTGGAGCTTGAAGGCGTGGTAATCCTTCATAAAGCGTAATGATCCCTACAAAAACAAACATGATGTTGGGCATTGGAGTGAAAAAGATGAATGAGAAGATCCAAAGTGACAGATGGCAATGCTTTTACAATTATATGTACCCCGCCTCTGGAATCCACTGCCATGGAAAATTCGTACAGCACCCACGATTTTCAGAAACAATATACGCCCGAATGTGGAATAAAGACTATTAGAATGGCTCCTAGTTTGATTACGGGAAAGATTATACGATTGTATTATAATAAAAGCACTAATCCATTATTTTTATTTGGTTAGTCTTGGCAAGATAGCAACGATTTGTTTTTAAAATATATATATTTAATTGAATTAAATAAAGCACTAATCCATTGGGTTTGTATGGTTCGTTTTGGGAAGATATCAACAATGGAACTGTAATGGAAGATTTAGCAGTTAAAGAGAAGGTTGAGTTCTGGGAAGACATGACAAATAATTTGTGAGCATTACTCATTCTTATTATGCAAGTGTGGAAGAACATCAGATAAGACATGTTCCCTGAAAAGCATGGCTCTTCAAATGCCTTCATATTCTAAATATGCATGTAACATCGTAAAAATCGGGGGGGGGGGCGGCTTTTTACGCCACGTGTTCTTGTAGTCCCATATACATCTTTCTGTGTACAGTGTTTGTAACTTTACCAAGACTTGGCGAAATTTCTTATCATTTAGATGGTTCCAGAACCTTGCAATACACACACATTCTTATATGCTAGATGATCAACCTTTTCTGGTCGGTTCCACACCGTTTCTTTCACAATGCAATCGCATGACCAGAACTCAACTTCATCTTTAACTTCCGTACGAGATATGAGTTTCAATAATCCACATGACATTTTGGTAATGTGTGCCATTGCTTGCGCTAGTGTTTCGTTCCACGTACTTCCGTTGTATAAACTATAATATTATTTATCACTGAAAAGCGCATTGGCAATAAAATAAGAAGTTCCCGAAATCGGATGATAATGTCGGCTCCATAAAATGCCCTCCTCGGAATTTTGTCATAACTACATGTTCCATGCTTTTGTTGCTCACGGCCTTTGTTGTGGTAGCCTTCGAAATGTTTATTACAAACAGATATGGACAGGTAAACAAAGACAAACAAAAAGAAGAAGAAAGGGAAGGAAAAAGAAAAGAGAAGAAAGAAAAAAATGTACGATTATTTTGTCTCATACAGAAGATAACACCACCTTCTAACAATTTATTTTCCCGTCTCATGTTAAGAACAATCCATAACTGCCATACGTTTGGTTGATGGAGGCAGCGATTTGGAGGGAAGGGTAGAGATTGAACTCGATGGCGAATGGGGAACTATCTGCGATGACTCATGGGATTTGGACGATGCAACGGTAGTCTGCAGAATGCTTGGATTCGATGGGGCGTCCGGCGCTCCTGGTTCAGCCCAATTTGGGGAGGGTTCGGGTCCTATCCTTTTGGATGATGTCCTGTGCACAGGGGACGAAGCCACTCTGACTGTTTGTCCGCACCCACCTTTTAAACAGCACAACTGTGGCCACACTGAGGATGCAGGAGTCATTTGTTTTACCACAGGTATTATTAATGATAATAACAATAATGATATTGGTAATATTTATTATAATAAGAATATTAATCTTGATATATATCGCTTCCGTATCTAAGTGATTTACTAACAAACATGAACTCCCGCGATTAAATATGATGAGATTTATGGAGGCATCATCATAATCTGCAGCTTATAGTTTATTGGCTCCGAAACTCAACTATCGGTCTTTCCAGTTGCCGACCCGCTGTATTTGTAAGGCAACCGGAACTACCTTTTCCAAATATACCCATGACTGGTGCCACCCTGTATGTCTTTTTGTGTGTGGTATGGTGCTGAAAACAAAGATAAAACCACCGGCTACCATTATCAGACACTTCCAAGACACGCTATTTGTCTAAACTGAAGCATCTTTATTTTCGATACATGTTAAATAACACATTCTTCCTCTTTCTGGGAGGAACAATGTTGTCTTGATTTATAAAGCCCACATTTTCCGTAAATCATTCACCTCTTTGTTATCCTGGTAGTTTTTTTTGTATAGCTACATTTAGCTAAGTCTGTACTTAGACTTTTGAAAACCTTACTATTATCAAATGCACTCCTTTAATTTTCAGATTTAGGATAAAGTTGTACAATTCAAAACGATTCAAAAGTTTCATAAGCTTTCACAAACTTTCTCAAACTCGCGCGCAATTGCTATTTGCATGGCTGGCCTGTCGCGACGTACAATCGAGCTGGCTGCTTTACATATGGCGACGTCATCACGATAGCGGATTATTCGTCTTCTGTTTACCCCAAATTCAGAGGGGCTGGAAATAAACTTTTTTATTTGGTTATTGTTCAATAACGAAATGAAACAATGTTTATGTGCATGTTTTTGTATTCTACGTCCAATCAGCTTTCCATTAATGTATAGTTGTATTTTCATCGGAGAAGGTCTCTAACTTATTTATAACACTGTTTTAGTCAATGCTAAATTAAAGTTGAATGCAAGGTATTTGTACGGAGTATACCTTGAGTTAAAAAAAAAACATTTTCTTTTTGTCTAGCCTGAAACTTGTTTTTACTTCCAAAATGTGATTGATTATTTACTATTTCATCTTCCTTCTCGAAGGGATCAATGATATCTTGCACTTCAATGCACACAACGTCCAAACATACTCCTTTTTGTCAATCTGGTGAAATATTTAGGTACAACAAGAGAGACGCCGACGCCCGCAGGATTTTTGGTTGATGTTCGCTTGGTTGGCGGCAATGTCCCATCAAGAGGTAGGGTAGAGGTGTCCAATAGCTACGGACAGTGGGGCACCATCTGCGATCCGAACTGGACGCAGGCAGATGCCAATGTCGTCTGCGGGATTTTGGGCTACGACGGAGCATTGTCCTATTCGAACAATGCTGAGTACGTGCAGAGCAGCGGACGCATTATGCTGGAACATGTATTGTGCAGCGGGTGGGAAAGCAAAATTGCAAGCTGCGAGACCCAGGACTACTCAGGATGGGGCTGCGATCATCCACAAGAGGTTGGAGTTGAATGCAATGTCCCAGGTAAATACAGTTCGAACTTTCTATTTGACTAGAGTGTCGTTTGGCACAATCGCAGGCTTACCAAGGGGCTGTGACAATACATTTTCGTGACGGTTCATTTCAAGTATGAATTGCTAAAGTGACTACCCTTTTATCACGTGTATGTAGTAGCTTTATGCTTAAAATTGGGAATGAAATAGATTCCATTCTTATAGAATACATTCGGGGAATTACAGTGTGCCAAGGTAATTTAATTTGAAAAGAAAATAGAGAGTTGAGTGCCGACCTAAATGTTTTTCTATCGGTTATCAGTTAGACCATCTGTTTCAGGGAATATACCAACTCTATAAACGTATGTTAAGACCATCACACGTTCAACAACAACAACAACAACAACAACGGCACTAAGAACATTGTACGCATTGAAATTATCAATTAATTCATTTCAATTCAAATCGTGATTGGTCAATCAATTAAACAAGCAAATATTATTTTTCTATAAGTATGGCAAAATCATTATGAGTACACTTATGCATGTTATTACTGATACAGTTCTTTGGCATCCAAGTTTTATTCTCTGACATTTCCAGTCTTTACAAAATTCTGCACTTTTGAAATAAGAATTTTCAGTCCCCCCTCCCCCATGCCTACAAGGCAATGAACAGGGACGTCACTTTACCACCTCGTTGAATGAGAGAGGGATCGTGAGTGAGCTTTGGGACTGAGTAAGAAGACACGTTACCCAAACATTTTTCAATTGAATAGGATGTGAATTTGGAAAACTACACTTAGGTTTCCCCGTACTCTAACTCGATTTGTTTTCTTTTGTTGTCTTATTATCAGAACCCTCGGAATTCCAAATCCGTCTGGTTGGTGGCAGCCACCCGTGGGAAGGTCGAGTAGAGGTGCTCAACCAGCATGAGTGGGGGACCATCTGCTCTGTGTACTGGGGTAAGCCCGATGGAGATGTGGCTTGCAGAATGCTCGGCTTCAGCAGCGCGTATGAGGCTATATCACCAACAGACGCTGCCTATCCGATGCCTTTCGGTGAAGGCACTGGGTCGATCCTGCTAAGTGACTTACTTTGTACGGGAACCGAGGAAAATCTGGCTGATTGTTCGCATTCGAGATGGGGTATACAACACTGCTCTCACTACGAGGATGCTGGATTAGTATGCAACAGCCCAGGTATAGTTTGTCTTCTTCCTCCTTCTTTCTTCTTCTTGGTATCCTCCACCTACGCAATTTGAGAGCAAGCTTCGAGTTGTCCTTAACTAGCAAACGTATTTTACAAGATTCTTTATTTCAATTTGTGGATGCGTCGTGGTAAAATAGTCGTTAATTCTGTCACTCGATTCTCAATTCAAGGGGTGTAGATTAGAATCCCAGCATGGCATATAATTTTGGCAAGACATTAATCCATAGTTGTCATACTCCGCCCAGATGTAAATGAGTACCTGGCATTTGCAGAGCCCCGAAGAAGAACAGCATTGATGCTGATGAACCTTCCTTGGGTAAACAAAATTGATATTATTAAAGGGGTCTGTATTTCCTCCCCTCACAGATCCGGACAGTGTTGTCGTTCGACTCGTGAACGGCAGAAGCAAAGCTGAGGGGAGAGTAGAGGTGTTGTATGAAGGAGAATTCGGGACCGTCTGTGACGATTCATGGGATGTCAATGATGCTGCTGTTGTCTGCAGAATGTTGGGGTATGAGGGCGCTTCAGAGGCTCCAGGACTGGCTCGCTTCGGGCAAGGTTCTGGGGACATTGTCCTGGATGACGTGGTCTGTCAGGGATCAGAGGACAACATCGCGAGCTGTGCACATAGAGCATGGGGAGAAAACAACTGCGGCCACGTCGAGGATGCATCGGCCATTTGCACCGGGGAATGTAAGTTAATACTATATAGGAACACGATGGTAAAAGACTTCCAAATAAATGTTTTAGGCCCACCGCAAACTATACGATCGTCCTGCGATCCAATACAAAAAGGCAATTATATTAAATAGGAATTTGCAGCAGTATGGTCACATCACTCGCTGTTTCTGTAGGTTCTAGCATCAATTCCTTTGTAGAAAGGTCATCACTGCAGTATCAGCTTAACCAACAATTGCTTAAAGTTCAGGACAGAAAAACTCGTATTAACTTGTTTACTGTATTGTTTTCTCTCTTGCACCTGAACAAAAGTGAACTTGCCAGTTCGCTTGATGAATGGGAATAACGCCAACGACGGTCGAGTCGAAATCTTCCGCTACGGGGCCTGGGGTTCAGTCTGCGACGACTTCTGGGACATTAATGATGGTCACGTTGTCTGTCGTATGCTGGGCTACGAGCGTGCTTCACGCATCTGGTGGGGCGCAACCTACGGCACGGGAACTGGTCGCATCTTGTTGGATAATGTGGAATGCAACGGGAATGAAGCGACTTTGGACGACTGCGATCATCCGCCATGGGGTGTACACGACTGCAACCACTACGAGGATGCCGGCGTGGTGTGCGTTTAGTGAACGACAGGTGCGAGCCGATCAAGTGTTAACCTTTTTTAAAACTTGACTGAATGAATAGATAAATTAATGAATTAATAAATGAATTAATAAATGAATATATGCATTCATGAATAGATTAATTGTCATATTAATAACTAAATAAATGAGTAAATGGTAACATAAATAGTGCATTCATATACATGAAAACATTTATTTACATGGTTGCCATAGACGAACAAAAAGAGAGATGTCCTATCCCACCACTCTTCCGTCTTATTTTCAACTGTCAGGGTATAAACGTTACGAGTAAACGATTGAAATATCATAATTTTCAAATAAATTTGGCACTTGTTTTGTAAACAAGTTTTATGAAACTGGGCCCCGGTAACGGGGACCTAGCCTTTGCTTTCATTTGAATATCAGTATCACTTTTATAATGCTTATAGCATACACGTTCTAGCTTTCATGTAATTTGTTCAAGTACGTTTTTTAAATTCTTACTCTTACTCCCTTTCCCTTTCCCTTTCTATTAATTTCCTATTTTCTATTCGTCTTCTGTTCTTCTTTATGTTCTTATATATTTATATTGTATTGTTTTAAGGCGTGTCCATAACAATAAATATATGCTTTTGATAAGTACACCGCCTTCCCTGTATTACAACTGTTGGTGTATCAAATTACATAATATTTCATTATAAATGTCATCAACTTTTGTTGATGTGGGAAAATATAATGGACCGAATTAATTGTTACTTTTTAATTGAATTATCTTTGTTTATTGCTCTTCTTTCAATCATTACCCCCCTCTCCTGTACTGTTTATTTCCTTGACTGATGATTGGATTGTCATTGATTGATTGATTGATTGCCTGATGATTGGATTGCCATTGATTGATTGATTGACTGATGATTGGATTGCTATTGATTGTTTGATTGACTGATGATTGGATTGCCATTGATTGATTGATTGATTGCCTGATGATTGGATTGCCATTGATTGATTGATTGACTGATGATTGGATTGCCATTAATTGTTTGATTGACTGATGATTGGATTGCCATTGATTTATTGATTGATTGCCTGAAGATTGGATTGCCATTGATTGATTGATTGACTGATGATTGGATTGCCATTGATTGTTTGATTGACTGATGATTGGATTGCCATTGATTGATTGATTGCCTGATGATTGGATTGCCATTGATTGATTGACTGATTGATGATTGGATTGCCATTGATTGATTGCCTGACTGGTGATTGGATTGCCATTGATTGATTGATTGCCTGATGATTAGATTGCCATTGATTGATTGATTGACTGATTGATAGGTTGGCTGATTAGTTTTTCGTTTATCATTTGGTTAGCTTGTTGATTGATTAGTAGAATGATGAATTAATAGGTAGGTTGGTTGGCAGATGGTTTACTTGGTTTGTCAGCTACTTGAGTATTTGGTTAATAGTTGATTGATTGATTAATTCATTCATGTATTGATTGGTTAGTTGGTTGGTTGGCATGTTTGTTTATTGATTTGATGGTTGAATGATTATTCAGTTGATTAGTTGAATGATTGATTGAACGATTAATTATATAATTGATGTATTAGTTGATTGATGATTGGTTGGTTGATTGGTTGGTTTATTAATGTGTTGATTATTTTTGTTTACTTGTTGGTTGTTTGACTAATGATTGCTCAAATATGCATTTGCGGGGCAATAAAACTAATTCATTGGAACGAGGGTTTACGTGAATCAATACAAATTATTGCGTAATGATATATTTTCTCACATAGATGGCGTTAGAAGAGTGACGTAGCATGACAACGACCATTGAGAGAAAAGTAAAAAAGTGTCATCGTGTGCGGAGTAAGGGGGTTTCGAATTAAAGTGTGGATTTGGAAGGGTGTCCTTTTCTTTCATGTTCTGTTTCATTACTTCCTTTTTTTTTTATTTGATCCTTATTTGATAAACGAAAACAGTTTTTTAGCTCTCATTTATGAGGCAAAGTTTGTTTAAATAAAACAGAAAGTCAGTCAATCCATTAATCAATACATAATTGAAATACATTAATTAATAAAATGATTACATATCCGCCTCACTCGCCCTTGAATACACCGCTAGCGTATTTTTGATCGCTTTATCAGTCCGAGATAATCCATCTTTGGGGCATCGACAATGATACAGAACTAAGCGATGAACGATCTGTGGGCAGTATAGAATAGTAAGCGAGTAGGAGCAATAACATTAACATTTTACGGCGATATAAACAAAAAACAAGTTCAATGACGCTTTATCGAAGAAAAACTTAAACTTACTTTAATAGAAATATGGTTTAAGAGGATTCAAATGACGAAATAAAAATATTTTCCTAATCATGATCATTGCTTGTCTTTTCATATAAAATACAACTACTACAAATACTAGTACTACTACAACAACAACTACTACTACTACTACTAGTAATACTACTACTACTACTCATATTACTACTAGTACTACTACTACTACTACTACTACTACTACTACTATTACTACTATTACTACTCCTACTACTGTCACTATTACTACTACTTCTACTACAAGTACCACTACTAATATTATTACTAAAACTACTACTTCTCGTACTACTACTACTACTACTACTACTACTACTACTACTACTACTACTACAAGTACCACTTCTAATATTACTACTACTACTGCTACTACCACTACAACTACTGCTACTACTACTTCTGGTACTACTACTACTCCTACTACTACTACTACTACTACTACTACTACTACTACTACTTCTTCTACTACTAATTATGACACTACTACTGCTACTACTACTACTACTACTACTACTACTAATACTACTACTACTTATACTACGAATTATGATACTAATACTATTCATAACGACGATAATGACAATAAATTGTCTTTAACAGAGATGCCTTATCAGCACCAACGTTGTTCTTTCGTAAGGTTCTGTAATCATTTCCTCCCAGCAATTGCCAGTTAACCATTTACATACGGGAGGGGAGTGGCAAATGTGAATCAATGTCTGGTAAAAAAAAAAGATAGCGCCGGGCTGGTTTGCGAGCCGTCGAACCTTAAAGAGAAGGTTGAGTTCTGGGAAGAGGTAAAACATAATTTGTGAGCGTTATCATTGTTATTATGCAAGGGTGGAAGAACATCAGATTAAACATGTTCCCTGAAAAGCATGGCTCTTTAAATGCCTTCATATTCTAAATATGACATAAAATACGTAAAAATCGGGGGGTAGGTTTTTTTCGCCATGTGCTCGTGTAGTCCCATATACATCATTCTGTGTACAGTCCTTGTAACTTTGCCAAACTTTGGCCAAATGTCTCATCATTTTGATGATTCCAGAACCTTGCAATACACACGAATACTTATATACTAGATGATCAACCTCTTCTGATAGCTTCCACACCGTTTCTTTCACAATGCAATCACATGACCAGAACTCAACTTTATCTTTAAATTGAGAGACAAGAGAATGAACTACTTTACTACGACACTTCCGTAAATTGGCAACACGTCCTGGTCTAGAAGTAGGCCAACAGCTATGGACTTCCTATCGTCAAACGATTTATAAAACAAAATAAAACGGAAGTCAATCTTTGAAGATGTTGAAATCTATCAGAGAACTTCTACCCGATCTTGTTTTCACCGTCGTGCTTTTCGATATATAACTGCCTTGCGGATTGGATATCAACAATTATATCCATCGAACAGCGACTATGAATCTTTGGTGTTTGATTAGAATGATGGCCAGCTTTATAAAGAGCGTAGTAAAACCACAGAAAAACAAGATATAAGCCTATATGTGGGCCTAACAAACGACAACACGTTGAGAATATTGAGTGCAAACAGCTTCCTTCGTGCTTTGGAATCAGTTCATTACACCTAATAGTAATTAACATTTTACTGACAAATTATATGCAGCGAACGAAGTATCACAAAACACGATCGCAGAGGCTTTCGAGAAGAAAACATAGCCTAGTCAAATTACAATATCCTTGCCCGACAGGAATATTGATGCTTTAAACAAACCAAACATGGTTTATGTGGGATCTATAATAGGGTATTCGCTATACGCCGATTACTCTAAAGTTATTGTATTACATATACTTTTAGGTCCTGAAAGAGCGAAGAAACAAGTTTGCGGCAAACAAACCTACAAGATAAACAATTCCAGAGGTGAAGATGTCAGAAGTGAAATGTTCATTTTACCTCTTAAATTTTTACCAGGCACCCACAATTCACAGGACCATCACTTTTGAGATCAATATAATTTGTTGTTGAAATTGAATAGGTAAGAATAGAAAAAAGAAATCAAATGGGTTGGATTTAGATTAGGCGTTATATGATCACGGTTGGGAATAGGGTTAGTGGTATTAAAGGGTTATGGTTAGGTTATGATTGTGGTAAAAAAAATATGATTATGATTAGCGTTAAAATTATGGTAAGGGTTATGAATATATACAGGGTTATAGTTGGGCTATGGTTAGGGTTAGGGTTAGAGATAGGATAATGGTTAAGGTTATGGTAAGGGTTGTGGATAGAGACAGGGTTATATTTGGGTTATGGTTATGGTTAGGGTTAGAGATAAGATTATGGTTAAGGTTATGGTAAGGGTTGTGGATAAAGACAGGGTTATATTTGGGTTATGGTTATGGTTAGGGTTAGAGATAAGATTATGGTTAAGGTTATGGTAAGGGTTGTGGATAGAGACAGGGTTATATTTGGGTTATGGTTAGGGTTAGAGATAGGATTATGGTTAAGGTTATGGTTAGGCTTGTGGATAGAGACAAGGTTATATTTGGGTTATGGTTATGGTTAGGGTTAGAGATAAGATTATGGTTAAGGTTATGGTAAGGGTTGTGGATAGAGACAGGGTTATGGCTTTGGTTATGGTTAGTGATATCATTATAGTTAGGATTCGGATTGTGATCAGACATGACAATAGTTAGGGCTACGGATAGGGTTGTGGTTCCGGTCAGGGTTATGGTAAAATGTATGATTTGGGTTTAGTGTTATGGCCAAGTTTAACTGACAGTCACACGGGGTTATGGTTAGGGTTATGGTTAGAGATAAAATTATGGTCATGCTAAGGTTTTAGGTTTTAGCGATAGGGTAGGAAGTCGAATCATTAGAGATGTTGTTGTCTACTGGTCACGTCACCGGATAATACGCGGTTCGAGTCTCAGCAGTAATGTCCTTTTGGTAAGATATTAATCTGTTTTTCCGCTTTTCCACCCAGATTAAATAAATGCGTAGGAAGAAGGTCGTTGAATCATTAAGCGTCTAAACATGGCAGCTAGGCTAAAGCCGGAATAAATGATATAATGTTTGGTAATCCATCAAGTAAAAATTATTTTTATATTATTTGTGTTTAATAAATATAAGACACTAAAGTAGATCAGTATCATTAAAATTAGATCACTTGAAATTCAAAAAAGCAGAAGAAAATTGTTTTCACTTTCCCCTATTTTCCTCTTAATCGCCTACACAACGTCCTTTCGTCCTCAGTAAGACTGTGCTTCATTGAAATATGATCTATTCTTGAGTTTCATCCAACGCCTTCCTTGAAATGTACTGGTAGCCAAATGATATCTAAAGTCTTATGTTGAAGTAGCCTCACCCTGTAAAGACTAAAATATCAGTAGAGTACGGAAGCTTAAACGTGCAGCGAGATGGCGGCTTGTTGTACTCGCCAAAGCGCCTTGCTAGGGCGGGGTCTGAGGCGAAAAGGCGCCTTGACGAAGTGAGGCAAGTCTCCATCTCGCTACTTTCATAGTATACCATAAATTACTAGAAATGTAACAACTGAGAAGTAAATAGTCAAGTATGAATTAACAAGGTCACAAAGCTTATTATGCTCACGTATTAAGTTATTTTGTATCAACTATATCTATTTTTCCCGGGAGCACACTAATTTCATATTCTGATAACTTTTGTGTGGATAAAGTATGTAACCTACCGTGCAGAAATATTTTTTGTAAACAATAATATCCTTTTCTGTAAACACTAAAACAAAAAATTATTGGGTAATAGGCTTGGAAAATGAAGCTGTTTTGGACTATCTGGGGGTGATGCAATGTTTTGTTCGGTCTGTCTTGGCGGTCTCATCTACATGATTTGTATCATAAAACCATGATTTATATTATTTGATAATATAACATGCTTTCGTAGGAGCAAGGGGAAAACAAAATTATTACCATCACACCGTGAATGATTTTCCTGCTTATAATTAATCGGGAAGGACTCTCTCTCTCTCTCTCTCTCTCTCTTTGTTTTCCTTCCGAAACGTTTTAAGATACATGCGGGTGAGCACTTGATCTTGTAATTAATCATATCAACATGCAAGAAATATGGCCTTCGTTTTGAAGAACGGTTAAAGCAGAATTTGCCCTTTCGTTTTGAAGCACGGTTAAAGTACAGACGTGCTATAGACTGTAGGTGGTTGAAGGGATCCAATTGCATGATGTCCTTACCAATTTTGGTATCCTTGATAAAGTGTAATTAAGATGTATACACACCCTAAGGCAAACACTGAGTTTTACAACACATAACTATTTCGAAATGCTCTCATGCCTTCTTTACAACACAGCCCGATTATGACAAATTAACAAATATTAGTTTTCAATAATTTAATGACTGCAGGTCCCTCAGGAAGAACAGTTTCAATTATGTCGTCTTCTTTGTACATGGCTGATCGTTAATGAAACGGAGTTAAGTCTGTTGTCGACTCCGTTTGTTGCTACGGCGGGCAGCCAGTGAAAACGAATGCGTGTAATTAAATTATGGAAATGCAAGCATTACTTTGACAAACAGAACTGGCTCTATTTTCTTGAATGAGTTGTCACACGCAAGGGCAGAAAATGAGCTTTCTAAACATTCGATTTTGTCTTTGAAATTCAGATACCTCCCTAAAAATGACTCTCTGGTACCCTCGCTTCAAATTGTTTTTGCGTAAAATATCCATCATATGAGTTGGACAAACTGAAAGAAGAGGATCTAAGCTTCATGTCATTTATTAATTAATTATAATTAAGCTATGAGAAAACATCGATAATTCTCGGTTTCGTTTTTTTCCGGGACGCTCTGTATTATACACATTAATGAATGCCAGCATCAAAGTATATTTGAGGGAGAGATTACGCTGTATATTTTGCTTTTGGCTTTTGAGAGAGAATCAGTATTTGACTTTAACTGTTAGGCCTGATAATCATGAAGAAAAGGATACCTGCCTTTATTTTATATATATATTCATTTCTTGTCATTATTTTAAGAACACAGCATGCAGGTCTTTCTTTGTATATATATGTATATACATTCGATTTTATACTTTAATTCCTAAACATTAAAAAGACATATTAAATAGAAAGGAGAGGAAATGTGTTGGGTGACAACAATCTCACAATCTCGCTTGCGCGCCCCATTGTCATCAATATGACCAGCTACACGTTTTTTCTTGACCTTCTCGGGACGCGGCGGAAAGGACGGTAGTCTTTAGTGACAGGCTTTAATCTGGCACTTAGTTAAGCACAATTCCACAATTACACAGCTGCGCCTATACATATGTAAGTTTCCCCCTTGCGCATATATGATGTGTACTTTAGTTAACATAGGCTCACAGTTCAAAGACCCTGAGATTGTGAACCACAACGACAAGGGTTTGTAACTGCAAAACTACCGGGAAAACTAGAGGGTTGTGATTGGTTCGACATTATCGTCCAATAAGATGATGCCAGGTAGGGGTTTAGTGGCGTAGTGCCAGTTCAGCCATTGAGGGGGCTCTTTTTTTCCATTTTCACCACTTCATTTTATGGGGGAAGGGGTGCCCTAGTCCCCCCAGTAACTACGTCACTGTTTTGAGGCGGGGTTTCGATTTCATATGACGGAAATCCGTTGCACGTTCATCACTATCATACACAGCGAATCAAAGTTGTTATATACCACTGCACCTTCTAATCGCGTCACTCACTTCGCGCTGTTCATCCACCGAAGTAGGTATCTAAAAGTGTACACATATTTCTTTGGACGAGGGATTCCAGATCCAGAGTGAAATCAGAGGCAAAACTAAACATATCAAAAGGAGATGAAGATCCTCCTGCTGTTCTCAATCCTGACGGCTTATGTAGCCTCTGGTAAGTTAGAGATGTTTTGTCTTTGTTTGTTCGTTTTTATATACGTCGTATAAAATGAATAATATTAAAAAAAAAAAATTAAACATAAACTATTGTACATATTATTTAGTTTACAGAAGTACGAAACACTTTATGGCATAGTGAGGAAAAGCAATAAATAATCAAAGTCTAGTGTTTTATTTTACATCTTTCCAAGCTACTAGTAATGTAAGGCACTTACTACGACAGAGATTCGATCCCCGTACCTTATAGTTCAAAGTCTGGAGACTTAATCAACTGGACCACAACACCTATACACATCTACTTTACATTTATGCTCTGTATTATCATTTTTTTAAAAATAATATGTTTGTTTTGTTCTAATTATGTGTATAGATACTTCACATTGTATTGTATGTGCTAAACGGCAACTTCATCAATATGGTACTTAGGTCCATTTGGTCTATAAAATATTCAAGCATTTCTTCCAATCGTTGAGAAAAACCATAAAGATGATGAAAAGGGAGACGGCGAAAACGAAAAAGAATAGAAGAAGAAGTGGAGAGAAAAGGGCGAGATACAAAGAAGAAGTAGAATAGAAACAAGAAGGAGAAGAAAAAGCACTATGAAGTGGAGACAAAGAAGAAGAAGAAGAAGTAAAAAAAGCCGTAGAAGGAGGGGAAGAAGAATATAAAGGAGAAGAAGAAGAACGAACACATAGAAGAAGAACAACAAAAAGATTTGAAAGAATTCCGATCCTGTATCTTTACAGTACGCTCATACTTGGTATGTTTATCCCAAATGCAGGATATGCTATTACCTGTACGAAATGCTCCGAATCAACTGACGACCCAACCTTCCCAGTGCCCCCGGACCCGGCCAGTCTAATACCTTGTTCGAACCCTGGTGAGATGGTGTGTGATAAAGGCGTCACTAGCTGTACGACGACGATGATTACGATTCACCTTACTCGTGACGCTGGTAAGAACGTAATGCCCATGACCATGTGTCTCCCTTGTTAAAAACAACTACACTGGTTACCTGTTCATAAGAGAATAATCTATAAAGTTTCACTATTTGTTTATAAATCCATGTATAACCTTATCCCATCCTATATTTCTAGTCTGTTTTGTCCCATCCAGCAATCAAGATATCCATTACGTTCAAGGTCAGACCCCCTTCTTCTGCAAATCCCCCGCATCAATTCAAAGAAGGGTCAACAAAATATAATTTTTTCTGGTCCCACTATTTGGAATAGTCTCCCTTTAAGCATTCGTTCTTGCACCTCAGTCGCATTATTTAAGAAACATTTAAAAACCCATTTGTTTTCTTTGTAATTGTCATCTTTTTTTTGGAGTGTAATGCACTTGGAGAGTATATAACTATTATGTTTGTATTTTAAAATGTAAAGCGCCTTGAGCATGTTCATGTAAAGGCGCTCAATAAATACCAATATGTATGTATGTATGTACACACGAGGCTTTATTTCAATTGCGTCATTACCATATGTAATATATTCTGTGAAAGTCTTTTAATAGTATTTAAGCACTGTACGGTGTCTCTTTCACTTGGTGCACCAAAGACTGCGTCACTGCGTCACTGCGTCACTAACGCAATCCTATGTGTGACTCCTCGTTTGTCAGGTTTATTACACCGTTTAATGAATGTTTCATGTCCGTGCCCTGAATGATTCATCTTTTGTCCCAAAGAGGGTAGGAGAGCATGGTAATAAATAAATTACCATTACAAATACCCTTATTTCTCGATTGAAGGAGTTTGTTACTGACAATTTTGCCACATGTTTAATAATGACTCATATAAAAGATCATGTTTTTTAAAGTTGATATTGAGTTTTTTTAATGAATTACACCCAATATCCCTTTTTAATTTGTTTCTTTAAAACCTAAATAAAACTGTTAAACTTGTTTTACCGGCACTTACTTAGAGCGGCCACTGAAAATTCCCGCAGAAGATTACTGTTTTCTAAACCCACTATATAAAAGGTCACCAGCCTTACACAGCCAATGTATTGTGTATCCCTTAGTTCATATCTGGGCGCGAATAGCGACCATCGATATAGAGCTGAGCCGTAACACTTTTATTTTTATCCTTCATTCTTGGTTCAAATGCAACCTCAGGTCCACTTACGCTATTGCAGAAGGTTCGCGACTGCGGACCTCCAATGGCTAATGTACTTCCACGCGGAGACACCTGCGCGGGAGAAGCCTTTACCGAAGCCGTGACAAGGAATATGTTTCCACCTGAATTTGGGCTGACGTTCGAGGACGTTGAGGCCAGTATCTGCGTCTGTGACAGCTCCGACAGATGTACTCCACCCTCTACGGCAACCCCTGGTAACCCACAATCTGAAGCAAAACCTCAAACAACAGCTAGTGCCGGTGGAGAAGGTAATAATAAGGTGTAGAAAACTTTTAAAATATTGCTGTTTTTGTATCTAGATACTTTTCTTACAGCTATTTTACATGTATTTAATAAATTATAGTAATCTTTATGTCTTTTTAAACCAAAATAAGTATACGTATTATTTTCAAACGTCATTACATAGCCTAGTATATCTCTTTGTCTGTTGACCGTATAATTACATAATGGATGCTTTTCTTTTAGATGTTCCACTTGACTGTCCAGTGGTTGACGAGTGGTTTGTGGACTGGGACACATCTTACGAGTGCCTCTCAGAACTGCCCTTCACTGATCCTTTCACCACTCCTGGAGAAATTCTTCCTCTCTTGACGGTTTCTGATATCATCCGGGCTGCTGGCGCAGCTTGGAGGGCCACCAACTTGATCGAGGCTGAAGGCGAGGTATGCGTCAGGATCCTTCCACAAGTAACTGTAGCCGCCGGTGGAGCAGATGGCTTCAGAGAGTACTGCGATCCAGTATTGACGTATTTGAGAGAAGGGACAACCTTCGATGCCGCAGCACACTGCAGGCTCATTCTCAATTTGACAGGGGCTATGTCCTCATACATGCCACCAACATATCCAGCGGTCCAAGAGACAATCCCCGGACCTGATGCCCTACGACCTTTCGACTTGTTAGACCACATCGAAAAAATTGTGTTCCAGCTCCTCGGTGTGTCCTTTAATGACGTGGAAAACATCTGCACCGCTAGGTTGGCAATCATTGAATCCGAGTCAACCTTAGAGGAGCTTGTTACAAGTTTTTTAATCGAGTTTGCCAAAGTACTTATTCCAAGAGGCGCAGAGTTTTGCAATAGCTGGGACGAAATTCTTAACTTCATTGGAGCTGTTCCGACTTCCGATCCGTCTGGCATCTCCGGTGTCTATTTGTCTGATATCATACACGATGTCTCTGCTCTTGTGGCAGATTTGACTGGGTATGCAGACAGGGAGGCTCTCTGTCAGGATCTGAACTCCGCTGTATCCTCATCAAGTGACACTTCTTCACTTGACGATGTCGTGTCCCATATTGTTAACAGTACTCTGTCTGTTTTAACAGATGCTGAGCATTGTTCAACCATAGTCCAAGAAAGCATGAGCCTATCCCTTGCTTCGATACCCGAAATCACACAGGAAGAAGTTGACATTGCAATGTATCAGTTCACAGGGTTCAGAAGCATACTGGACATTTGCCAAGCAGTAGCAGATTCTTTCCAGCCTCCAGGTAAAGTGTTGTCCAGAAATTCGCCATCTTGATTCACCAAGATAGCCCCTAATTGCTGCAAGCCAAAGATGGCATGATCCACGAATGTCTACGCCCATTACAATTGGGGTGGGTCATGTAATACTTGGCTTGGATGAGGTTTGATCTATTGTTATATCATTGTTTTAATTTTTTTTTATTCAGAGTCTTTTTTCCCTAATTACTAACTTATTATAAGATAAATCATGATGTATTTATTTAATACAAGTATTTATTTAACCGATTTTCCCACCGTCTTAGCATATAAAACGCTACAAAATCAATTGTGTAAAGGGCTATATAAATGAAATTTATATTATTGAATCTTCCTATCTTGTCTCTATGATACAGGTCCACCGACACAAGCCCCGCCATCTGTTGAGGTACGCCTATTCGGTGGAAGTGATGATACCGAGGGAACGGTTGAGGTTCTTTACAACGGAGAATGGGGATCTGTCTGTGATGATTCGTGGAATTTAAACCATGCAAACGTGGTCTGCAGAATGTTAGGTTTTCCTGGAGCTTCCGAAGCTCCTGGGTATGCCCGATTTGGAGCAAGTTCTGGTCGTATCTGGCTCGATGATGTGGTGTGCTCAGGGGACGAAGAAAACCTGGCGGACTGTCAGCACCCGGGTTTTGGAGAGAACAACTGTGCTCATTACGAAGATGCCGGAGTCATTTGCCGTGCCCAAGGTATCATCATTCAGACAAAAGTCGATCAAAAACAAAATCGCTGAGGCTTTCAAACAACTAAACTAAGAAGTTTCGATATCATTTCCCATCACATTGTGAATGTGGTGAATTTACGATGGCTGATTATTTTCGCCTAATTTGAAGATGATTTGTTTATGTACAATATGTGCCCGAATGTAGAGTAAAAACTATAAAAGTAGCTTCTCATTTCGCTCGGGGGAACGATTTTACGAACGTATTGTAATACAATCATGCAGTCAATATTCAATTACATGAAGAGGGCGATAAAGCACGGTTCTATGGAGCGTGTGCGTTTTGTCTTTGCAAGAAAGCAGCAATGGCACTGTAATGGAAAATTTAGAATTCAACTTCTTGGTTGATATGCACCCTTGGTTGCTAATGTTTTGTTCCCCTTACTTCCGCTGTATACACTATGATATTAATCCTCGCTGAAAAGCATATTTACCATAGAATTAGAAGTTCTTAAAATCGGGAGATAAAGTCCGCTCAATAAAATGCCCTCTCTAGGAATGTGGTCATAGCTACAAGTCTCAACAAACAAGAAGAAAGACTTAAATCTACGAATATTTTGTATCGTACAGAAGATAACACCAACTTCTAATAATTTTTTATCCCGTCTTGTGTTTAGAACAACCTATCACTGGCACACGTTTGGTTGGGGGAGAGAGCGATTTGGAAGGAAGGGTAGAGATTGAGTACAATGGCGAGTGGGGAACCATCTGCGATGACTTCTGGGATTTGGACGATGCCACGGTAGTCTGCAGAATGCTTGGATTCGATGGGGCGTCTGGCGCTCCTGGCTTTGGCGCATTTGGGGAGGGTTCGGGTCCTATTCTTCTGGATGATGTCTTGTGCACTGGGGAAGAAGCCACTCTGACTGATTGTTCACACCAACCTTTTAAACAGCACAACTGTGGCCACGCTGAGGATGCAGGAGTCATTTGTTTTATCACAGGTAATACAAATAATAATACAAAAACAATAATGATACTGATAATAATCATACTACTAATAATCTTGAATCAAATAGATTCCGTCTCTAAGCTATTTACGGATAGTATTTCCCTGGCCATCGGATTCAGGTCATCAGAGTTGGAGTCAGAAGCCTATTGAGCATCTACCTGTTGTTAAAAGGTTCGGTGGAAAAAAAACCCTGGAGTTTAGGCTTTCTCTGATGCCTCTGGAGCATTGACCTTTTCGTTAAATCTTTGCAGTGCAAAGCGTGCCAAATTATACGTATTTTGGCCAAACTATTACTATATTAAACTTACAACATATAATTGTATTGCGTCTGACCTTCTGTTATCAGAGCCAACAACGTCGAAACCTACGCCATCCTGTACCATCAATGATATACGGTTGGTCGGAGGCACCACCGAGGCCGAGGGCCGAGTAGAGGTCTTCTACAGAGGGCAGTGGGGCACTGTTTGCGATGATGGGTGGGACATCGACGACGCAACGGTCGTTTGCAGAATGCTTGGATTCAATGGAGCGACCCAAGCGGTGGGATCGGCTGAATTCGGGCAGGGTTCAGGGCGGATTTGGCTTGATGACGTGTTTTGCCTCGGAGATGAAGAAAATCTGGCTGAATGTGAGCACCAACCGTTTGGACAAAACAATTGTGGTCATTCTGAAGATGCTGGCGTCACCTGCTTTACTATAGGTAACTCTTTTTACCTAATATCTAACCTCGATACAGTAATAATGATAACTAGACTTTAATTCGTCACTTAGACGAATTAGGTGATACGTATGATAATGGTTTACATAACGAATAATGCATTACACGATATATTATTTTGTAAAATGCTTCTCCCATTTATATGCTTCTCCCATTATGATCTATTCATATGTCAAGATTAAATTGTGTCTCCTTGATCATCATGGATCTAGGGAAGATAGATTGAAACAATATATGACCTTTGACCCTGTGCAGTAACCAGTTACACATTTGACTCTAATTTACATCATGAAGAACACCTTTTGACGATTTTATCTTATTCAAAGAAATGAAAATGTAATTGATAAATGATTATCATCATTATGATAATGATGATCATGATGATAATGATCATGATCATGAGCGCGATCATGACATCTTATTGAAAAAATGAGGGTTGATTTAGATAGCATATAGTCTCAGCTACAACTTACTCAAAAGTCAACAAAATCCAAGCAGAAATAACGGCGATATTGCTCGCAAAAGACAGGAATGTAGACTCCAGATTTGAGAAAAAGTCATCTCCCATAGAGATTACACGCAAAAAGTAATGGATTAAGTGAAAATAGGGTAATAATAAAGTAAAAAGGGTTGTTTGTGACATTATTTGCGATTCTACGTGTTTTAATAATCAAAGGAGATGGTACAGTGAAGGTCAAAAGGAAAAAAAAGTGAAGAAAAAAATTGTTGGAGACACCCGGACTCGAACCAGGGATCTCGAGATTGGAAGTCAAGTGCGTTACCGATATACCAAAACATTTCCCATAGCGATTACACGTAAACGGGAAATGGAATTCTGAAATCCTACTTTGCAAGTGAAATATGAGCATGATCCCGGCATCTAATCGAAAAATAAAGGGCGCACTTGTGATAGCTCATTGTCTCAGCTACAACATATCCGAAGTTCAGCGAAAACGAAGCTAAAACAACAGAGATTTTGCTCGCGAAAGACAGGAGTGTAGAATCCAGTTTTGAGAAAAAGTCATGTCCCATAGAGAATACACGTAAAATGTGAAAAATTGACATGCCTTCTTTAATTGCAAAAATACGCCATGATGCCTTTGTCAAAATGGAAAATTGTGGATTATTTATTTGTAGAAAATTGTCTCAGGTAGAACATATCAAAATTTAAAAGAAAATCAATCAATATTTACAGAGATACAATCAATTTTCCAAAATTATGCTGACGTCATAATATGCAAATTGAAATTTTGAGTTTGGAGGCCATTATGATGACGTTATGAGTTAATTGAGGGTCAAATGAGACATGAAATCATATCTCCAACTTATAACCTATCTAAATATGAAAAAATATTGGGAGTTTCTATCTATTCTGAAGAGTTACAAAGAATTTTGTATAGACATGTTTTTGCTTATGTATTGTGGATAAAGATAACGCAGGTCCGCGCGCGCTGTCAACTTTGACGGACGCTCATTGCGTTATTAAAAGGTGAACAAGTTATCAAAATGCTTGGAAAGATGTACCAAATATGATGATAGAGAACATTCGGCGATTCTATGTTGCAAAATGCTAGTACGCGCAAAAAAAGCGCGCGCATGCGCGTTTGCGTGATTTTTTGTCAAATGCTCCATATGGCCTGAAACGTATGCAAAAAAAATTTGGGATGATTTGGAGCATTTTAATTTTTTTCGCGCGCGTAAACGCGCGTACGAACGCGCACGCGCGCATTTGCGCACGTTTATTGATCTGAAATTGACCGGATGGATATTGATCTTCTTCCTGATAAATATGAATGAAAAATTCCTTTCCGTTATGAAGATATGATCATAAGTTTATTTTCACAAAATGGCGCCTGGATGACGTCACGATAATTTTGAGTCTTTGAAAAGTCACGCAGTTCTAAGTTAGACTAAGATCTATCATCATGGCAAGTTTCATGATAATGGCTTTATTCAGTCTTGAGATATCCTGCGAACAAATTCGAGGAAGAATAATAATAAATAAATAAATAAATAAATAAATAATAAAAATCTTGACGAAATCAAAAGGTGATACGTCTACGTACGTATCACCTAATAATATTAATCATATGGGGGGGGGGGGGGGTTTAATTGTCCTTGGTGGTAATTTTTTTTTTCCGGAGGGTACATTTCGGGGGGGGGGGGTAATTGTTCAGGGGTTAATAGTCCTGATACGTTAATGCAATATATTAGAGTATTACACTGACTGTTGCTGGGCCGCCATGATAATGCGCTGAAACGCATTGAATGCCCTTTTTTGCTTTCTGGGCACACATTTACTTCACCTGGGCGAAAAAGTGGCAAATGTAGATTGCCGGGTGAGACAAGAATAACAAACCATGTGATCCACAGTCCTGTGCAGTATCCACCAGACCATGACAAAACTACTAATACAGTTAAAATATCGATCTGTACTACAAATAAAAGATCACGCGGTTATGATTGAAGGTCTACCGTCGACGAAATCACTTATATAATACTAATCCTAAACCTAAAGGCCGGCTCGCATAGTAGCCGTAAAGACCCCGCGAAAGGCGACAGACGTGAAAATCACAACATTTTGGCGGCAGAGCGACGGCAAAAGGGGAAAACCAAGATTCGCTAACGGGTGGGAATGACCTTTAGCGACAACAAAACATATTCATCCTCTTTCTTGGAAGAACAATGTTGTCTGCCATTACAACAGCTTCCTTAACAAAATGTTCCTCTGTGTTTTTCTTGTGAATTAATTAGTTACAACATCAGAAGCGCCGCCACCCACAGTTCGTTTGGTTGGTGGCAGTTCTGACAACGAAGGACGAGTTGAAATTATGTACGATGGACAATGGGGAACTGTCTGTGACGACTATTGGGGTCTAGAGGATGCCGGCGTTGTCTGCAGAATGCTGGGCTTTGATGAGGCGTCCGAGGCACCAGGCTCTGCTCGATTCGGCCAGGGTTCGGGTACTATCTGGCTTGATGATGTGATGTGCTCAGGGGAAGAGACCGACTTAGCTGACTGTCCGCATCGGGGGTTTGGAACTCACAACTGTGGTCATTCTGAAGATGCAGGGGCCGTTTGCTCTATTACTGGTAAATATTACAATCCATCAAGGCTTTGCTACTGAACGATATTGTCTTGTTCCTGACGCGATCTACTTAATACGCTTACTGTGCTTTAACAAAATATATCTTAACCAGGCAAAATAAACTTATTCACTTTCCTTTTTTCTAACACAGTTTTAGTCATTGCCATATGTTGAATGCAACGTATTTGAAAGGGATATATCCTTGAATACAAACTCTATACTGTTTTTTTTTTTTGGGGGGGGGGGGGAAGGCTTCTTCTATAATGTTGCAATTCATCTAGCCTGAAACATATTTTTTCTTCAAAACCTCCTATATTAAACATCGTGTCATCCCCTTTCTTGAAGACCAAATGTAACATTGCATTAAAAAGTCCTCAACTCCAAAAAAAATGCATCTTTTATTCTCATTCTGTTAAAAGTATTAGCTACGACACCAGAAACGTCGACCCCCTCTGTTCGTTTGGTTGGTGGGAGTTTTGACGAAGGAAGAGTTGAAATATTTCATGATGGACAATGGGGAACTGTCTGTGACGACTTTTGGGATCTGGATGATGCCGGTGTTGTCTGCAGAATGCTAGGCTTTGATGCGGCGTCCGAGGCACCAGGCACAGCTCGGTTCGGCCAGGGTTCAGGTAGTATCTGGCTTGATGATGTGTTGTGCTCAGGAGAAGAGACCGACTTAGCTGACTGTCCACATCGGCCGTTTGGAACTAACAACTGTGGTCATTCTGAAGATGCAGGAGCCGTTTGCTCTATTACAGGTAACTTCTACAATCTATCAATGCTTTATAGCTACATATCTTTATGTCTTCTTCTCTGACGCAATCTACCTACTGTGCTCACTAAGCTTTAAACAAATAGAACTTAACTAGGCAAAATGAACTTATTCCACTTCCTTTTTCCCTAACACTTTTTCAGTCATCGTCATATGGTGAACGCAACGTATTTGAACGAAACATACCGTGAATAAAAGCTAAATAATGGATAATGGTTTAGGGAGAAAAAGGCTTCTTCTATAAGAAATCATTTCGTCTAGCATGAAACATATTCTTTCTTAAAAAACCTCCTATATTAAAAACCGTGTCATCCACTTTCTTGAAAAACAAATGTAAACCCTCAAACTCCAAAAAATGCATGTTTTATTCTCATTCTGTTAAAATTATTAGCTACGACACCAGAAACGTCGACCCCCACTGTTCGTTTGGTTGGTGGCAGTTCTGACAACGAAGGACGAGTTGAAATTCTGTACGATGGACAATGGGGAACTGTCTGTGATGACCTTTGGGGTCTGGAGGATGCCGGCGTTGTCTGCAGAATGCTGGGCTTTGATGAGGCGTCCGAGGCACCAGGCTCTGCTCGATTCGGCCAGGGTTCGGGTACTATCTGGCTTGATGATGTGATGTGCTCAGGGGAAGAGACCGACTTAGCTGGCTGTCCGCATCGGGGGTTTGGAACTCACAACTGTGGTCATTCTGAAGATGCAGGGGCCGTTTGCTCTATTACTGGTAAATATTACAATCCATCAAGTCTTTGCTACTGAACGATATTGTCTTGTTCCTGACGCGATTTACTTAATACGCTTATACCCTTTTCACATCTATTTTTCTTAACCCCGGACTATCCTTAACCCCATACTATCCTTAACCCCATACTATTTTTTTTGCTGTTCACATCTATTTTCTTAACCCCGGACTATGTGCTTAGCCGGGGTTAAGAAATTTCACGCGATTCACACTACGTTCGCCTTAGCCCCGGACTATTCGATAGCTCATGAATATTAATGCTTTTGCTACCGCGCATGCGTAACGTGAACTGCATGCATGCGTAACGTGAACTGCATGCATAGCGCGCGATAAATGCAAATTCACGACCACACGACCACGCTGTCTGTGATTGGCTGTTGCTTAGCCCCGCTTCTCCTTAGCCCGGTTCGGATTCACACTACGCAGCTTAGCACCACAATTGCCCGGCTAACCCCGCAATTGCCCGGCTAACCCTGCTATTTTGCAGGGCCAGATAGTCCCGTACTATTTGTGGGGTTAGCCCACTTTGGCAAAACGTAATGTGAACAGAAAGCCGGCTAAAATTACCCCGGGTAATTGGTGGGGCTAAGGAAGGAATTGGTGGGGCTAAGAGCCCCCTTAGCCCCACCTATTTCCCGGGGTTAAGCAATATTTGGTAGATGTGAAAAGGGTATTACTGTGCTTTAACAAAATATATCTTAACCAGGCAAAATAAACTTATTCACTTTCCTTTTTTCTAACACAGTTTTAGTCATTGCCATATGTTGAATGCAACGTATTTGAAAGGAATATACCTTGAATACAAACTCTATATTGGTTAAGGGAGAAAGGGCTTTTTCTATAATTATGCAATTCTTCTAGCCTGAAACATATTTTTTCTTCAAAACCTCCTATATTAAACATCGTGTTATCCCCTTTCTTGAAGACCAAATGTAACATTGCATTAAAAAGTCTTCAACTCCAAAAAAAATGCATCTTTTATTCTCATTATGTTAAAAGTATTAGCTACGACACCAGAAACGTCGACCCCCTCTGTTCGTTTGGTTGGTGGGAGTTTTGACGAAGGAAGAGTTGAAATATTTCATGATGGACAATGGGGAACTGTCTGTGACGACTTTTGGGATCTGGATGCTGCCGGTGTTGTCTGCAGAATGCTAGGCTTTGATGCGGCGTCCGAGGCACCAGGCTCAGCTCGGTTCGGCCAGGGTTCAGGTAGTATCTGGCTTGATGATGTGTTGTGCTCAGGAGAAGAGACCGACTTAGCTGACTGTACACATCGGCCGTTTGGAACTAACAACTGTTTTCATTCTGAAGATGCAGGAGCCGTTTGCTCTATTACAGGTAACTTCTACAATCTATCAATGCTTTATAGCTACATATCTTTATGTCTTCTTCTCTGACGCAATCTACCTACTGTGCTCACTAAGCTTTAAACAAATAGAACTTAACTAGGCAAAATGAACTTATTCCACTTCCTTTTTCCCTAACACTTTTTCAGTCATCGCCATATGGTGAACGCAACGTATTTGAACGAAGCATACCGTGAATAAAAGCTAAATAATGGATAATGGTTTGGGGAGGAAAAGGCTTCTTCTATAAGAAATCATTTCGTCTAGCATGAAACATATTCTTTCTTAAAAAACCTCCTATATTAAAAACCGTGTCATCCATATTCTTGAAGAACAAATGTAAACCCTCAAACTCCAAAAAATGCATCTTTTATTCTCATTCTGTTAAAATTATTAGCTACGACACCAGAAACGTCGACCCCCACTGTTCGTTTGGTTGGTGGCAGTTCTGACAACGAAGGACGAGTTGAAATTCTGTACGGTGGACAATGGGGAACTGTCTGTGATGACCTTTGGGGTCTGGAGGATGCCGGCGTTGTCTGCAGAATGCTAGGCTTTGATGAGGCGTCCGAGGCACCAGGCTCAGCTCGGTTCGGCCAAGGTTCGGGTACTATCTGGCTTGATGATGTGATGTGCTCAGGGGAAGAGACCGACTTAGCTGACTGTCCGCATCGGGGGTTTGGAACTCACAACTGTGGTCATTCTGAAGATGCAGGGGCCGTTTGCTCTATTACTGGTAAATATTACAATCCATCAAGGCTTTGCTACTGAACGATATTGTCTTGTTCCTGACGCGATCTTCTTAATACGCTTACTGTGCTTTAACAAAATATATCTTAACCAGGCAAAATAAACTTATTCACTTTCCTTTTTTCTAACACAGTTTTAGTCATTGCCATATGTTGAATGCAACGTGTTTGAAAGGAATATACCTTGAATACAAACTCTATATTGGTTAAGGGAGAAAGGGCTTTTTCTATAATTATGCAATTCTTCTAGCCTGAAACATATTTTTTCTTCAAAACCTCCTATATTAAACATTGTGTCATCCCCTTTCTTGAAGACCAAATGTAACATTGCATTAAAAAGTCCTCAACTCCCCCAAAAAGTGCATCTTTTATTCTCATTCTGTTAAAAGTATTAGCTACGACACCAGAAACGTCGACCCCCTCTGTTCGTTTGGTTGGTGGGAGTTTTGACGAAGGAAGAGTTGAAATATTTCATGATGGACAATGGGGAACTGTCTGTGACGACTTTTGGGATCTGGATGATGCCGGTGTTGTCTGCAGAATGTTAGGCTTTGATGCGGCGTCCGAGGCACCAGGCACAGCTCGGTTCGGCCAGGGTTCAGGTAGTATCTGGCTTGATGATGTGATGTGCTCAGGGGAAGAGACCGACTTAGCTGACTGTCCACATCGGCCGTTTGGAACTCACAACTGTGGTCATTCTGAAGATGCAGGAGCCGTTTGCTCTATTACAGGTAACTTCTACAATCTATCAATGCTTTATAGCTACATATCATTATGTCTTCTTCTCTGACGCAGTCTACCTACTGTGCTCACTAAGCTTTAAACAAATAGAACTTAACTAGGCAAAATGAACTTATTCCACTTCCTTTTTCCTTAACACTTTTTCAGTCATCGCCATATGGTGAACGCAACGTATTTGAACGGAGCATACCTTGAATAAAAGCTAGATAATGGTTTAGGGAGGAAAAGGCTTCTTCTATAAGAAATTTATTCGTCTAGCATGAAACATATTCTTTCTTAAAAAAACCTCCTATATTAAAAACCGTGTCATCCACTTTCTTGAAGAACAAATGTAAACCCTCAAACTCCAAAAATTGCATCTTTTATTCTCATTCTGTTAAAATTATTAGCTACGACACCAGAAACGTCGACCCCCACTGTTCGTTTGGTTGGTGGGGGTTCTGACAACGAGGGGAGAGTTGAAATTCTGTACGGTGGACAATGGGGAACTGTCTGTGATGACCTTTGGGGTCTGGAGGATGCCGGCGTTGTCTGCAGAATGCTAGGCTTTGATGAGGCGTCCGAGGCACCAGGCTCAGCTCGGTTCGGGCAAGGTTCGGGAAGTATCTGGCTTGATGATGTGTTGTGCTCAGGAGAAGAGACCGACTTAGCTGACTGTCCACATCGGGGGTTTGGAACTCACAACTGTGGTCATTCTGAAGATGCAGGGGCCGTTTGCTCTTTTACAGGTAAATATTACAATCCATCAAGGCTTTGCTACTGAACGATTATTGTCTTGTTCCTGACGCGATCTACTTAATATGCTTACTGCGCTTTAACAAAATATATCTTAACCAGGCAAAAAAAAACTTATTCACTTTCCTTTTTTCTAACACAGTTTAATCATTGCCATATGTTGAATGCAACGTATTTGAAAGGAATATACCTTAAATACAAACTCTATATTGGTTAAGGGAGAAAGGGCTTTTTCTATAATTATGCAATTCTTCTAGCCTGAAACACATTTTTTCTTCAAAACCTCCTATATTAAACATCGTGTCATCCCCTTTCTTGAAGACCAAATGTAACATTGCATTAAAAAGTCCTCAACTCCCCCAAAAAGTGCATCTTTTATTCTCATTCTGTTAAAAGTATTAGCTACGACACCAGAAACGTCGACCCCCTCTGTTCGTTTGGTTGGTGGGAGTTTTGACGAAGGAAGAGTTGAAATATTTCATGATGGACAATGGGGAACTGTCTGTGACGACTTTTGGGATCTGGATGATGCCGGTGTTGTCTGCAGAATGCTAGGCTTTGATGCGGCGTCCGAGGCACCAGGCACAGCTCGGTTCGGCCAGGGTTCAGGTAGTATCTGGCTTGATGATGTGATGTGCTCAGGGGAAGAGACCGACTTAGCTGACTGTCCACATCGGCCGTTTGGAACTCACAACTGTGGTCATTCTGAAGATGCAGGAGCCGTTTGCTCTATTACAGGTAACTTCTACAATTTACCAATGCTTTATAGCTACATATCATTATGTCTTCTTCTCTGACGCAATCTACCTACTGTGCTCACTAAGCTTTAAACAAATAGAACTTAACTAGGCAAAATGAACTTATTCCACTTCCTTTTTCCCTAACACTTTTTCAGTCATCGCCATATGGTGAACGCACCGTATTTGAACGGAGCATACCTTGAATAAAAGCTAGATAATGGTTTAGGGAGGAAAAGGCTTCATCTATAAGAAATCTATTCGTCCAGCATGAAACATATTCTTTCTTAAAAAAAACTCCTATATTAAAAACCGTGTCATCCACTTTCTTGAAGAACAAATGTAAACCCTCAAACTCCAAAAATTGCATCTTTTATTCTCATTCTGTTAAAACTATTAGCTACGACACCAGAAACGTCGACCCCCACTGTTCGTTTGGTTGGTGGGGGTTCTGACAACGAGGGGAGAGTTGAAATTCTGTACGGTGGACAATGGGGAACTGTCTGTGATGACCTTTGGGGTCTGGAGGATGCCGGCGTTGTCTGCAGAATGCTAGGCTTTGATGAGGCGTCCGAGGCACCAGGCTCAGCTCGGTTCGGGCAAGGTTCAGGAAGTATCTGGCTTGATGATGTGTTGTGCTCAGGAAAAGAGACCGACTTAGCTAACTGTCCACATCGGGGGTTTGGAACTCACAACTGTGGTCATTCTGAAGATGCAGGAGCCGTTTGCTCTATTACAGGTAACTTCTATACTTTATCAGGCTTTGCTTCTTATCGTTCTATCTTTTTTTACGAATAAATCTACTTAATATGCTTACTAAGCTTAAACATAATTTATAACTTAAAATTGAGAATTGTACATATTCCCCTTTCTGATTCCTAGCACTTGTTTAGTCTTTACTATAGGTTAAATGCATCTTAATCAAAATATATTTTGAATAAAAACTCCATATTGTTTATTTTTTTAAAGAAAGGGGCGTCTTCTATAATTATGTAATTCGTAAAAGCTGTTACGCTAATAACCGTTTCATCCCATTTCTGGAAAGAATAGCTAGCACTAAAAAACCCATAACGTCCTAAAATTGCTACTCTTTGTAATAATAGCTACAACACTAGTTTGAACCCTACATTTTCCAAGATTGCTGTTTGGCACGATCGCAGGCTTTCTGGGGGATTGTGGAAATGACAATATATACTTTCATGATGGTTCATTTACAGTATTAATTGCTGAATGGACGACTCTTTTTTGCCTGTGTATGTAGTAGCTTTATGCTTGCAATTAGGAATGAAACAGATTCCATTGGTAAATTATACGTTCGGGGAATTGTAGTGTGCTATTAAATAAAGGGAATACAATTTGAAAGGAACATAGAGAGTTGGGTGCTTTCCTAAATGTTTTTCCTCCCAGTCATCTGTTTGACCAAATGTTTCAGCGAATTCACCGACTCTTTAGACGTATGACAATACCTTTCTCATCATTTGTTCACAATAACAACGGCAATAAGAACATTAATTGCAATTTATATCGTGATTGGTCTATCGATTAAACGGGTTTATTTTGTACTTCTGTGTAGAAGTGTAGAAAGTGTAGAAAAATCAATATGAATAGAAATCTGCATGTTATTACTGATACAGTTCTTTGACGTTCAAGTTTTACTCTCTTACATTTCCTGATTGCCAGAGACATGGCTAATAGTTCTCAACGTCAGTAATTTTTATTGTACTCTTGAAACAACAATTTTCAGACCCCCCCCCCCCCCGCCCATGCCCACAGAGAAATGAGCAGGGACGTTGCTTTACTACCTCGTTGAATGAGAGATGGATCGTGAGGGAGTGTAGGGAATAAATATGACAACGTGTTAAAAATAAAGACCAGTTATGGTCATGCGATTGCATTGTGAAAGAAACGTTGTGGAATTGATCAGAAAAGGTTAGATCATCTAGCATATTAGTATTGGTGTGTACTGCAAGGTTCTGGAATCATCAAAGTGATAAGAAATTTGCCCAGTCTTGGTAAAGTTACAAGCACTGTACACAGAAAGATGTATATGGGACTACGTGCACGATATCTATCAGGTCCAAATAGATATAATAATTTACCAAATATATCAATTAGTAGGCGGTCTCTCGGCAACATTTGTACCATCACGTATTAGTAAAAACTTATTATTTCACATGATTGGTAATAAGAGCTTCCATTTCATTTTTTGAGAGGGGGCGTTTCCAAAACTGGTCTTTATCTTTAAGCTATGGTCACAGCTCAGAGCAGCGGCCGACCGATTTGTAGCCTGCTCGGTCGACGCTTGAATTAAGGCATCGCCCAACGATTTTTGGAGAAGTCGAGCAGGATGTAAACCGCCAGCGATGGGCGGTGCCCTGTCGATTTCCCGTCGGTCAACGGTCGATTTTAGGTCAAAATCGGGGAGCTTCTCCGGGCGGAGTCCCGGCAGTGACCGACTGGCGGCCCGTCGTTTCCAAACGTTCTCCCACAGGCCATTGGCTGATTTTAAAGAAATTGCCCGGCGGCCGGCCGGTGATCGACGGGGCACCGAAATACGCTCGGTGCCCGAGCGGTCGCCACCCGGGCACCGACCTAATCGAGCGTTCGCCGTCGAGCGATTAAGGTCAAAAATCGAAGCCGCTAGGTCAAAGGCTGCCGACCGATCATATTGCCCCGATTGTCTCATTTTCGCGTGAACATTGCCAGCACAAACCACTGACCTCTACCTCCTGAACGGATCATCGCCCATTTCCATTCACTATACGTTACGTACTAAAAGGCTGTATTGTCTGACCGTTCATGAATATTCATGTTTTTGCTAAACTCGGCAAAATGTTTGCTTTTACTAAATGGAAAAATTACGGTGGGGGGTTGGATGAAATGGACATAATGAAATAAGCAGAAGTGATCTATGATAATTCATGCGTTTTATGTTTCGTGTGCTCGACCTATAATCTTCAAATCGCTTCGTAAACTGAGTCCAAAGTTAGACTTGTTTCACATGTGTATGATAGGCAATGAAGAGCTTGCAACCTATTTTGAAAAATTACGGTGGGTGAACTTTCAAAAGTCAACGAGACATGAGGGCTCAAATGAAAGAGCTAGTGATAACGTACGTCGGGGTGGATGTGCTTTTCGTTTAAAACAAAAAAAAGGAATTTTTAACGATTTAAAAAAAAAAACGTCCATAGGCTTACATGTTAGGCTGCTGACGTTGACCATGCTCTGACGATAGGGGGCGTCGTGAAATGAGACTAAACGGAGCCATATGTTTGAACTCGCCGTCCAGTGACCGACTGACCTCTAAGCCGCGAACGGGCGGCGACCGGGCCGTGACCGCTCGGAAGCCTTTGACCTAGCGGCTTCGATTTTTGACCTTAAACGTTCGAGGGCGAACGCTCGATTAGGTCGGTGCCCGGGCGGCGACCGCCCGGGCACCGAGCGTATTTTGGGCGGCGAGTGAAAAGGGAGTAGGCGCCGCCGAATTGTAATTCAGCGCTAAAACTTCAACGGCCACCGTGCGACGCCCTAAAAACAAGTGGTGCCCGGGCGAATTTGGCTAAAACTCGCCGCCCGGCCGCCGAGCAGGCTACTCTTTAGGGTTGTGACCATTGCTTAAACCAAACCTTTTTTATTTTTGAATTTGGACAACTACACTTAGGTTTCCCCGTACTCTCATTCGATGTTCTTTCTTTTGTTTTCTTTTTATCAGAACCCTCAGAATTCACAATCCGTCTGGTCGGTGGCAAACACCCTTGGGAAGGTCGAGTAGAGCTGCTCTTCCAGGAAGAGTGGGGGACCATCTGCTCTTTGTACTGGGGTAAACCCGATGGAGATGTGGCTTGCAGAATGCTGGGCTTCAGCAGCGCGTATGAGGCTATATCGCCAACGGGCGAACCGCCGATGCCTTACGGTGAAGGCAATGGGACGATCCTTCTAAGTGACTTCGGTTGTACGGGAACCGAAGAGAATCTGGCTGATTGTTCGCATTCGGCATGGGGTGACCATAATTGCTACCACTACCAGGATGCTGGATTAGTATGCAATAGCCCAGGTAGAACCTTTCTCCTTCCTCTTCTTCTTTTTTCTACTTCTCCTTTTCTACTCTTCTTCGCTTTTCTTCTTCTTCTTCTTCTTCTTTTTATCCTCCTTATCCTTCTTCTTGTTGTTTTCTTATTTTTTATTAATCTTCTTCATAATTTCTTCTTCTCTTGTTCTTCTTCCTTTGTTTCCCTTTTCTTCTCTTATACTATATTAATTGTTTTCTTATTTATTCGTGTTATTTAAACCTTAGCTTTAAATTGTAAACCATCTTTCGAAAAGATGAGTTTGCCAAGTTGGTCAGAAATGTTGTAAATGTATATACGCCTTCTTTATAACTTTATTTGATCAGTTTGATTGTATTCATTTCTTCATGAATTCTAAACTATAAAACATATGTTACAACGACAAGAGAAAATTATCTAACCCAATAGATAAACCTACGCAATCTGACATCAACTTACAAAGGGACTTTACCAAATTCTATATTTCAATTTGCGGATGTGTCGTAGAATAGTGATTCAATCTGACACTCGACTCTGAATCCAAGGGGTAAGGATTCGAATCCCAGCATGGCACTTATTTTTGCAATATTAATCCAGATGTAAATGGGAACCTGGCAATTGCCGAGGTAAATGTTGCAGAGCCCTTTGGAAGAAAAGCATTGATGCTGATAAACCCTCCCTTGGTGAACAAAATTGTTGTCATTAACGGGGTCTGTATTTCCATCCCTCACAGATCCTGAAAGTGTTGTCGTACGCCTCGTGAACGGCAGTAGCAAAGCTGAGGGGAGGGTAGAGGTGTTGTATGAAGGAGAATTCGGGACCGTCTGTGACGATTCATGGGATATCAATGATGCTGCCGTTGTCTGCAGAATGTTGGGGTATGAGGGCGCTTCAGAGGCTCCAGGACTTGCTCGCTTCGGGCAAGGTTCTGGGGACATTGTCCTCGATGACGTGGTCTGTCAGGGATCAGAGGACAACATCGCGAGCTGTGCACATAGAGCATGGGGAGAAAACAACTGCGGCCACGTCGAGGATGCCTCGGCCATTTGCACCGGGGAATGTAAGTCTATAATAAACCAGGAAAACGATCGCAAAAGATTCTTAACAAATGTTTGTGGCCCATCGCAAACTACACGATCTTCCTGCGATCCACTAACAAAAGGCAATTGCATTAGATAGGAAGTTGTAGCAGTATGGTCCCGTAACCCATTGTTTCCCGAGCTGCGCTGTAGTTTCTAGCATGAAGTCCGTTGTCTGCAGAAAGTTCACAAATGCAGTGTCAGTTTACCCAAAACATTGCTTAAAGTTCTTGAAAGGAAACTTGTAACTTGTTAATACTGTATTATTTTCTCTCTTGCACATGAACAAAAGTGAACTTGCCAGTTCGCTTGATGAACGGAAATGGGGAACACGACGGTCGAGTTGAAATCTTCCGCTACGGGGCCTGGGGTTCAGTCTGCGACGACTTCTGGGACATTAACGATGGTCACGTGGTCTGTCGTATGCTGGGCTACGAGCGTGCCTCACGCATCTGGTGGGGCACAACCTACGGCACGGGAACTGGTCGCATCTTGTTGGATAGAGTGGAATGCAATGGGGATGAAGCGACTTTGGACGACTGCGATCATCCGCCATGGGGTGTACACGACTGCAACCACTACGAGGATGCCGGCGTGGTGTGCGAATAGTGAACACCAGGTGCGAATCGATCAAGTGTTATTCCTTTGCTTAATTTAACTGAATAAGTAAATGATTGAAATATAAATCATTATGATAATAAAACTGTTTTCTGTTGTTTCTTTATTGTTTCATTCTTACATAGGTCCTGTTTGTTAAACTTTTTATTCATAACAAGTTCCAGTTACAGTCATAAGCTACTAATTTCGTGGCATTTGATTGGCTGAGAGCAAATTTGTTATAGAAATTAAGCTTCAAAAAAAAAAAAAAATATGAATCAGGCCCCGGTGACGGGGACTCAGCCTTCGCTTTTTATTCACAAACATATTTCCAGTATCACCATTATAATATTTATACACGTTATAGCTTTCGTAAAAATTTGTTTAAGAACACGTTTACCCCCTTTCCCTTTTAATTATTATTTTATCTTCTATTATTTGTTATAATCTTCTTTTGTTTTCACATATTTATACGTTATTGCGTGTGACTGCGTGTCCAATCCAATTATGTATACTCTTAATAAGTGCACCGTCCTTCCTGTTTTAAAATTGTTGCTGTATCAAGTTGCTTATGTCATTATGAATGTAAGGAATAATTACTTTTGTTGATATGGGAAAATATGATGGACCATTGTTTGTATTACTTGAATTAAATTCTTATTTTAGTGCTCTTCTTTCTCTCATTCACCTCCCCTTCTACTGTTCCTTTCCTTTCTGTACTGTTTCTTTCCTTCACTCACTCATTCATGTCATTGCTTCTCCTTAATATTTTTACTCCTTCTGTTTCTCTCCTCTTTATTCTCACAGTTGCCAGAGTTACTCTTGGACAGTTTTACGGAAATTTTCCGAACATGAAGAGACGGTGATCTTTTCACCTTTTATCCTTTACATTTAATCAAGTAATACCATTATAATATGGTCGTAACGTATACAATATAAGATGTTTTATCGTTACGTTTCTTTGAAAAGTAAAACAAAAAGTGTACAGGACTACATTACATACATATACGGTGACGACATTTAACAGTCTGAATATAACATTACATACCTTAAACTTTACATCTTTGTGTTAAATCAAATGATACCATGGTAGTATTGTTGTAACAAATAATATGAAATCCTGTTTCTTTATATTCTTTGAACATATTTAGAAACTGTACGGGATTGCATCATATATGATAACATGTAATGGTGTGCATACCGTATTAATATCCGTTTATCAACAACACGGTACCGCGCCATTTTTTTGTTAAGAAATATATCATCTCTTTGAAAAAACTGTACAGGGTCTTCAATATAAACATGATCTGCATATTGCATATACACTTTTTTTTTTATATCTTCAGGTAATCAACTTCTTCCTCTTCCTCCGTCATGGAATTATTGAAATAATTGAAAACTTTTGCAAGCTTTACAAATTATCGCCTTTAACACAATTTGAAGCTACTTATCATTGAAAATGAAGTCATTACAAGTTTAAGCAATACACAATTCCCTAATCTATGATACCAGTATTAGTAACTTTTCAGTCCTTACATTAATTTTTTAATTTAAACGGCGCATTTCCATATACATGTTCAAATGTGCTTTACATTTATGTTATTAATAATTCTATATTTTAATTTACGTTACAACAGCGAGGATTATTCTTGGAATTACTCTCTGACTATTTTTAAAAGCTTTTTTATCACAACAATTTATGTATGTTCGATTTAAGTATTATACTTTAAAACATTATCATAACAGAGTTCTAGATGTTTAGAACAGTAATTGAAAGTTTATAACCTTCGCCGAAAAAAACCCTTTTCATTCTAAGATACTTATTTTGTATACCAATGACATACTAATATTATGTCTATCAAGTTGCTCAATTTGAAGAACATTGAGTATCCATTAAGAATAGGGCAATTCCACGGTAACGGAAGGACACTCAAGATTTTTGAACTTCAGGTTCATACTAAAAGAACTGTTTTATTAGTATAAGATGTGAAACAGTACAGATATAATACCTATATAAGTGCCTTTAATTCTCCCCCCAAAAATTGTCATTATAGTTAAGTAGTTTAAGAATGTGCATATTAATTATCTCGGTAACGGAAGGACATAAAAATGGACATGGTTTTTCCAGTTAATTAGTGTTTATCCAAACTTTGTGAAGTTGATGAAGCTTTCCACTTGACTGAAACACATTTTGTTCCCCATAGTTTAATACATACTAATAAAACATTTCTTTTAGTATGAACCTGAAGTTCAAAAATCTTGTCTGAGTGTCCTTCCGTTACCGTGGAATTGCCCAATAGATCATTTCAACCTATAAGGTCATATCTTCAGATGTAACATATAGTCCATTACTTTGTGACGTGCCTCTTATCTATCAGGAGTAAAATATTAATTTCATAAATCATTACATTCTGTCGAGATCATTTGATTTTGAGTGGATTTTGGCGACTTAACCCATTGCTTGCTGGAACCTGGTGGTCCTTTTGTTAATCCTATGGGAACTATAAAATTCAGTGGTCAACGGGTTAACAATCCTATATTTTTATTAGGATTATGGTCATCATAAACATTACTATGATTTCTTGTTATGGTATTGTTTTTATAATCACCATTATGGTAATTATTATAATCATTATTATTATCATTATTATTATATTCATATTTCATTCCTGTTCTTTGGCGTTCTACTATCAGAATGTATTATCGGATTCATTGCGTTTATCAATAAAACACAACTATCCCGTATCGATTTTGCATTGTTGCATTCATTTCTTTCTTCTTCTTCCGAAAATAACTTAGATTTGCTTGTGCGTCACCCATCGAAACGAGCAAACACTGGAGAGATTGTTTCCATGGTTACATATATACTAATGTGTCAACATTGCCTTTCAGTTGATTTTTTTTAATATCCCGTTCCTTATGGTAAAGTGTGGCAGGATAAAGCATGCATTATATAACGTTCTGATGTTACAATGATATAATTTTGCCAGGAGTAATGCTATAAAAGAGTATAATTATAGTAATATATGTTAATGACAGTTACCATGAGTACTCGTTTAAGCGCAATATATTTTCAAAATTGTACCTAACTACATAATTGCATTTAAGTAACAGTTAAACCCCACTAAATTGCTGGGGGAGTTTTTATTTTTAATTCAGTCTAATTTATTACCAGCTTCCTTTCACAAATAAAAGTTTTTAAAACAAGGGTGCATGAGGTTGCTCTCCATTGTTTACGCTCCTCATCGGTATCGCCTTCATTGGCCACGTAGACGCAGTCCTCGCTGGTATCTGTCGGCCGTTGTCCTCCCTGCCAGTTCGTCTTTCCTTGGAGACTCGTCCAGTCGGTCCATTGTCTTGTCCCCAAGCCTGAATCATGGATATCCGTCAATCCGATCCAATAGCCCTGTAAAGGAACATACAAAGAAGTCACTGAGAAGAACCGAACAAACAAGAAATATCTACACAATCAATAATAATGATAAAGCAGCCCAAACAATTCAAAAAAGCAAAATAAGAAAAAAACATCAAATGTCGTCTGGTTCCCACTCTCGTCCTCTTTTATCTCCCTTATTCTGTCCCATTAGCATTCGCACTCCCCCCCCCCCCTCCCTCAGATTTGTTGCACCCCTCTGGAGTGAGATTGTACAGAGTGTACATAAATATGAAAGAATATGAACATATAGGGAGGAATAACAAAAATAGTACTAAAAATAATCAACAAAGTTATACATAAGCCCATATACCAACAAAACTTGGCAATATACCAGAACATGAAAATATTACAGTACAAGGATAATATGAAGAGCAGATAAAATACATTATCGGGTAACCTGTAACACCAGAGGGCAGTATGATACATTTCAGAGCTTTGTTCTATGCCTCATGTTTTTTCTCCCTCGCTCTCCCTTTTTCATCTTCAATGGAGATCATGAAATACCCTAAATGAAAGACTTCAATATGTTGAACATCATGCTAGCAGCTTTCAGTATAGAAATTGAAATGCATTCAATATTGTCGAAACTAGAAATAAAATATTTTCTTTGTCGAGCTGTCGAAAAATAAATTATATGCCAATAAATCTTTATCTAGTATAGCAAAAAGGAAATACGGCAATTTCCCAAACTGTCTTAGTACCTGTGGGTACCCAAACACAGTTACTGCAGTTCAGGATATATCATTTCAAACTTGGCACAGGGGGATGATTATTTTCCATTATTTTTTACATGTTATTCATAAACTGCCGGGTTTATTTTAAATGAACACCCCCCCCCCCTTTCTCTCTGAGTAGGGAGAATTTCCAGAATCTGAGCTTTGTCCGGTCTTTTGTGAAGCCCTGTGCCATTGAAATGATATCATAATCATGTCTATTTATATAAATGTCATGCATTGTTTAATGAGGAGTAAATGCATATTGGAACGAAATGGGGTACAGGGCATCGACAAGGAAACAATACCTGAACTGGTTTGAACGACCTCACTTCTAAACCAAACAAAAGAAGATTAAAGGCAGGCTATGTAGAAAGACGCTGATTATTTCAAGCTTTTAAAGGATTGAATTCTCTGAAATCTGAGGGAAAGACAATCCTAGTTTTTTCTTGATTCGAAAGCAACGAAACCTTCTGTTTCATCAGGGAGGTGTTTTAACCCGTTGGCTACTGAATTATTTAATTCCCATAGGCTTAACACAGGGACCCCCAGGTTCCAGTGAGCAATAGGTTAGCTCTTATATCTTGCATTGGAATGGATTTACCTTGTTTATTACTGATAAAACTATACATGTGGTATCAAAATACATGTAAATATTGTCTTGAAATAAAATGAAAAGGCTGATGTCATAACATTTTGGTCATGACTGAAAGAAGTTTGAAAATCAATCAGTTAAAATAATTTAAATGACCCTCTCTTTCTGTTATCTCTCTCTCTCTCTTTCTCTCTCTCCATCTCTCTCTCTCCTTTTCATTCTCTCTCTCCTTCTCTCTCTCTCTCTCACTCTCTCTCTCTTTTTCTCTCTGCATTCTTTTTCTTTTCTTTTCGCATTCTCTATCTTCAAATTCACTTCTTTCTTCCACTCATTTCTCATTTTTCTCCACTGTTTCTTGTTTGCGGTCTCTCTCTCTCTCTTTTTCTTTCTTATTTTTCCCTTCTTCATCTGTTTTTTCTCCATTGCTTTCACTCTCTTTAAATCTCCCTCTTTTTCTTTTCTTTCTTAAGTACTTTCTTTGTATACACTTTCTTCACCTTCTTTCTCTTTCTTCATCTCTCCCCCCTCTCTCTCTCTCTCTCTCTCATTGTCTTTCACTTTTTCTTTTACTCAGTCTTCCTTTTTCACTTTCATCTTCCCTCTTTCTCCAAAACAAAATTAACCAAAAGAAGATTAACCGATCAAGGAGAAATTGTAATTATAGGTTCTTTGAATGCTGAGAAGAACAAAAATACAACAATACTACTACTAATAATGACAAAAGTAATTGTAGTAATAATAACGATAACAATTATATACACCTCTACTAATATTCCTACCACCACCAATAACAATAATCATGATGAAAATAATAAACATGATAATAATAATAATAATAATAATAATTTAAATAATCATTTATGAAAAGAACAACAGCGGCATCACGTTAAAAAAAGACCCAAACCAATCTGGACTTGTCCGAGGCAACTTTAAATGTTATAAACGGTTGTGCTAAAGCAAAAAGTTACTTTAATTTAATGCTAGAAAAGAAGAAAAATCGTTTCCATTCTTGGCAAACTATTTTAGGCCTACTAGAAACATCTGTTTGGAAATATATATTTCAGTTCAAATTTAATAAGATAAGAGACAATGAAATCAAACAATATAGTTTCAAATTAATTCATAGGATATTGCCCACAGTAAAGATAATCTATTTACATGGAAAATTGTCGAACGAAGGTAAAGTTTGTCGAGAAAAAGAAACTATTGAGGATTTTATATTTTGTTGCAAGAAGTTAAGAGTTTTCTGTAAAATTATCTCAAGAACAATATATTTCATTTTTAAAATAGAAATTAAAATTGATATGAAAAAGTTATTGATTGGATATAAATACATAACAAAACATTTAATTTACTTAGTTTCTTAATAAATTAGGCACAACTAGTAATATACAAAAATTACGTAAAGCGGAACTTTCGGGAAGTACCAACCGATCAAAAGAGGTTAATAAATAATTGTATTTCATCATTTAAATAGTATTTGAAATATACACAAAGAAAATATAATATACTTCGATAATGAAGAAGTTAGAAAAGTCATAGAAATTGTATAATGATCATTTAAAAAAATTATGTTGATCTTGTATATAATTCATATGTTTTGTTTTACTTTTTGGGGTAAATAGTCTATATGTATTTTGAAATGGAAAAACACAGTCCCTCTGAAGAGGTAAAGACAGAAAAAAAAAATCTAGACTTGTTCTGATAATTCATCAACTGTTGTAACCTTCAGAGCCCTCATTCACTCATCTGAGGAGGCTACCCTGGGTAAATATTTCATTCTAATAAAATTGTTATTATGATTATTTTTCGCATGGCTAGTAAAGCGGATCTACACAAGACAGGATTGACTGCACAGGTTAAGGATAAAAATTAGGATGATCTTTACCATCCAGTTTTGATTCAATTTATGCCGATCAAAAAGAGATACGTTCTACTCTAGCGAATTCTACAAAACAAATTAAATCATAGAAAAAGTGCGTTTTTGCGAAGCAATGGAAATGTGTAAGAAACTGCATACAAACTAAAAGAAACCCAGTAATCCACTTAGTTAACTGAAAACATTGTGTATCCTGCGAAGTTTTGGGAATCATCAAAAGGAATTTGACTCAGTCTTCTCAGTTCTGATAGATATACACATGGTAGTTATCTAGAAACGGGTACATGGCACTATACATGCACACGTCGCGGCATGGATGTTTGATCCAAATCATCAGCTTGGTCACGTCATTTATGAAATGCAAAGGGCATTCGGGGCATGAGCAATTCATATCAGATTATTCTACTGTAATATTCTTCAAATTGGTATTACGGATGGAGGACAAAGCAGGAATTATCTTTATCTTGTCCTCGAGGCTAACCCGGGGCAATGTTGCATGAAACCGGATAATTTAGGATATCTTTGTTAAGTACTAATCCTTTGTATTCATGCGATGGTTCACTATGCTTCGGAGATACGGTCCCTGTCAGATACCTAAACAAATTCAATTCAATAAATCATCTCTCACCGCCCCCGTTGGGTGTCTCTCTTACTCTCTCTCTCCCCTCTCTCTCTCTCTCTCTCTCTCTGTATCTTACTTTGCCGTATGTATATATATATATATATATATATATATATATATACACACACACACAAACCCACAACTTTCTAGAAATGTAATTTTCTCTTTGAAATTCAGTTATCGTCCGCCTAATGAATTTTATTTTTCCTCTCTTCAAATCGATTTTAATCCCTCATGCGTAAAATATGCATCATATGAATTGCATCAAATGAAAGAGGAGGATCTAGGCTTTAAACATACGTGTCATTTATTAAATATAATTGTGAGTTATGATAAAACATCGATAATTCTCGGGGTTTTTTTTGGCGCACTGTATACTGAATAACAGATATAAACTCAATAAAATTGGAACCTGGAGGCGTGTAAACTTCTTCTATAATAATTTATCACCGTGACGTTTTAATTCAATGAATACGCATTCGATGTCTTTAGTCATATGAGTTAGTTCAGGTTTGAAATCAAAAGCTAGGTAATGTGAAATGTAAAAAGCAACTGCAACTCCCACTTTGACTTGCCTGTTATTTGATAACAATGCAAATCCCTCTGTTGAGAATAACGAAGAGGGTAAGTCAGTGAACTAGGTTTCACACAAGCCAACTACTGAGAAATCTGCATTTAAATCATTGATGAATATCTGGAATTGGTCAACGTTCCTATTAAAGCTACGAAAATTCTGTTGCAGGAGAGAAAGTCTAATTTGGGGAATCTGGTGGAGCAATCTTAGATATTCGAGTAGGTAATACATATTTAGAGGTTACACTATTTACACCAACATAGTTGCATCAAGATCAAGCTGGAGTTCAGGTATTTCGTTATTAAGATAGTTAATACTATTGAATTCAAAGTTGACTGCACCTTCTCTGCTGGTCATGGGAGAATTTCTAAGACCATTGTTTACAGAAAAAAAATGTCGGTCAATGACTGACAATGAGAGCGGACAAAATATACAGTTCCTCAGGTTGACAAAGGAACATCCCTTCACAGCTATTATGTAAAAAGGTGAATATGCATGTGACACCTGTTCTACACATTTTTACATAATAGCAGTGAAGGGATGTTCCTTTGTCTACCTGAGGAACTGTATATTTTGTCCGCTCTCATTGTCAGTCATGTTCATAGTGAGGGTTGCAAAGGCATGCACATGTAAATGATCGTCCATTGATAAATATGGAACAGTTTGGGTATACATGCAGTAACTCTGGGTTGTTGAGACATGTGATTTGTATAGAAGAAGCTGGTCTTAATTTACGGTAAAACATGTGGATATGCAAATGGTGATTACAACATACAACAAGCAAAACAAATTGCGTAATTTACAAACTGGATCGTACAGGGGTATGCAAGCATAATTGCTTTTAGGTTTGAATAACAAATCGTTTACAAAGATGAATGGATTCTATCTTTCACTGGAGACAGTGTGTAGAACATGGAACGTAATATTCATAAAAAATACAAATTTAAAGCATGATAACAGACGATAATGCATGAGCAAAAGAAGGGAGGAAACGGGAATGATGTAGATTGACTTTTGCTCACAGTCACCACCAGGGTGCCAAAGAGATATTTAAAAGATATTAAAGAAACTATGTCCCTTTTGCAGCCAACCTCAATTCTGTAGATATTTGCAGGTATTATGAATATGTCATGTATGTCCTTTCTGTGAAATTTAAACGTTAGCAGTGTCCTAATATTCGAATTATGCAAGGAAACCCGTTTACTTGCTAGACCTCACTGTCAGACACTATTGCGTGACTGACTGGCTCTTTTTCTTCTTTGGTAATAACATACATAAAATGAGCTGTAAAGGGTACATGAGCATTTGTCTACATCAATAACCTACTTCTTGAGATGGCCAAATCAAACTGATTGAATCTTTGCGCAGCATAAAACGTATGACCATTTGGAACAATGGTCTGGAAATCAAGACTATTACTTATTGGCTCTATAGCTCCTAAGTCGATTTGACAACTAATGGTCGTTATTTTCCCACTTGAAGACATTTTTAAGCCCCTCCATTTTTAGGGAAGTTTTAAATTAGTATTATCTTTCAAATGCCGATGGAATTTAACCTTTTCATTTTGTTTTGGCCTGCAAATCGGACATAGCACCTTTAAGACTATTATACAATCTATCTTTCACCTATTATTATGCACCCCGGCTTTCTCTCTTGTTCTCTTTCTCTCTGTCTCTGTCTCTCTCTCTCTCTCTCTCTCGCTCTCTTCCTTCATTATTAACTTCTGGCTGTATCATATGCCCGGTGTTCTCTCACTTTCCCTCTATTTCCCTCTCTTCCACCTATCTCTTTCTCTATCGCTGCTTTATTTTAAACACTTGATTTTCTCAATAAACTTCACACATAGCAGTATAATGGGAGAGTCCTATAATTTCAATGCGTATATAAGGTCGCCATTATCTTAATTTTTTGCAACTTTTTGATTCCACTGTCCTGAAAAGGAATGTACCCTAAATATGTGCTTCACTTTTTTCATCTGTTAACTCTTGTTATTTTGAAGGCCTTATTACAGATGTCAAGATAATTCGGCATTAAGATAACTGTACAATTTCTGTTTTGTGACTCTTGTCTTACCTCTCAAAACTCATATAATGGCGATACAGTCACAATAATTATATTTTTTCAAAACTCCCCTGAATAATTGTCAGTGTGTACCAATTAACTTTGTAGTACTTATACAGCCTTTAAAAAATGATTAGAACGACCCGATCCTTTTAATACGACAAGATTGAAAGCTGCTTTTAATAGGAGCAAAACATGTAGAAACATCTAAAAAGAAAAAATCATATGATAAATAGAATACAAATGAAGCACCCCAAAAAGACTTACCAGGCTCTGATCTATTGCTGTCCGGTTCCAATAGTCATATATCACCGTTCCCTCCTCAAATTCGTCAATAGATGCAAGATCGCCTCCCGCAAATATCTGGCAAATTGTGTTAGCTGTATCCCAGCTCACAGGGAACACATAATGATAGTAGCAGAAACCTGGATATAGAGTGTTCGGCTCCCACGGACTGGGACACTGGGCGCTGGCATAGGCCACGAGAAGCGAGGACAGGATTAAACAAGTTAGGCCAGACATTTTGCTTCCCGACGAATCGAACTGTAAACGTTCTCTGTGAGTGGCGGCGACGCAGCGAAGGCAAACAGTCCTAGAGGCAACAGGATATGATGCCCCGGGCACACAGTTACACCAGGTACACCGATACCAGACAAATAAAAGACCGAACATTTGGATCGATGTGTAGTCATGCATGGCTATAATAGGGACTTTTAGATTATGCAGGAAGAGAACGTGGACTGCCCTTTTAAGGCACTGTTACATCACTGGCAGTGCCTTAAAAGGACGTCACATTGCCTTAAAAGGGCAGTCCACGTTCTGGTCGTGCAGAATCTAAAAGTCCCTATTACTTAATTCGTCGACAACAAAAGCACTTCATTTGAAGGGGATGGCATCTGTTTTATTGGAATTCTTGAAGAAATCTTGAAGAAATGTTGCCGGGTGCAGCTGGTCCATTCATATGAGGTAAGAAAGAGAGAAAGATTTTGAATGGTAGAAGTATCCACATGGCTAAACAGAGGAAAAATCGCTTCCAATGTTAAACATTCCTTGAATATATTTTGATGATGCTGTTTTATATGTTTATGGCGACTCTATTCAGCTATTGAAATTGAAAATGATTGAATAACATTATGTAACAAGTTCGAAACTTTAAAACGAGTGCAAATAATTATTCAGAACTGGTCTTATCATGCATGTTTTTATCCCTACTTTTGATTCATGCTTACACTAAAAATACTTTTGAAGCAGTTGATAGGCATGAATTAATCTGTTTTGTGAACGGTGGAAGGTAGGAGGAGATGAGATAGTAGGGACTTTTAGATTTACACGACGAGAACGTGGACCGCCGCGTGTGACATCCTTTTAAGGCAATGTGACGTCCTTTTAAGGCACTGCCGGGCACGGCCTAGTGCCTTAACACAATGTCACACGCGGCAGTCCATGCTCTCGTCGTGTGAATCTAAAAGTCCCTAATGACGAGTTGGAATTGCAAGCTGTACACATAGAACAGGTTGTATTGAGATAAGGAATTTTTTGTTAGGTTATTTTGTTTTGTGAACTTTGAATGGCATGCTGTATGTACAATCAAGGCAGAATAGAATTATTTGTATTTATTTTTTATTTGTTTATTTTTTTTGGGGGGGGGGATTAGTTGTGTAAATATCTTTATATTGGAAAAAAAAGAAGATGATGAAAAATCCATTCTGGAACATAAAAGGAAATTAGAGAGTATTTATTTTTGCAAAGTGAAAGAGAAGCAGCTTTTTGTACAGAAAAAGAAATGTAGAGTATTAATTCTTTATATATTATTACAAATATAAAAAGAGAAGCAGTTTCTTAATGCAACTTTGTTTAGAGCAGTTTTCAGATAACTGTCTTAATTCAAGTGCTAATTATAGATGACCGACAAAAGAAAAGTGGAAGATTGATATAATGAAGGGGTAAAGATGCTGGGTTGGAAACATGAGTATTTAATCATGGGGGTTTTATTCCTTCTTTTGTTGCACTCTTACATGAAAGCAGAGTAATGACGATGTAGCTGTAGTTGATATGCAAGAAAATACAGTTGTTTTGTGAACTGTGGAATTTAGGAGGTGAGCATAACGCCCCCCCCCCGGCCGTATTAAAACCTCAAATAGCCCGGCCTTTTTAAAGAGACTTGGTAAGATTGTTCACGAGAGAGAAAATGGTACTAAGGTAGTGACTTCAATGCTAGATGTAAACTCAAAGATAATCTCAAAGTTTGAGTAAAAACGGACCATTATTAATGAAAAGAATTGGGAAAAATAACTGATCTGATCGATTCCTTAATTCTCCTAACTATATTATTACAATTTAATTACATGTTAGGTGAATTCAAATCGTCACAAAGCAATGAATTGGCTCTATATATCATTTCAGGCATGTAAGTTTGTACTTATTTTGTAAAGCCTTTTTTATGTCTTATTTTCAAGGAAAAATGGTCGGGGAAATTCAAAAATGGCTGGGAGAATTTACTGTTAGAGGGTGTTGCCCAGTGATGCCTTCAAAGAAAACCATAATATCTTTGAGGTTTGAGAATGTACTCATGAATTTGTGCATGTTAGAGGGTAAGTACGGTAGAAGGGAGTAAAATTTCATTAACAAAAATATACTACTACTACTACTACTACTACTACTACTACTACTACTACTACTACTTCTATTACTAGTACTACCACTATACTACTACTACTACTACTACTACTACTATTACTACTACTACTACTACTACTATTACTACTACTACTACTACTACTACTACTACTACTACTACTACTACTACTACTACTACTACTACTTCTGTTACTACTAATACTACTACTACTATTACTAGTACTACCACTATACTACTACTACTACTACTACTACTACTACTACTACTATTACTACTACTACTACTACTACTACTATATACTACTACTACTACTACTACTACTACTACTACTACTACTTCTGTTACTACTAATACTACTACTACTATTACTAGTACTACCACTATACTACTACTACTACTACTACTACTACTACTACTATTACTACTACTACTACTACTACTACTACTACTACTACTACTTCTGTTACTACTACTACTACTACTACTACTACTTCTACTACTACTACTACTACTACTACTACTACTACTGCTACTTCTATTACTACTGCTACTACTACTACTACTACTACTACTACTTCTGTTACTACTTCTACTACTACTACTACTACTACTACTACTACTACTTCTACTACTACTTCTGTTACTACTACCACTAATAATTCTACCACTAATAATTCTACCACTACTACTTACACTATTACAAAAATACACAGTTTGGTCAACAACCTTCAACAATTTTACCGAGTCACTTTAAATAGAAGAACGCTGATGTTATCGCTAACAATGAGAACTTCGTTACCAAATTCTTTTCATTACTGGTGATTTTTTGTCATAACTTACGTGTGCATGAAAACATCGATTTGAGTAATTGCCCTTATCTAAGTCATTATGATGGATTTTCTTTCACGTGCAATCCAGCGACGGATCGAGGATATCCGGCATAAGGGGGGGGGGGGGGGGGAGGGGGGGGGGCTGTCACAATCTGAGATGGGAAAAACAAAATCCTCAAATATTTAGGTTGTGTTATGCCCCCCATCCCATCTGACCTACCGATGCCATGGGGTTTAGAGTTTATTTAGCGCCAACAAATAACTATGTTATCCTTACTAACATTGGCACACATTTACCATTGGTATGTTTGAATGTATTGCGTTAACTCAGCAATTCACGTTTAATTTTGATTATCCTCTTGAAAGTTTCTATAAAAAGATGAAGCTAGGGTATGTTTTTATCTTTTCCTCTAGAGCGTTTTCGTGTTCACCTCTAGTTATTGCACTCGTTATCATTATCATTATTATTATTATTGTTATTTATTGATATTTCCAATATAATAGTGATTATTATCATTATAATAATTATTAGTAATGCTGCTGTTGTTATCATTATAAGTATTATTCTAACTATGTTCATTATTTGTGTTATTATTAATGTTTCATCATTTCTTTTTTTTAATGAATAATTTTGATTAAAAAAAAAATCGATTGGGTCCTTTAGAAACGTAGGTACATGTACACAATTACAATTAGATACATATATTAAAACAATAACAGCAAACAAAAACAAAAACAACAATTAGAAGGTTATATACGAGATCAGAATTAGAAATTTAAAGACATTCTACATATGAAAACGAGCAAGTAATTTATGTATAATTGATATAAATAGTTCAAGTCTGAATGAATTGATACAGATATGAAAAAGATACATGAACTTAAAATTGTGATAGGATATGTTGATGGTGTATTTAAAATTGTTTTGGCAGTAGAAATAACGCAAACCCTCGAAGAGTTCAAACTAGAATGAGTTATTGAAGAAAGAAATATATTACAAAAAAGGTGATTAATGTATTTTGGCTCAGTCTCTTGGGCTTTGTACCCAAATTAGTTCATCCATGCGAAAGTAACAAAAATCGCTTCCAATGTTAAACATTCCTTGAATGTATTTTGATGATGCTGTTTTATATGTTTATGGCGACTCTATTCAGCTATTGAAATTGAAAATGATTGAATAACATTATGTAACAAGTTCGAAACTTTAAAACGAGTGCAAATAATTATTCAGAACTGGTCTTATCATGCATGTTTTTATCCATACTTTTGATTCATGCTTACACTAAAAATACCTTTGAAGCAATTGATAGGCATGAATTAATCTGTTTTGTGAACGGTGGAAGGTAGGAGGAGGTGAGATAGTAGGGACTTTTAGATTTACACGACGAGAACGTGGACCGCCACGTGTGACATCCTTTTTGGCAATGTGACGTCCTTTTAAGGCCCTGCCGGGCACGGCCTAGTGCCTTAACACAATGTCACACGCGGCAGTCCATGCTCTCGTCGTGTAAATCTAAAAGTCCCTAATGACGAGTTGGAATTGCAAGCTGTACACATAGAACAGGTTGTTTTGAGATAAGGATTTTTTTATTAGGTTGTTTTGTTTTATGAACTTTGAATGGCATGCTGTATGTATGTATGTATTCAAGGCAGGATAGAATTATTATTATTTTTTTTTTTTTGGGGGGGGATTAGTTGTGTAAATATCTTTGTATTGGAAAAGAAAAGAAGATGATGAAAAATCCGTTCTGGAACATAAAAGGAAATTAAAGAGTATTTATTTTTGCAAAGTGAAAGAGAAGCAGCTTTTTGTACAGAAAAAAAATATAGAGTATTAATTCTTTATATATTATTACAAATATAAAATAGAAGCAGTTTCTTAATGCAACTTTGTTTAGAGCAACTTTCAGATAACTGTCTTAATTCAAGTGTTAATTATAGATGACCGACAAAAGAAAAGTGGAAGATTGATATGATGAAGGGGTGAAGATGCTGGGTTGGAAACATGAGTATTTATTCATGGGGGTTTTATTCCTTCTTTTGTTGCACTCTTACATGAAAAAAAGAGTAATGACGATGTAGCTGCAGCTGATATGCAAGAAGTACAGTTGTTTTGTGAACTGTGGAATTTAGGAGGTGAGCATAACGCCTCCCCCCCCCCCGGCCGTATTAAAACCTCAAATAGCCCG